TAATTTATAAAAATATAAAATATATAATTATAAAATATATAAATATAAAATATAATTAAAAATATTAATTATAATTAAATTTAAATTAAAATATATTTTTAAATATATTATTAAAAATTTTAAAATTAATATATTTTAAAAATTATATATAATAATAATAAAATATATTTAAAAATTATATATTAAAGTTATTTATTATATTAATTATAAAATAAAATTATTTTATAAAAAATTTTTTTAATATTTAAAATAAATTTATTAAAATAATAATAAAAGTTATATAATTTTTATAATTATTAATATATAAAAACCAATTATTATAATTTTAAAAAAGTTAAGTTATTTTATTAAAAAAAATTATTTTTAAAAACGTAAAAAACTTTTTATTATTAATTTAATTTATAATAAACGTAAAATAAATAATAAATTTATAATAAATTTACCTTAAAATATTTAATATTAAAATATTAAAATATTTATAATAATTATTAATTAATATATATTAAAATAATATTTTTTATATATATTAATAAATTATATTTTTTTATAATAATTTAAATTAAATAAATTAAATAAATTACATATTTAATTTTTTATTATAAAATTTATTTTATAATTTTATAAAAATAATATTTAAAATTAAAAAAAAAATTTAAATAAAATTATTTAATATATTTAATAAATAATTAATAAATAATAAATAAAAAAATAAATATTAATATATATTTATAATAATTATTATTAATAATACCGTAAAATTAAAAAATATATATTAATATAAAATTATAATTTTATTAAAATAATTTTTATTAAAATTTATTAAAAATAAATATTATAAAAAAAATAACGTTTATTTATAAAATATTTATAAAAATAAAAATATATAAATAAAATTAAAATATAATATAATATAAATTTATTAAATAATAAAAAAAATTATTATTTTTTATTATTATTAAAAAAAATTAAAAAATAAATATAATTTAAAAATTTATTTTATAAAAACTTTAATAATATACGTTTTTATTAATATATAAAATTAAAATTTTAAAAAAGATATAAAATTATATAAATTTAAATTATTATAAAAAATTTTTAAAAAATAAATTATAAATATAATTTAAATAAAAATGTTAAAATATATAAAATTAATAAATTAAATAATTAATAATACGCTTTACACCCGTAGTTTATATATAATAAATATACTTATTTAATTCCTTTAATAAATAATATAACAATATAAAATATATATATCTTATAACCTGCGTTTAATTTCAATAAAAGCCAAGTTAAAGGCAAGCGGAGAATGTTCCTAACAATAGACAGGTCATGTATCCGCCCAAGATACTTCCAACTTTCAATACCGCCATGCTCAAATTGACAAATTCTTGTTCCGCTGCTACGTGCTCGCGACATTTGATTCGGCCAAAAGCGTGACTTCATCACATTTAAGCAGAAATATACGAACATACCTAGGTATAGATTACAGGTAGCATAGCATATGAGTTAATCATGTCCAATATCTGTCGACCTCACTACCTATAGCCAAACTGTAAAGGAATACTACCCAATTACGTTTCATGCTGTCGGGCGTGTATCATTTACTCCACATCTGTTTTTAGAATAGCCTGCATCGCCTCGAGGGCGTCTTGCTTGTGCTGATGGACATCAAGAGACATAATGAAACCCCATCTGCCGGGTAAGAGCTCTCTCAGCTTGTCTGGATCTAGGCCGATCTCCTGATTCTGCCCGCAAAAGATCTGACCCGTTCCCCGGCTAGAGTCGATCACCTGTTGACCTCGTGGTCTTCTGACGGCATCGTACGCCTTGAAAGCGGCGTTGAGTTCGTCCCTGGTTTTGATGTGAGATAGAAGGTGACCCAGGATCATCGCATCCTCGATAGCGAGACCGGCACCAGAGCCCTGCCATGGGGTAGTTGCATGTGCAGCGTCACCGAGGAGACAGACGTTTCCCTTAGAGTAGGTGGGCGTCGATTTCTGCTCCCACTGAGAGTAGGCCTTAAGATCACCTGGTTCAAGGAGTAACTGTGAAGGAATGAGTCCGTGGCCTAAAGCATAATTTAGGAGGGCTTACATCGATCACCCCTTTTGCGATGGGACCTTCAAGCCAGTTACTCGACGTTTCAATAAGCAACTCTTTAGTTAGTGGTCGTTTCCTGTCGTTCGGAGGGTCCTTTTCGATTGCTGATACCACGACCTGGACCATGGTTCTATTGTCTAGGACGTCGTGCATGATGAATGCATTGTCACCAATCCATCCATATTGTCGGTCCAGCTCAAAGAACTGGTCCCCGATAACACTGCGTGCTTTTTCAAATGGAATTAGAAGTCGGCAGTCCCAGAAGCCGGCAGGTGATGCTTGGTGCTCGCTGAAGTTGCCCACTACATAGTTACGGACCTTGCTGAATATTCCATCCGCACCAATGATTGCGTCGAAGCGTTTCACGGAGCCATTTTGGAAGATAATTTCTAGCTCGTCTCCCTCAGTACGTATCTCAGAAAGCTCGTGACTTGTATGTATAATCTCTTCAGGGAGCGGCGCGATAATTTCGCGCATTAGCGAAGCACGATGTACCACGACACCGGGATCTCCAGCACCTGCGAGATCAAAAACGAGAGTCCCTGCATCTGGCCCTGATCCCTAGTAGACCTCAGAATCTTTTCTAGGAAGCTCTTAAGCTCTAGATAAGATACAACGCATTTTAAACAAACGATAAAGGGAAACTTGGATGGAATGAAAGCTTACCAGAACAATGCGAGAGGAGTTCATCAGAACAGCACCAGCTTTGTTCAGGCTCTGCCTCATCGATGGAAGTATCTGATCCAAAGCTCGTTGAGCATTTGAGGTAAGACCAACAGCAGCGCCACGTTCCGATAACTCAGGTGAAGATTCGTAGAGGTCAAGATCTAGATGCGGCACCTTGATGAGTGCATTAGCAAGCGTAGCTCCGGCGAGACCACCGCCGATGATGGCTACACGGATGTGAGGCTGCGACATTGCTTCGTAATCCGAGAATGGGAGTATTTAGTGTTCAGCGTATGAGTATGGGTATAAAGTGGTATAGGTAAAGGTATCCCGTTGAGCTTTAGGAAGGGCTGGATGAGATTTATATCAGTGATGTAGGGCAGTAGTACAGGCTCGTTATGTTGGATTAAGGATAGGTAGGTATACATTAGATACAGGTAGGTACTTAGGTACCTAGGCATATAAGACAACGACCGCCATGTACCTGTTCTCAATTAATTAGGGGACAGTGGTCTGATTATGAAATCATTTCTGAACAAGATTCTCAGACGTATTATACTACTTTCCGGGCTAAAAGTCTTGGTAGTAGCCTACCTATCCACTGAATTTAGGTAGTTTACCACTAGTATATTTATAGCGACATTAAGCTTTGCCAAGCTCAGATGTATAAGGACATATTATGTATGAGCACAAATATCTTTCTGGTGGAAGAGACTGTCATCTGCGTCACAAGTTTCGACGATATAGTAAAACAAGTTTCAAAAGAAGGCTTTCGAAGAACAAGATCTATTGTGACACCCACCCCCCAATAACGGGCTTCTCTCATATACTTGCTACACTATAAACACATAAACCAGAAGAGTGAAGGGAACGCTTCGTGGAGACGCCACAAGACGAGATGAATTGTCTTTGTGGCATCTCGACCTAAACAAAAATCCTCCTATATTCGAATGTCACCCAGTTGCTGACGCTGGTAGGTCCATACGACCAGATCCAGCCTACGCGCCGTTGACAATAACACAGGTGCCGTGCTTGATGATATCGTGGAGGCCGTCGTGGCAGTTGATCTTGTCGTTGTCGTTAGACGAGCATCCGCCAATCTGGAGGCCGCCGGAGTCAAGAAGGGCGGTGGGGGCGCCGCCGTCGCCGGAGCAGCCGGTGAAGGTATACATCACCTCGCCGAGGCTGAACGGCTGGTCACAAGGGGCTTCTGTGAGAACGTTTAAGACTTGCATGCCGGGGCACGCGTGTTCGCCCTCGACCCAAGTGACCCAGTGGTTGGTCTGGTCGTTGTTCTGGAGTTGCTGGCCGAAGGCGACTGCTTGTTGGGCACTCGCAAGGCTGCCGAAGGCGGTGATGCCTAGGAAGACGAGAGATCCGACGTTGAACTGCATGATGAAGTAATAATGGAAGTAATGGCGTGGGTTGGTCAACGCGAGCTGTGTGGAATAAAATGCTTTGATGGTTGTAGTAGTGTAAGAGCCGAATGAAGAGCTTTAGTGGTGATGATGATGATGATGGTGATGAGAAAATTGAATCATGGAAGCTGGATAGACACGACCTTTATATTGATATTTCGAATGGAGACAGGTAGTCCCATTGCACCTCGTCTTAACTAGGCTCGCGGTGGTTTGCCATAACTAGAACGTTCCCACTAAGCATAGAGCCGCTTCTCTCAGGATTCCGAAATCAGTCGAGTATGCCTCTAGCTGTAGCACCACTGACGTGTTGTCGATTGTCTCCGTACAGTGGTATAATCCTGCCGAGTCGTAATAATAGCTCTCGTGAGATCGCGTCCGGCTGCCATGACGATGCTGACCTTGGCGTCCTTCTCACAATAGTGGCACAATTTGTGATCAACGAAACATGGACACCAAAAAAGCATAGAATAGGAATCCATCGTACGTCGATCTTGCATCGCTGCAGAGTTGGAGGGGGCCCGAGCGGTAAAAATAGCAATTAACAAACTAGTGATAATATTAATGGACCTCTCAAGGTTATTTCAGCCCCGGAACTGTCGGATATTCCTATTACCTACAATATACTAAATAAGCTCCAGCTGTGCCACTTCAGCTGTAATTCCTTTCCGCCCCCTTTCCACTTCCCCGGCCTTGGCTTACATCACGGGCCGTCACCGTATCGCGGTCGATTTGCTTAATTTAACGTCCCTTAACAAAAGTTATAGAGAAGGTATACACATGAATGAGAATATATAATAGATATTTTGATTTCTATGTCCTCAAGTGCGACAAAGACAAAGAGAAATACCCCACTTACATAGGTTTCTCGCACTTGAGGACATACATAATGCACAGAAAGACAGAAAATAGAAATTAAATTCTATTCCTCTATGATGTAATCTTACAATATTGTTTACAGCCTATCAACCTACCTAGGCACATCGTTCGATCGCCTCGTCGTAGCAGCTCTTCCGCTAGCTTAGGGCGACCATTCGAAAGCGCAGCATTTAGTCCGCGCATTATGATCTACGCCCGCATCGAGTAGGTATCGTCACCGATCACGTAGCTATATCATATCATTACAAGGTACATTATTAGGTACTATAAAAACATAATAGCAGAATAGATGAACGAGGCTATGTAGAAGTACGTACCTGAGAGGGGGCAGACTAAAATCCTCCAAGGTCGCGCTAATATCGAAATGCCCGTGATCGACGAAGACCTGCCACGTGCTGGCCGAGTATGTAATTGTGCCTGCTCATAAACGGAGAAACGCTGATCAGTACACGACAATAAAGAAACCATGGAATAAGCATTAAAGTACCTAATATAAATAGTCTGATAGTCGGTACCTAGATTAGCTTCCCTGCACACCCTAAATCCCACAGCCTCATACGATATCTGCAGACTATTCTCGGTAGCCAATGGGACGACCCATTTTCAGCCCTAGGCGGAGTAAATAAGCCGCAAAGGTAACGCGATCTACGGGGCTCGACAAGTTCCAAGTGGATAATCAGCGGGTCCGTACGGGGTACGGTTGACCAGACGTACCACTGTGCCAAAATGAAAAAAAATAATCGCAGACTAAGCTAAAGTTGGTAGGAGGTCACTTGCCGCAATTTAGAAAATATTAAATGTATACTTACAAGCCTCATTACGGCTTATTGTAATAGACATATTGATTTAACCGGTATAACACCACATTTATACATACACATTTGAATAACTTTATAATTTTGGCAATTATAACATCATAACTGGTATCATTTAATAGCCCCAATTGATGCGAAAACAATGATCCAAGTTGCATTTGAATCAGCCTTTTCGTTGTTGTGTTATAGTAGAATCAAATAGCAATTGTCTTGGGGGGGTTAAAGTCTTGAAGGGCTACCCCCATTGCTAAAAATTCAAAATCAACCAATCAAGTTAAAGGATTCAATCCAATTCAATTCAATTATCAACTAAATACCACATCTACGCATTTAGATAACTTTGCAATTTTAACAGATACAACGTTATAATTGGTACCATTCTATAGCCTCAATTGAAGCGAAAATAATTATTCAGGTTGCATGCTTATACGTTGTGTTGTTGAAACATTATAATGTAAATGAAAAAGCCTTATTCAAGGAGACGGGTATGAATAGTAAGTAGCGCGGCACTAAAAGACCTGTACGTACCTAACCATATATAGTTGCTAGCACGTGATACCCTTTGAGATGACTGTTTTTAAAAGACTTCCAAGATCTTAATGATAATACCTTATATGAGCATGCAACTTGGATCATTGTTTTCGAATTAATTGAGGCTATTGAATGATACCAATTATAATGTTGTAATTGCTAAAATCGTAAAGTTATTTAAATGTATAGATGTGTAGATGTGGTAGTTGAAATTGAATTGACAATTGAATCCTTTAATTTGATTGGTTGATCTTAAATTTAGCGATAGGGGTAGCCCGTTAAGGCTTTAAAGGTTAAAAATGAGCATACCTTCTTAAAACATTATCATATATAACGTTATAATGTATGTATTTATAGGGAACAATTCATTTTTCCTATTTAAAAGTGCGAAGTACCGCAATAAATTGAGCTAATTGCGCTAACCTGTGGCTGACTACCCTTTTAAGCTAAACTCACAGACTTTTTTTCATTTTGGCACAGTGGTACGTCTGGTCAACCGTACGGGGGCCGAGGGGTCCTCCATCCCGCGCCATTCCGTCAGGAAATGCCGGAACTCGTCAAACGCATTGTCGGTGTACGCTAGGTTGAGCCGCCGTATTCGCGGGATTCGAAAATTTAGCCCATGTAGGTAACCCCTATCACACGACCTTTTTTTTTTTTTTTTGTAGGTATGGCTAAAAAAAAATCATCTCTTTGATCAGCGGCTGGATCAGCCAACCTGAGATAAGGCTGAATACACGTCTATAATCCTACACATTTTTTGCGGTAACGGCCAATATGACTATTACGTCATTACTTGATCCTTCTATTAGGCATTACCATCTTACCTTACCATCTCTCCTAACCTCTGTAGCTTTCAAGCAAGTAAGTGCGCTTATTCTACTTGATCCTTCTATCAAATCTCACCATCCTACGTTAGAATCCGTGTATGTAAAGCCGCTGTAACTTTCTGATACCCTGTCAACTCTTTAACATGTAACTGAGATAGTAGAGATACTAGAGATACTAAAGCATATAAGAAGTTGTTGTTATTGCTCCGTGACTTGAAAATTTGCAATCTTCAACCCAAGCCATCTATCTCATCTTGACACTCTTATTCAACTCTCCAAGCCTCTTCATCTTCCTAATCCTCTCAACTCTTCGACGTTTGCAACAAGCAAAGCGAATCAGCTCAAAATGTTCGGTCGCGCCTATTTCAAACACTTCGTTTCTATCCTGGCGCTACTAGGCCCTGCTGTGGCCGCCGATCTCTATCGCGTGGATTTCCGTCCGCCTGTGCAGGTTAAAAATGATGGAGGCCTTCTGAGCCGTAACCCTGACGGCGACGGCTCCGTCATTGACCATGTCAAGAATACCTTGGGAAACGATGATCCATGGGTATCGACCACGAGCGATTATAACATCGCTAAAGGAGGTGCCATGTCTCCTGGCAACGTCTATGTTTACTACATCGACCCGTCGGGCCTCAATGCCGTTGACACTATCAAGGCGTTCCAGGACGCGGGTGAAGATCACCCTCATCCTGGGGAGAAGGAAGTTTCGATAAAGGGCTCTGTCCCTTGGGACCACATCACTCAATGGGACACGTTCAAGAGGAACAAGAAGACCGGGACTACGACCAGGGAAGACTTTGACCGGGGTCAAGGTGCGAAGCGTTCGGTCCGAACATTCGTTGCTTGAAATCAGCTGTCCTTTGATTACAGCGCGCAACCGCCTGGTACCTCGCAACGCTAGATTATTTCTCTAGATATGTATTAAGTAAGGTAGCTTTGACCGTCGTGTATGAATAGGAACATTCGCTTTTCATAGGGAACACTCTTATAGAATCACTCGCTTTTCCAATGCATGTTCTAACTTTTATTTCTCATATGTTCTTTGCTCTAATTTACAGTCTGTGTTGCTTCTTTAGTAGCTGCCTTTTGATAGTGGGTCGGTTGACCTAGTAGAAGAGGAAGATTGCGGCGTAGGAGCTGGAGATGGAGGAAAGACTTCTTGCGGTCCAGTGCGAGATCGTTCGTCTGCAGCATACTGCAGAGCGAGAGCGTCTCTGTGTTAAATGGCTCCCAGTGGCAGGTGTTTCGGAGTCGGAGCTTGTCGAGGGTGCTTTGATTGTTATGGTGGTTATAATTGTTACGATATTATCAGGCAGCGAGAACAGGCTGAAGTATATTAGGACTAGAGGTTACCCCCCAAGTAATACAAATGCCTAAGATTATCACCACACCATATCTCTATACTATTTTCTAATTGTTATATGCGAACAACTTATCCCTTATTAAACCGAGGGGTCCTATGTCGGGTTGTTATAATAGCCCGAATTTACTGCTATTACATGACTACACACCTTAAACGTCTTAAATATTTATTTGCGTTTAATACAATATGCCTGAGATAAACCTTAGGAAAAGATTAACTATCATATCAACCTATTCTGCATCCAGCTTCTTATAGGCATTACGATCCCAAAACACTGATGACGGATACTGAGGGAGCGTCTCAAACTTGCAGCCCAGGTTGCCTCTGCACAGAATCACGGCTTCCTTCTTGGCCTGCTCTGCGTCGCATTGCAACCCCGCCTTGTTCCCTTCCCAGGTAATGCCTTGGATCTTTGCACTCTCGGCATCATCGTTGTTTGATTTTGGAACAATGTGAAGTATGTAGCACTCTTCCTGTAACCAGTTTCGAATGATGTGGAGTGATATGTTGCCGTTTTCGTCCGGATCCTCAACCAGCAGGTCCCATTTGTCGTCCATGCTTTGAGATTTGAACCCGACTTTGAGCTTTTCCACATCTTCATCGCTGATCGGCAGATCCAAAGGTGCTGTGAGAGGCTCCTTCATGGGCTTTTTGGAACCGCGCTCGTACGCTGTCGAAAGCCACTTCTTCATCTCCTCCTCATCCACATCAGATTCGCTGTCCGTCGTCGGAAGCTCCGTTGTAGGCTCCTCGTGTTCTTCATTGCTGTGCGAAGTCATCCTGTAATTTTCGTTGCGGAATATATTAACTGTGATAAGTGTTAAAAGTCCAAGGATGGCGATTTGAAATTTGAAATTTTGTACGTGCCTGTCGTTAGACGGTCACGGGAGTTGGCGGTGAATTCGTTGATTGACTCGGGTAGAGAATCTAGGAGGTACTGGGAAAAGGAGAAAGAAATCGAGGTCTGGTTTCGGGATGGCGAAGCATGAATAAATAGAGGCTATGCGGCTGTGTTATGGCAATGATGACACGCAGCTCTACCTTATACCTGACTTACAAGGCTGATATTAAGAGTTGACTTAGGTACATGTACATATGTATACATTAGGTACCTATGTACCTCCTATAAATACATTCAACCCACAGGATTCTTAGCATGACGTCAGACGGATCATAGTTAATTGTCACGTGCCAGCTGTTAAGGCAAATGTAAGCTTATTTTCTTAGCCCCGGGAGGATCCACAAGCCTACCAATAAAGACGAAGGATAATTCCCAAGGAAGGTTAATGACGTCCATTTCTGCATTACACACACAACAAGCTTTGTTTAAAGGATGTTGCGGTGCTGTCGACGATCAATTCGGTGAAGACGACCTAATAATGGCAAGGTGGGGCCAACGCTTGGGTCCCTCAAGCATTGTACAGCCAACAGCTTGCTTACCTTGAATCATCAAGTCGAGCTTCATTCTATTAATCTTTAATTATTGGCCGTTCTCTTAATTCAAGTGTAGCACCTTCTAGGTGCAAGCAGGCGAACGCCAGCACCAGTGTAACAACCCCTTTATACCAATGTTATATCCTCGACCCCTATTTCATCAGCAGGCCACAACTCCCCATTCATGATCCCGTAAATATAAGCTGGTGCTACGAGTTGGTAGCGGTGATGTTCAACTTCTCTCAGTATAAAGGGGACATTTGATCCAGCCAGAAGCGCAACTTTATCACCTTCTCTGCAGTTGAAATATGCTCTACCAATATGGCCAGTTTCAAGGAATAGAAAAGCCCAATTAGCCAGCTGGAAGCAGAGTTCAGAATGAAACAAGTTTGCACCCCTCAAAATCCGCTTTACGGCATCTGATACAATGTCCCCCGAAGACCTAATATTTGCAACGTCCAGAGCAGCTTCTATCATCTTCGGGTAATCTACCAAGCTAGGGTCTAGTTGCGCAACAGCTTCTATATCTTGGGTTGTGACGACATCGCAATCCGGATATATGAAAACGTCGGCCCAGCAATGAAACCGCGCTTCGATCTGGTCTAGCTGCTCCGAGTCCAAATCTTCCGTCCCAGAAAATTCGAAGAATGCCAGCGTGTTTATTAGCGCGTTTATAGGGACTCCCTGGCCTTGGTATATCTCTGCCTCCCAGATAGAACCAAGCTGCACTAACCACGCACGACACGCAACAATGAAGTTGAGAGAAAAGTCTCTTACTCCAACCAGCTCCGGCTGCTTTCCAGCCGTAGATGACACGATAATTTTTCGTACACCCCCTACGATGAAACCTCTTACTTGAAGTTCCGTAGCAGGTGTAAGGCTTGGGGTGGTTGCTAAACTATAACCGCTGGCACGATACGTGGATCCCTCGAAGAAGACGTTTCCAGTATTATCGAAAACGTCTTTCCCTGGCAAATGAGACATTTCCCAGTTAGGCGTCCAGGATGGAAAGTCATCGTGACCTTGGGGCCTAATGCTGATAAGTAGCACATTGAGGCTACGGCCATGCATTCTAATGAAGCTCTTGGCAATGTCTCCGTATACCTCTTGCACAGTCTTTTTATAGTCGACGTCTGGTAGCTCGAGTCCAGTGGCCCTGAAGATTGAGTATAAACCATAGACCTTATCCTGGGGAACAGAGCATTGCAAATGTCCCAGCGTCCTTATCCAAAATACGTCCATTCGCTCAAACTCAAATTTTGATTTGGATGGCATTTTGTCCCGGCTGGTGGGAGATGTGTCTGACACTTTGCTAGTCGCAGCGTTCTTGTATTTTCGGATTTGAGCACCTGCAACATTTCTGGTAGTAGCTAGCCATAATACCCCTAAATCCCCAAACGAAATGTCTACGATGCCTAGTGCCGAATTAAACAACGTCCAATCCAGTTGGCTATTGCCGCATAGAATGACACACTTTCGAGCAAAAACAGCCTCCTGCATTGTCCATACCCGAAAGAACCACCTATTTCCTAGAAGGTGTTGTAGTCCTTCAGTGTACCCCTTCGATTCCTTACCATTCGCTATCACAATGTCAACAAACAATCGTTTAATATGAACAAAATCTTTCAACGTACCTTGGAGGCGGCGAGAAAGGGCCGTACGGATTATCTTCGCCGGACGCTGGGCAAAGTCGTGCCCTTCCGGCCAGTAAGTTACGAAGCCGATCATTCTGAGCATACGAAATACCCTTGGAGTAGATTGATGAGCCAAACCAAGCCAAATAAGAACTCTTGACGCGTTTTCATAGACATCTCCCATCATCTGCACTTGAGAATTCCGTTCTCGGATTGCGCGATCATCGTCTCCCTGGTCAATGCATATGGCGTCTATCCAGAGGATGCGTCGCGAGAACCTGAACCGTAGATGGAGCAGGGCATCGTGACAATTTGGCGTCACCAAAAGCTCCATCCCTTTACACCGAATCGGTATCGTACCGGTCGGGGAGCCCCATACATATGATAAAGCTTCGTAGGGCACCTTTGTCCGTCGATCGTGAAGCTCTACAATAATGATGTCGCATTGTATTGGTGCATTAGACGTCACTGAAGGGGCTAAAGAAATTAGCCTGATCGACCGCGACGAGGGTAACGGCTCATGGACATATGTTTGTGCCATCGTGTATCATCAGTAGATTTGAGGAGTGTGTATTGAATGAACAGATAAATGAGCAGAGATTAGGTACTTCCATCGCAGCCTTACAAGAACGCCACGCATATTATGCTGAGATATTGACCTGACCCAGGTAACCTAGTGATTGATATTGATTGGCCAAAAGTGTCTAATATATCGCTCGCAATTATAAGCTACATGTGAGTCTTTTTCTTGTAGACTTATTGATGGCACCCCTTAAGATAGAGATTGCTTAGGTGTCTACGATAGATTAGGGCTATGAAGCTCAAGTTGACTTGTTATAAATTAGAAGCTATAACCCATTCACTTCCTTCACTTCCGTTTCATAGGTACCTATCTAAGTAGGCTGAGCCGTAAAGATAGGTACCTATACCTACCTATATATCAATAAATGCAGATTAGCTTATCAAGAACACCAAGCTTCAAAATGCCCAGTAGGTACCTCTTACAGTATATTTGCAGATATAACGAGGCTCTTTAACTCCTACTCTAACCTAGTATACTTGTGCTATCTCCGTATCTAACGTGGGGTCGAGTTTAACGTAGACAGTACAAGTACCTGAGATATCATCATACGTTACGCCAGAGGTTTTGTCGTGACCCAGGTGAGCAAGCTAAGTGAGTAAACTTCTAACTATTAAGCATGAGTGAAAGCCATTGAGAAATAATAAAAGTAAATTTCAAGTTCAATATCGAAACTTTAGAGGGTATTGTTACATAAGATTATTAACCCAGGCTCCCAGCGACGTTGAACCAATTAATGTATCAATCGAAGCTTCAGTTAGAATTCTTGAAGAACATGACGTTTAAGCTTAAGACGTGGGGGGGGGGGGGAATATTGAAGGTACAATACATGGATATGTACATGTATATAGGTACCTAAAAGCGGGCCGGACAAGTACAACCCATCCCGTAAGAGGGAAAGACGCCAGCGATCAGTGGGTCCGCGTGGAATTTCTGCCCCCTTCCCCATGTTTTCTTTTTTTACGTTCTTTGCGTTCGCGCGCGCGCATCCACCCATTTGCACCAACTAACTGCACCGCATCTCACGAAGATTCGCCGGACATCCGCCGACAACTTGCCGCCGTTAGTCCTTTTCAACGGTCTGCCGGGACCCTGACGATCTTTCTTAGATGGCATCATACCCAGAACCTTCCGAGCCTGCTGAACCAGGTCCGGTTCCTCAACCAACCACGCCGTCGCATCACCACCAACAACTCCAAGAGTACGATGGCCTTCAGTCGCCCATATCCGCCACCACAGTCGCCCATCATGGACTTCAAGTCTTGCAAGCTGCATCTGCATCTGCAGCCCCTACCGCCCCTAATCCCGCCGACTTGGCCCAGCAGTATGCGCAGTCCGCTACCTTGCAGATGAACGGTGCATCATTCTCGCCCCCTCTCGTCACGTCGGCCGCGACGCCTATGCCTGTGACGCCTACAACCCAAACCCAGAAGGTAACCAGACTTCGACGAGCTTGCGATATGTGTAGTCAGCGGAAAGTGAAGGTATGTAATTCACGCCCTTTTCTTACCTGTCACCCCTATGTATCTACTTCGTTGAACGTTGAAATAGTCTAACAACCCTTCACTTCAAATGTAGTGCGACGAAAGTGGCCCGCCTTGCAAACCATGCTCCGACCTTCAGGTTGAGTGTACCTTTAATAGAGCGATGAAGCGACGTGGCCCGCCGAACAAACATGCCGAAGCGGCCAGGGCTGCGAAACGATCCCGGAGTGACGATGCCTCACCAGCTCCCCATCACGCCGCCGAAACGTTGGTTTCTATCGCGACTCACAACCCCCCCGTCACCCTAGACGCCGAGATTATTGCGCCGTGGCCCATCCTAGAGCTTCTCGTTGACGATTTCTTCACTTATATACATCCTCTAATGCCCTTCCCGCATCAGCCATCCTTTCGTGCAGCCTTTACTAGTCGCATGGATAGATCTAGCGGCGAATTCTTAGCATTGCTAGCCAGCATGGTAGGTGTGTTGGTAGCATCATTTCCTAGAAGTGCAAGATCGCACCTCAAGGCCCAACACAGTACTGGGCTCTTCCCCTCGGCCATTGCCATGATTGATCACTGCCGGTCCATTGCGTTGGAGGCCCGGGGTGCTCGCTTTATGATGAAAGATGAGATGAGCCCGGACGACGCCGCTACTAGCTATTTCTTAGGTATCGCTTGCGCGCATACGCTCCAATGGAGAATGTGCAAGCGCTTCCTAAGCGAGACCATGACATTCTGCAGAGAGCTTGCTGCCCGTCGGCAAAGAGCTATGTCCGCCGTGGAAACACTTATGCCCGGTCTTACCATAACGCCTAACGCTTCGCCTAATAAACCCATCGACCTCATCAAGGATCAGATTAGCAAGCGCATCTTCTGGGTTATGGTCGCTGGCGTCAGGTAGGATATCTCTCTATCACAGTGCTATATCACATCGGCTTAACTAATTGCAATGTAGATCGATGACCCAATTGGGAGTATCAATCAATGAAATACCATTACCTCCACCCACTTCTCAAGAGCCTTATCCTGAGCAGCCGGTAGAAATCGACGATGAATATATATTCTCGGAACAGATACTACCCCAGCCGGAGGACACCGTCTCTCTAATCACGGGATTTAATCGCAACATTCGTGTGTATATGACCATGAATGAACTTGTCGGAGTCGATATGTGCTATGGAATCAACTTCTTCGATTGGACTGCGCAGAAAAATATCCTAAGCAATGGGCTTGCCAGCGCGAAGCAGTCTGCCGAGGACCTTCCACCCGAGCTCCAGGTAAAAGCGGATAACCTTCAGCATCTTCAAAATCACACTTTAGGGTTTGACGACTGGGACTTGGAGTATTATCCACCTGCTATTCCCACTACACAGCCGGCAAATGACTTGCGACGCGTGCTTGCAGAGCAACCTACGCGCCGGCGTCACCTTCAGTTCGAAATTCAGAAGGCAAATATACAGATGTCACAGCTAGCCACTCGCTCGTACTTCGTAGAACGATACCTTAACCTCCGAAATGCGCGCCGGGCGGATCCCAATTTTGCGGAAAGGACAAAAACGGAGGAGAAAGACGATCGAGACGAGATGATGGAGAGCGAGCGGGAACTTATCGTTCAGAATCTCGTCACGGTACTGACATCCATCAGTCAACGTAACATGGAGCCGAATGGATGCTCGCTTATCAACAAAATTCGACAGGTTGCTAGCACACTACTGGATATCAATGCGGAAGGTAAGGAACTTGCCGTAGCCAAGGCCCAGGAATACCTCAACGGCTTCCTCGACATACTTATGAAATTAGAGAAGATGGGAGCCTCTCCTCGTGCCGAGACAATGACGGCTCAGGATGAGGAAGAGGAATTGCGGAACTGGTCTAGTCTGAAGGAATATCAACATCGGTTCATGTCAAGCGGCGGGTTCCTTGGGGACGGCTATTAGAGAGTGGATTCGTCACCCTACCATATCCCACTTGAGCTTTTTCTCTTAGACGGTCGTGTATGTATATAGCTATTAATATCCATTGAGCTCACTATTAAGTAATAATTGCCTGGAAGTATACCGCGATGGTTTACTGGTGAATGAAGGAAGTTTAGCTCGTATATTAGAATTGAGTTCTCTTTTACGGCACTCTGAAATGCACGTATTGCTGATATCATTGCCACCTCATGGGACGCGCAGGATTATAGATACGATTAGCAAGGAACAGTTGTCAATGAGCCAATCACAATTCCCAGGAGAACTCAATTTTAACCAAATAGGGATCCAACGGCAGAAGCATTGAATAGTTACCGAATACCTTGATGTCCACTTACTAAACCACAACTAATTAACCATTTTATAATCTCTAACACTTGCGAATATCTTCATTTTCATTTTTCATTCAGATCTTACCGAAGTCTTACCGTTGTCGCGAGTGGCTTAAACTGTGCAAATATTAGGTATAAGCACTTGTTTCATATTCTCGTCGTCATAGATACCCGGCAATAAAAAATAGCGGTGAAGTAGCAAACGAAAACACTGAAGCTAATTCTTCTTATACGTCACCATCCGACGTATTCTGTTCCACGACGTTATGTATTAGCTGTAGTGCCGTAATTACTTATCTATTTCGTCATACTCTGCTTCTCACATGTTGGCATTCTGTATTTTATTCGGTATAAATAGTAGATAATGCATCTCTTTCTCAACAGTTATTTTCCAGTTAGTCTACATAGGAATCCGGTTATCTGTCAATTCGATTAAGTAATACAGTATACCGAGAGTAATTCATTATTTTACTGTAAGACGAAGCCGCCAAGATGGCTTATCCCTACGAGTTTGAAGGTTTTATGATTACCGAGCTAGGTAAATACAAGGACTTTAAAAGACAATCTGTAAGTCGTCTCATACATGAACCAGTTCTCAAGCCGCGAATCTAACTCGGTCTCTCAGTTCAAACCTAAGATCTTCGGCGACAATGACATTGATATCGAGATTGAGTGCTGCGGTGTTTGCGCCTCTGATGTGCACACAATCACCGGCGGATGGGGCGAAGCTCCGACTCCGCTATGTGTTGGCCATGAGATCGTAGGCAAGGCGGTTAAAGTCGGGCCTAAGGTCAAAGACGTCAAGGTTGGCGATCGTGTCGGTGTTGGCGCTCAGATCTGGTCGTGCTTGAAGTGCGGGCAGTGCAAGAACGCCAACGAGAACTACTGCCCGAGTCTAGTTGGTGAGTAAAAAGGCGGTCCACGTAAGAGAATGAAGAAAAAAAAATATTTACGTGACGATAGATACATATGGCGCGCCTTACCCCAAAGAAGCTGATCCGAACGAGACGATCAGCCAGGGAGGCTATTCGTCGCATATCCGCGCGCACGAGTATTTCGTCTTTCCAATTCCTGACGCTATTCCGTCGCACTTGGCCGCGCCAATGCTTTGCGCCGGGCTAACGGTATGGTCTCCCCTAGTGCGAGCAGGCACAGGTCCAGGCAAAAAGGTGGCGATAGTAGGGCTCGGAGGACTGGGCCATTTCGCAGTGATGTGGGCTAGCGCATTAGGTGCCGAAGTGACTCTGATATCACATTCGCCGCACAAGAAAGACGACGCGCTGAAGCTCGGCGCGAAGCACTTTGTCTGCAGCGGGGATAAGGACTGGGAGAAGCCGCTGGCGTTTACGTTCGACTTCGTGCTCAACTCGGCGAATATGACTAACAAGTTCGACCTCAAGGCGTACCAGTCCATTCTCAAGGTCGGCTGTCAGTTCCATCAGGTCGGGATACCCAACGAGCCGCTGCAGAACGTGACGCCCAAGATCTTCATGTCGAACGGCTCGAGTATGGGGGGCAGCCACATCGGGTCCCGCCCGGAGTGTCTTGAGATGCTCAAGCTGGCGGCGGAGAAGAAGCTCTTCCCCATGGTTGAGACGATACCGGTGTCGGAGAAGGGCTGCGCGGAGGCGATCGAGAGGGTTAATAAGAATGATGTGCGCTACCGGTTTACGCTGGTAGACTACGACAAGGCCTTTGGTAGATGAGCGTTCTAATGGGTTGTATGGAGTATATTTGTATATGATGGTGACTTGGCTAGTTAGTCAACTCTATATAACTATGATAGTGATTAACATGTATATGCCGCTATTTGAGTATTTCTTGTTCTATTCCGAGACCGAGACCAAAAGCTAGTATATTATTGACGATGGTGTTTAGATTTCTTAGAACATCTTCGCAGCACTCCCCGGCTCATAACTCCTATTATGGCAACCGGGAGGTTATGCTTATAACGGCTTGGGAATGCTCTTGTTCAAGTATTTCAAGTATGTATTGGCTATTAAAGGCTACCTAGTTGGATTGCTTGATGTTGGCATTTATTTATGGGAGTTGACTGCTAGTTTAACGTGGTAACATCAATGGACTGAATAAGTATAGGTCGAACTCGGGTTTGACCTATAATATGGCGGGAATACCTAGGTCGTTTAAATACATATTAGATGTGGCTAAGTCCTCATATAGGTACCTAGGCACCTATTTTAAGTATCTGTGGCGGTGCGAATGTTTCAAGAGCCGTTGTGGCAAGGATAAGCACTTAGGTAAAATTGGACTAGACCTGCAGTGCCGCGTGCGCAACAAAATCGATGCGCCACCAATTCAATTCAATACACTGGATTCATTTCAATCAATGAACCGGTTGAAATGTTCAACCTAGACCTTTACCAGAACTTGGATGTGATTACCTAGGTAGAGAGGCTCACATAACCGTTGTGATTTACTTATTACTTAACTTAACTCTACCAAGATTCGAAATTCGAACTTGTACTTTTTATTTTCTTTATTTTTTTTTCTTTATTATAACTGGTAAAAGTGTCCCTTAGGTACCGACCACGAGGAAGAAACGTTAGATCGGTCAAAGGTGGAAGATCGAACCGAATTCACTTACGTACACTAGTCGCCTGGTCGCAAGCTGGCCCTTTAGATCCTAGTGAACCTAACAAGTTTAGTTGCCGCTTGGTTTTAATCAATTTGTCGAGGGATAATTTCGGGTCCCCCATAACAGAAAACAACCGCTCGCAGCACCCCGTGGCTTGGGGACCTCGCTATTGATTAACGCCAGGTCCACCTTTAAGTCAGCCTCCTACATACGTACTACTACCTACAGTACGCCAGGGATCGTTAGGAAAGGAGTCAAGGAAAAAAAAAATAGTTTCGCGAAAGCATCCCGTTCGTAAACATCGATGCTTATCTATTGCAACGTCGAGCACCAACAACGACCCTTTAACGGCCGAAATTAATACTTTCTAGCACGAGACTCGGTATATTTCAGGATCGATTATCTCACGCGACAATTACGACTACACCTACGACTACACCTATAACTACGACGAACTACTTCATAGCATCGAAAGAGAGCAAGGTCTTACAATAATAATATGTCATCGGGATTGACAAGACGTCGCGGAGCTGGCGGTGGCACCGCCACCGATGACAGCAATGGAATCAATCGGTCCAACTCTTCCTCAAATGTGCGCGACAGCGCCCCTGAAACAAGTTACGAGAATGGCGAGAACGGTCACAAGATTGCATTCGATCCGCGCGATATTAGCGAAAGCGCAGAGCGAAGCAAACAACCCAAGTTGACATTGATGGAGGAGATTATATTGTTGGGGCTTAAGGATAAGCAGGTATGATGAAGCCCGGTTAAATATCTCTTCCATCTCTCCCATATCTCTCCCATACAAGTCTGGGATACAAGTCTGGGACGTATGTACTATGATGCTGACGGCGATTGAATAGGGCTACCTCTCGTTTTGGAATGATAATATCAGCTATGCATTACGTGGTTGTATCGTCCTAGAACTGGCCTTTCGTGGCCGCATTAGCATGCAAAAGGATCCTTCTAGGCGGCGATTCCCCCTCGCGGACCGGGCAATCGAAGTCATCGACGACACCCTTACCGGCGAGGTACTACTAGACGAAGCTCTGAAGATGATGAAGCAGAGCGAGAAGATGAGCGTAAGCTCGTGGATCGACTTGATGAGCGGTATGCCGTGGCCCACGCGCAACATGTCTGTATTGCCTGCTTGCTGACCGCGACTATTTACGAACAGGCGAAACCTGGAACCTCATGAAGATCGGTTATCAACTAAAGCAAGTCCGCGAGCGACTATGCAAGGGCCTCGTCGATAAAGGCATCCTACGTACCGAGAAGCGCAACTTCTTGCTCTTCGACATGGCAACTCATCCCGTGGCCGACGGCGGCGCGAAAGACGAGATCCGACGGCGCGTTAGAAACGTTCTGACCCAGCGAACTGTCGTTTTGCCTGCGTCCCAATTCCTACCCGAGAACCTCGAGTTCCGTTATATCCGAACCATCTCCATGGTTTGCGCCGCATACGCTGCTAACGTCTTGGAGAACGCCTTAAGCACGCTGGGCCACGAGGCTCGGGAGAGGGCTTTTACGCAGACCGACGAGTTACTCGCCGAGTATTCGCAGTGGCCGTTTGGAAGGAAGACTGGCTCTACCGGCATTGGAGCCAACCTACCGCAGGTCATATCTGAGGTAAGCTCATTTATCCCCTGGGGATATACTCGGGGTGGATAGCGGCATACTAACTATAGCCTCCAGGAAATTAACAACGCTAAAGACAAAGAGCTCCAGCTTGAAGTTGTTGCCGCCTGTTTGAGCGTCTTCACCCGCCTCGATTCGCTTCTATAGACGTTGGGTTCGCCCACATTAATCCTTCTACTTATACGAAACACGATACGACCAGCATCCAACCTCGTCAGCCTTCACTCCCTGCCCTCCTGACACAAACCAACTCCCAACCCGGCATCGTTGCAACGGTGTTGACGCGGTCGAGGGCGCTCTTCTGGATTAGAAAGGGGTGAGATTTAGTAACGTTTGCCACAGTGACTATGTACGGAACTGGACTGCGAATGACATGGAGAGAAAGAGAGGAGGGGCGGCGGGGACACTCGGATGTGCTACTCCTCGCTAGGATTCGGATAGGAATCCCACGAGGGAAGAAAACGGGGGGGAGAGGAGAGCCAGACAATCACGGTACAGGCAAGGAATGGGTCATGTCATCTTTCTCGACGGTGTTATGTTGTAATAGTCTAAAAATCATGGATTTCTTCTTTGCCCTCGGCGTCGGTCCCTTATCACGCTTGTTTGTAAGTCGTTTTTTTGCGGGACGTCGTGATTATCTATATATACACCGTCCCCTTTTTTTTATCATCACATAACTAGAGCCAGTATATTACGACTTTCGAGTATATATCTGCTTCATTGCATCATTACATATCATATTAGCTAACTTCTTCGCACGTACGCTTCCCACATACTTATCGGGGTTTCTTTTTTTTCTTTCCTTTTCTGTTTTTACGTCTATTTGCCCTTCCGCAGACGCTCCTTCCACCCGCCCTTCTCATACAGCCATATCGCTTCCGTAGCAAATACCCTTGCGCTGCGGTGCCCTCTGCCCTCCTCGGTTCCCGCCTCCTCGTATAAACTGCGCATGACGGCGCCGTCCTCTACATCCGCCCATATGCCTTGAGCGACGGCGGAGTCTGCCCCGCCAAATTCTCCGCGCCCGAGCCGGTATAGAATGCGACCGAGGGTCTGGTACGCGACACACCTCTGGCCCGGAACGGCGCTGCGACACAGGCGCGCTAGCTCCCGCACCGTGTACCCCGCGGCCTCGGGGGCTTCGCCGTGGTGGTGTAGGCCTTTGGTCACTGGGACGGCGCGCGCGATCCGCGGCGGGAGTAGCGACCCTCGGAAGTCGAAGCGCAGTACGGAGACGGGGAGGGAGTCCTGTTGCGGATGGTACGGACTGTCGTAGTCGGCGGGCGAGTTGGGCGTCGGCACGGGCGCCATCCAGGCTAGTTTCGAGGGGTCCGCGGGCAGGCTTGGGAAGTACTTGTCGTGAAGCTTTTGGAGGAAGTCGGGGTCGTGCGGGTCGAGGTCCCCAGGTTGGGGAGGCTGCGGCCAGTGCGGCTTAGCTGGTGTTTGTTCGCGGTCGGTGGGTTCTTCCGAGGGGGGGTTCTGTGCGGCGGCGTTGTTGTCGGAGGAGAGTTGTGAGGCAGATGTCGATTCTGTCTCTGGGATTATTTTTGCTTCTTGCTCTTCCTCGTCTGCTACTGAGGCCCATCGTACACGTTTAGAGCCGTCGGTTGTGGTTGGTTCTGCTCCGCTCTGCTCTGTGGGCTCCTTATTGGGTGTATTGTTATTCGATTGAGTAGATGTATCCTCTATCGCTATCTTGGGGGGGTCTTGCTTCGGCTTGGCATCCGAGGAGGTATCTTGTGAGGTAGAATTAGGAGGGTCGAAAGGTGAGGGCCCAGTAGATTCGTCCAAGTTGGCGCGTTTGAGCAGCATTTCGATTATAGACGGGTCTAGACCGTTGAAAAGCTCCTGTCTGGCTGCCTCTATCTCTTCTGGTGACATCGATGCTATTCTATCATTATTTTCGCGATCTATGCTTTGCTGCTCGTTCGATTTGAAATCTTCTCCTGGTCGCGTTGTCTGCTGCGCATCTTGGCTCGGTGAGGAAAGAGGTTCCTTCGACCCTGTCGTGAAAACTTTTGGCTCGTCTCCCTTTGGCTTGTCTCCTTCTGGCTTTGCGGACTGTCGCTTTTGCTTGAAAGCTGAGATCCGAGTTCGCTTCTTGTGTTCGGGGAAGCCGGTCGTAGTCGATTTAACCTGAGGGAAGCTTGGAGCTGTCGGTACAGTCACCTCCTTCTCCTGAATATCCGTAATAAGGAAGTCCATGGCTGCTGGTAGTGCCCCTTGACGGCTTGGTCGGGAGAATAACGGGAAATGACTTGAAATGATATTTGTTTGCGACAAGTCGATAGAGGGCTAGAATTATATTTTTAATTGATGCGTTGACGTAACAGCCACTCAGCCCCTCTAAGTTTAGTTCCTTTCCTTGTGGCTGGTACATCTACTAGCTGCATGGATAGTGCAGCGCTAGCGCCATGATGTCCAACTTGGAAATTCCAGAAGGAGGAAGAAGCGCCGACCGCCGCTTAGCGGGCCAATGAGATATCATCGGCCCGCGTTTCATTACAACTGGTCCGGAATTTGGGCTGAAACTTAAAAAGGTACGTAGGTACTCATCAGTTATGAATTGAAGCTTTATGCTTGACGGGTTTGTACAAGTATACTTTAAGTGGTTATAAATGAGGTTGACTATTCCCAAAACCTTACTTGTTTGTTTGCTTGGTATAACTACCTACCTATCTTGTTCGGATACTTATGCATATTTTAAGATAGTACGGCTATCAGAGCAGCCAACTCGTAAGAGTAGTACTTGCAAGATTAATAGTAGCAACATTTAGTTGAACTTCAGAATTATATGAGTCATAAATGTGCCATGCACATTAGAAAGATCAGAAGAGCTTCATGCTGATTGAAGAAATGAAAACTTCGCGTTTGCTTTATTAAGTACCTAAATAATGCTGCGCAACCCCCACCTAGTGTAAGTATGTACATAGAGTCGTATGTGATAATTATTAAACAGGGGTTGGAAAAAGAAAAGAAGGTATTTACTTGCCAAGCTTTATTCAATTCTTTCTTCAAGTATACTATCAAGACTATCAGCCCTGTTTGATAATTCCATAAGCATAAATGACAATTAAAAAGTCTCATGTAACAATATGCATGTCCTTTACAAAATACGTACAAGTACAGTCTAATAATAGGCGCGATGCACGTTTTTTGCTAATCCCTGCTCAGCGTGTCTACATATCTTAGTAATCAGCATTTTGTATTGTCTATGACCTAATAGGCCCTTGTCTTTGTCGCGGCTATCTTGCGTTAAGCGTTGTAGTGGGTCCTGTGAGACGTTAACAACTGAAACATAGGTACGTACCCCGCGGTATCTCTTCAATCCGCAGTTCGGCGGAGAGGACTGGAGGCTCAAGCTGCATGAAATTGAGCAGTTCCCCACCCGCCCTGCCTTTTTTAAGTTTGCCGACTGCTCGGCTCATCCAACCCGGGTCCTACCCATTCAAGGAAAGTACACTTCTGCAGCTGTACCTGACCACCTATCCTTTGAGTTACTTGCTTCAGGTGAAACTTCCTATATTAGATAGCAGGTGATACATCCCTGACTATGCCGTCTATTGTATCAGGAGGTATACATTCAATGACGGAGCATTTGATAATATCGGCCGATGAAACCCCACACTTACCCTTAACGAACAATTCCCGTCGGGTACAGTATTCAACCCAGTGCCAGCGGAAATACTTACCTAAAGCAAGTAACTATACGATGTATGATTGTACCTCGAACGCCCAGCCCAGCCACGCCTGGAACTTTTAGCTTGTCCATATCCTAACGTAAGTATCTTCTCAAATGGCTACTAATGTGATCCGATCCTTCACTGCTTCTCTCATCCGGTTGCCCTTTCTAGCTACCCAAGGTTCCAGTGTACCGAAAACCTCTCCCTAGTGGATTCCTTCTTATTTTATGTGTTTACTTTTACTTAGTTACCTATCAAGAATACATCCTTAAAGGGCCGAACCTAGGGCCACCTCATCAATGTGAACTGTCATACGCCCCTCCTTGTTTTTCCCTTTTTTTCCCTTTTCTTCGTTGAGTCCCTCTAACACTCTACTATGTATACTAATTAGTACATGTTCCAATTATCAAGGCCCCATCGTCATCTTTAAGCTTAGGCCAAGTCACCCACCCCCCGTCGGATGACAATTCGCGATCTGATGCCTATGCGCCTAATGTGTTCTTCCCTTCTCCCTCCCCCCCCCAATTGTCATGTCACGGTTCCCCTTGAATTCCCAGCTGTTCCAATGACACCCCCAGGCTTACCTAGTTCCGATCTTCTAATTCGATTTTTTAATAATAAAATTTCCCACGCAACTTTCATTTCTAGCTAGTTAGCCAGGCCCCGATTTTTCTCGCCTTGTTGGAGAATACATAATTCCCAATTCCAAAAAAAAAAATAGTAGCCATCCCCATCCCTCCCGCAATCTTCCAAAAACTCGCAATTCTCCCCCCTTCTCCCCTACTTTTTCTTCACAACAAAGATGATGTCCCAAAGATAAATTCATCTACATCCATCACTTTATCGCGACTTTTCATTCTCTTATTTACGTCATCTTGTGCATCTAAATTTGGTGCATCCTACCCGATAAGTTTCGGAGTCTACCACCTACAAAATTACGACTTTTTTCAAGGCCAAAGTTCGGTTCACGGAGCTACTTGCGCAACCTCTGCGCGATCTTCGTGAAGTTATTCAGACCCGGACTCTAGCTCCTACGGCGCACCGACCACACGATTTTGAGGTCACGTTACTCGATAGTATGTACTCTGGTACAACACACTCCACTAAGGCCTCACCACTTACCTTTTTTGAACCAATAGTCAATCTGGTGCAGTGTTTTTCGCGTACCTGCTTTGCAACCTTAGCTATAGCTGGACCCACGTGCGTCTATTCGCCTATTCGTCTATTCAATAGTGGTCATCAACGCTATACCTCATAACATTATCGCGAACCCGTAAAGACGTTATCATTGGCCAATGCGCACTTGATACCGAAAAGGAAAGGAAGTTTATACAATTGCGAGTTTACTTCAACAACTACAACTTTAACCATTCACAACTACTACTTATCAGATAAATACGGTTCATTTGTTTTGAAAGCCTTTTTTCATTCTATTTGGTTGAATTCTTTTATTCGCCGAAAACAAATCTGTCGGTGCACCATCCTTGGCTCTAATTCTTCATCAAGTAGAGTTTTATCAATATTTGGTGTCTCGGATCGGGAATTTGTCTATAGATCGCCAGGATGGCTGGGGGTTCTGCCAACGCCCCGGCTCGATTCAGTTCTTCGCCGGAACTGTCTGATCCCCCTTCTATGCTATCAGGACCTGGATCAGCAAATGGAGAAAGCAGAGCAAAGAATGGAGAACTGGATGAGATAGTAGTAGACCCTACTACTATTAGATATGATGGATCGGGTCAGCCCATGTTAACTAAAGATGGATTACCTAGAAGAAAGCCTGGCCCGAAACCTGGAACGAGGATCAACAAGCGAAATAGCGCCAATCCCGAAGAAGGAGAGAAGGTTAAGCGAGTGCGGAAGCAAAAGGACCCTAACGCACCGACAGTCTCGAGAAGACGTAAGGGAGCATCTCTCGAAGGCGAGGCGAGCGAACCAAGATCTCGTGCTGCTAGTGTCAGCGGTGGTGCAAATACTGGAACTACGGTATCACGACAGACCAAGATCACTGAGATGGCTACGACTCAGACTCGGTTGGAACCGCTTCCTCAAAGGGAAGTGAAACGTGATAGCATGCCCGGATCCATGTCCAACATTCTGAATAACGACCCCGAACCCCTACAATTCCCTCGTCAATCACAGAAATCACCACAACAACAGCATCAACAACTGACACGGCCCAGTGCTCCGTCACGGACGAGTGGTACTAACTACGACCCAATTCGCTCATCGAATTATGACCCGATAAGAGAGACCATGGTCACACATACTTATTCAAATCCGATGAGCGGATCTCCTCGTGGACCTACCACAACAAATGCCATCAACCGCGCAAGTGCATCGCCTTCGATCGCCAGTCTTGTTGACCCACCTGTACCGAATATTATTTCGCCTGTTCCATCTCATACCTCTTTTGTTCAGAGCACACAATCTCAGCCCCCTTCTCAGTCTCAACCGCGCATTCATAAGGAATCCAGCTCGATGCCGGAGTCTCCTAGTCCTTTCCGCAAAGACTTTATACCTCCGCCCGCACCAAAGCCGCCCACAACTGAGGCCAAGGAGGGTAAGGAGACTAAAGAGGCTAAGAAGCCTTCGTCAACCCTTGCACATGCCATTACCTCCAAAATCGAGATTCGTCCGACGTCTATCACTACGATTGGTGCGGCCGGTACGAAGAAGACGTCACCTAAAAACCACAGCACCACATCGTCGTCACCCCGCATCAATGCCATCAAGGATACACTCGCTCCCCCTCTTCCAAGTGGGCCTGAGCGTTCCATCCTGGACTTTGGTAAAGCGGAACCCGGATCCGAGTTTAATGCTCCATCGATTATCCTGAACATTCCTCTCAACGGGGAAACAAATAAATACATCAACTTCATGCGAATGGCCGAGGATCAGTATGGTTGGGAAGCCCTTCATCCGCGCCAGGCCGAACTCAAAGCGCGTAAGGCTCGCATCGCCGCTGCATCAGCCGCATTGGCCCAGAATGACTCCAGCCGTGAGGGGGATGAGATGTCAGTTGACGAATCAGAGAATGAGGACTCGAATGTCGAAATGGGCGGCACGAGTGGACCAGATAAGGCCGCCGACGACAAGCCTGCAAAAAAGAAAAGACATTTCAAAGAGGACGAGTACGATAAGGATGACGATTTTGTCGATGATTCGGAAATGCTCTGGGAGGAGCAAGCGGCAGCCAGTCGGGACGGCTTCTTCGTCTACTCCGGTCCCTTAATACCGGAGGTTGAGAAGCCTGAATCTGGACGGTACGTACATCTCCTATTTTTAGTGGCTCGAGTATACTAATTTAATGCAGTGGCGAGGGCCAACCGAAGCGAGGACGTGGATCACGAGGTGGTCGCGGCGGCACTCGTGCGGCGACTACAGGCGCAGGACGAGGTCGCGGAGGAGGCCCCGGGTCCCGAGGAGGCGCAGTGAGAAAGCCGCGAATGACGAAGGCCGATAAAGCTCAGATGGACCGCGAAAAGGCAGAACGTGAGGCGGCCTTTTTGAAATCGACGAACAGCGGATCATATAATGTTCTTCACCCCGGCAGTCCCCAATTTGCAGGCTTGTAGGCTAAGTCTCCATGACCAACTCGGGGGAAATCTGGTATTGAGTAATAGGGGCGATGTAATATGTACACAAGCGACATTGATATGATCGCCAAACAGCGGGCGTGGCCTTTGAAGGATTCGTGCGCAGGGGCGACGCTAAAGCTACGGTTTGTTTTGATACCACGATGTTCTTGACGCGTGTCAGGGGTTTGGGATTCCGGCGTACGCTTAGTGGCTTGGGGTGGCTAGATTTGCTTCGGCTCTAGAAGTGTATACATCGTTTTAATTGCAAGAATCAGTACTATGTTGATCTAAATATTGGTATTATCTTGTTCTTTAGGTCCATGTTGATTGGTCCGATCCGAATCGCCCCCCCCGCCATCTCATTAGTGGATTAGATCGGCCTAGGATGAAAGCCCGAAGTACGTATGTATAAGGTGGACTTCGGCCTCGAGGCGCGTGCAATATGTCTCCTAGCTTATAGAGGGCTAGGTGGCGTAAGAAGTGTTTCGTTTATACGCCCTTAGTAGTTATACATTATTGGCAGTATACGGTTTTCGCCAAGGCCTGTTCGTATCTATAAAACAGAGGCGTTCACCCATCTCTTATCTGTGGCCCCTTTTCTCCTTTTTTTTCCCTTCTTCTACTTTTCTTCATTACCTACCTGACTTCCTAGCAATCACTTCTACCCAGCTTCTACTCGGAACTTTACTACTTATTAAGATGACTTCTTCTCACCCCCTTTCCGCAACATCTTTGTTTTCGCTAAAGGGTTGGGTCGCTGTCGGTTGGTATTTACCCCCTTTTTCTAGCTTCCCCTCTTTTACTGATTTTTCCACGCAGTGACGGGCGGAGGAACAGGTGTCGGACTGAGTAAGTCCTTAATTTCCATTTCACCCTCCCTATTCTTTCGTTTAACTTTCTAGTTGCCTAACACGTACCTTTCTAGTGATCACTCAGACACTGGCTGCCAATGGAGCTAAAGTCTACATCACCGGGCGCCGCGCAGACGTTCTAGAGACCAGTACTCGCATCCACGGTTCGCCAGAGAGGCTGGGCCCTCTTGGGGGTAGCATCGTCCCTATTGCCATGGATATTACGTCGAAGGATAGCGTTAGGGGTGTCGTCGCCGAGATCACGCAAAAGGAGGGTTTCGTTAACGTGTAACACCATCGCAACTTCAACGGTCGTTACTTTTCTAATTACTGTCTTGACAGTCTTGTTAACAATGCGGCAATCTGGGTAGGACGGCCCACTGCGCAAGCGGAAGACGGGCCTGAGGCTTTTAGCGAAGCCATGCTAGCCGAAAGTAATGAAGACAACTGGCAGAAATGTACAAGGCGGTTTTCCCCAGGCTATCATTGAAAATCTAAGTCCGATTAACCATTTCATAGCATTTGATGTCAATTGCACCTCGCAATACTTCGTCACGGCCGCGTTCCTCCCGCTCCTCGCCAAAGCTGCGTCCGGTCCGACCGGGAGAGCTGGAAGCGTGATCAACAATGCCTCGGTGAGCGGAATTCTTCGAATGTCAGTACAAACACTTAAGTTACACCGTTGGATGGAAATAGGGGGCTCCTATTCTAATAGTTATGATATCTCCACAGGTCGCAGAACTGCCAGTTCTCATACAATGTATAACACCTCTTATATTCGTCACCTCTGGACATAACTAATAAGTAGCAGGTCACCAAAGCGGCACTCTTACACCTAACGCGCCAGATGGCGTTCGAGTTTAGCCACGAGAAGATCAATGTTCGCGTGAACGGCCTTGCGCTCGGTAAGTATCCATCTTTCTACCGCCCTTTCAATTCATGATTGAGTCAAATCATACTGATATGATAAGGATACTTCCCATCGGAAATGACGACGGGCGAGTCTAACGACGAGAACGAGAGCACAGCTTCGAACGAGCGTTTTGCGCTCCTGATGAAAAGCATGGGCGCTGAGAGGGTAAAGCGCATGGGAACGCCGCAGGAGGTTGCGAGTGTAAGTTGACTTATTCTCTTCGGTTATTTATTTCAATATTCCCTTTCGTCTTGAGGGTGCGTATAGGGCGCGAGTAATGAATTAAAGTCACTGATTGATGATTCATTGGTTTTTAGGTTATTCTTATGCTTGCTACAAACGACTTTGTCTGGGGCACCGTCTCGATTGTTGATGGTGGCATGACTCTGACTGTGCCTGCAAATATGTAAAGGATGGTGGCTAATAGTCGCACGTTACTTATTTTGGGAGCATTCTAAAATTATTACTTGGATGCTTGTTCTTAGACAATCTGATACTCAAATACAAATTTTTGCATTATGATGTTTCCCATTTCTGATCTACTTTATTAGCATTCTCTTATTTTAACTATTTACACGAATCTATCTTACGAAGGAAAAGTCGGCGCTTAGTTTGGCAAGGGGAACCGGTTGGCGTTCTAGTGCAATATTTGTTATAGAGACACAATCTTGGATGGCTAGCATGGCCACGTTGCTGGAGATAATTCTTAAGGGGCGAACCCCTTTTTCGATGATTCATCCCTACCGACTAATGCGCTCTCTCAAAGGCTGTTCACTGCTTTCGCGTGGTCGTAGACAAGTGTCTGCGCTTCTTCGTCATCTAGGTAAATGGTGAAGCCGTCGTTATGGTTACGACCATAGGAGTATCCCGAGAAGCCGTATTGCCAGTATAAGTCGGCCATACCCTCTTCTAGCATGATCTTCTGCCAGCCCCCTTCGACCTCCAATCTCGTCGCGTTCACGGCAGGGATTCCATTCTGCTCACGCACCTCGGGCGTCATCCAGCCGTACTCTTCATGGACGACCGGCTTATCAGCATCCTTGCCAGCGGCCGCGTGATCACGGATCCACTGGTCGGCCCAGGCGACAGTCTTAGTCCACCAGTCGGGGTAGGTATGGAACACGCCGAAGTCGATGTTGGGTAAAGCTAAGTTGGCGTCGAAGTCGCCGCCGTCAGAACCATTATAGGCCCAGTCGTCCGACTCCCGGTTAAAGCCACCTTCTCCACCCCACGTTACCAAGTGGTCCGGATCTAAACTCTTGACAAATGTGCTCATCTCGTCGATCCATGAGGTCAGCGTGTCTGCTGTGCAGTTGCCACTAACTGGTAGATTGCGCACGGCATCGGCGCCGCAGCGCGGTTCATTGGCAAGCTCCCAAGCTAGGATAGTCGCGGAGTCTTTATAACGCGTAATAAACTCTTTAATGTATCGCTTGTATGCATCTTTAATTTGAGGTAACCGGTAGAACTAAAATGTCGTTAGCATTGTATTCCTATACATATCTCAGTAAACCCGAAGAGTGCGTTTATAACTTACATCATCATGATACTTCCCACCAAGGTTAATAGTAAAGACGTCCATACCACCATAGTCGGCCCAGTTATTAGTAAAGGTGACGATAAGTTTGATACCGATCTTGGTGGCGGCATCGACTACCTTGTCAAATTCGGTGATGTTAACGGTAGAAGTGCCATTAGCCCACCATTGGAAAATAGCATTGGTCGCGCCCGCACCCTCGCCACCATACTGCGGCAGGCCTTGAGGATCATAGGTGACATTCTTGTCATTAAAGCCCCAAGTGCGGAATACTTTCAGGCCGGCATCCTTGGCAGCAACAAGTCCGAGTTCGACATCAGTCGTGTTCTTAAGCTGTAATTAGAATATGTCTCAAGGAAGGAATATAGACTACGTACGCTATCAAAGGGGAAATAGTACGCGTTGCTCCCGGCAAAGTTGAAGTCTTTCCCATCGAGTTGGAACTTGCCCCCTTTAACGGTGACGAAACCCTCAGGAACAGCTCTACCCTTAGTTTTGCTTAAGGGGCCTGCGTAGACTCCTCCGCTTACGAGCAGACCGAGCGACAGAAGACTTAACAAAGTGAGGACCATATTGACGATCGAACTGCTCAGTATAAAAACGACGAGTAGCCATTGTGAACGACCCGATGTTGTCCAGCATAAGGTACTTATGTATTTCATCAAGGGCCCCTTTCCCCAATTCGGGTATTTCCGTTTTGGGGAAACGGAGGCCTTTAAACCGCGTTGCTAGGATCCCGCTAATTGAGCCTCTTGGTAACATTGACAACCTGCGCCGAACCACTTAGAGACGGTCGTTCTGTTTTATTCTACGGGGACTACGGCATTTGTGGGTTAACGCAGCGGTTAGAAAGTCTGTTTAGAGATTTGGTCTTGGTGTTGGAGACTCGGAAATCAGGTCCGTTTGTGGAGAAGTGAGAACATCGCGGGATTATATGCCCCGAAGTTTTGAACTTATGATGAAATCATATTATAACTTTAGCATTAACTAATTAGGCATAGGAAGGTAATTATTACTAAAATATAGGTACTCTCACACTTGACAATACGGACTTCAGTACTTACCTATATAGATTTTGAAAAAATGGCGATGCAAATGTGTAATATGCTAAACAAAAAAGGCCAGGGATTTTCAACTAAATAATTGGAATATCCTTAAATGGGAGACTTGACTTATATATTCATTAAAGCCAGCAATAAGTCTTAAAAGCAACATTATACACCATATAGTAAACGTAGGTATACATGTAGATGACAAATGTACGCACTCTATCTTCGTCCGTATCTTGTGTTCATGGACCAAGGGTATCCCTTTATCGATAAAAGGTAGGAGGGTCTGTTTGTTCAGTGGGGCCGATCTTTCATCTCCACCCAACTCCGGGTTGTTCGGGTCTCCATATATCTTTGCCGTGTTAGTGGGGTAGTACGTCTCTCCCCGAAATAAAACTGGAATGGCATTTACAAAAGAAAGGTTTATTATCATGGGTCATAATGAGATCTTGTAATTCGTTAAAGGCGATTAGTAGTATCTTTAGATGACTACCTAGGTACGTATAGTGCAAATCTCACATAGAATTAACGCTTATATGAATGCCTACCTACCTAAGTACAACTAATATTCATGTACATAGTGTAGTGTATATTTCTTATCGATAATGATGTCACCCCCACAAGAACAGGACAATGCCTCATACGGTAAGACCCCTTCATAAAAGTGCCAAGATTTCGTATTTGATAAGGTAAGCGATAAACTCCGCACTAATAAAAAATTCCCACCAGCAAAAAACCGATTCTTGTTCCATCCAATCAAGGCTCGACTTCATCTACTTTTTGCTGTAGCCCAAGGCCCCAGGCTTTTCTAACACTGGTACTGGTACCACTGCTGCGGGCAACCAACTTTTTTTTTTTTTTTTTTTTTTAACCTTGAACTTTTTCTTCCGTCTACTAATCTCCATCATCCAATTTTTAACGAAGTCTCAATTACGCCAACCTACCTTCGTTTGTCGATTTGATAAATACTACTGGTAGGAGGAAGTACGGAGCATCATTCTACTTGATCTCCTAGTTTAATAGGCATTATGGAGGACTCTTCGTTAAAGGTTGGTTAATCCAACAATCCGACCTGTATCGCCGACAGGATATCGCGTGCTCTTGAAGAATGATAACCGACACCTCAATACATAGGAGCGTCTCCTCAATTCGCAGAAGTCCTTCGATGGACTCTTGTCGTTAATACCTGCCAGAATGTATTATGGAGAAGACACGACCGTAAGTCGCACTCCGTAGCAACGCACCTAACTCATTTCCATTACTTATCATTGCGCAGGACCAATGGAAACGGAAGAAGCAGACCAAAGCTGAGGCGGCTGCTGCCCGACGTAATAAGCTCGATCCCGATAGCGCGCTGAACCGAAGTGTGAAAGAAGTTATGGATGAGCAGGCATTAAAAAAGCGGAAGCGCAATCAGATGCAAGATGGAGATGACGAAGACTGGTCTGATGTGGAAGGAGTCGAGACTGAGAAGCCTGGCGAAGGATTGAAGAGGAAGGCGGCACAAGATGCCAAGAAGCAAAAGAAGTTGAACGAGGAGCAATCCGAGCTGAGCGAAAAAGAACGGCGGTTGCAAGAGAAGAGAGCTGCGCGAAAGGAACGAAAGGCGGAACGACAGCAGCTAAGGGAAGAGGAGGCAGCCTTCCAGAGACAAACTATCAAGGGTGTCAACAAGATCAAGTTAGGGCCTAGAGAAACGAAGACCAGCCCAGCGCCAAATGGTGATATCAAATCCGCCGACGCTAGCACCGAGACTGACGATGAGCAGCCAGAGGCGGAAGAAGAAGTTGATGCCTCGGATGTCAAGCCCCTTGATGTTTCTGGTCTCGCTGATGCTGCCGAAGAACAAAACTCGGTATCTGCCCCCTCGCCCCCTCCATCGGAACCCCAATCCCCCGTCTTCGACACCAACGGTACGCCCGCCGACTCAACCGGCCAAGCTCCAAGTACAACGTCCGTATCATCCTCCGCCCCTGCTGAAAAGCCAAAGCATATCAAGATTCCCCCTGATACCACCGCTCTTCGTGCTCGCCTCGCGGCAAAGATACAAGCGCTCCGCGATGCGCGAAAAGCCGATGTTGATGGAAAGCCAATACGTACGCGTCAGGAGCTAATCGAAGCGCGACGCCAAAAACAAGCGGAGCGAAAAGCACACAAGAAAGAGTTGCGACAAAAGGCTAAAGTAGAAGAAGACCTCAAGCGTGAAGAGGCTTTGGCATCTGCCCGTAACTCTCCAGGCAGCATTCTTAGCCCAGCCATCGATCTCGAGAACAATAACTTCTCCTTTGGCCGGATTGGATTTGGTGATGGCTCTCAATTATCCCATGATCTCTCACATGTTCTCAGTAGCGGCAAGAAGAAGGGCCCATCAGATCCTAAGACAGCCCTTGAAAAGCTAGAGAACCAAAAGAAGCGGCTGCAAGAGATGAACGAAGAAAAGCGAAAGGACGTTGAAGACAAGGAACTTTGGCTTACTGCGAGGCGACGTGCAGAAGGCGAGAAGATCAAGGACGACGAAAAGTTGCTCAAGAAAGCTGTCAAACGTAAGGAGACGACAAAGAAGAAGAGCGAAAAGGAATGGTCAGCCAGGAAGGAGGGTGTTGCCAAGGCGATGAAGGATCGACAAAAGAAGCGAGAGGAGAACATCAGAAAACGACGTGAGGAGAAGCTCGCGGGCAAAAGCGGCAAGAAGAAGGGGGCTAAAAAGGCTAAGAGCAGAGCAGGGTTTGAGGGTTCGTTTATAGGTGGCGGGAAGAAGAAATAAGTTACTATGTGATCTGTCTATGCCTAGAGCTTACCGTCTTACCCCTTTACTTAAGGTTGTTTGCATCATGTATATAGTGTGCTTCAGGCAGACCAGCAGTTGGCGTATCTGGGTTATCCAAACATTTTAACACCCTGTAATCTCGATGTCCCGATGGTAAAAATTACCGAGGACTGTAATCTTGTCCCACTTGACTCGAGGATGTGAGTGGGTGAGAATTTAGATGTGCTGACTTAAGAAATATGAACTAAGTTGAGATTGGAACGTTGATTTAGCTAGGACCTCTTTGTTCTATTAAATAGGTGTCTTAGTAGTCAAGTGACAAATCCGGACGTTGACTTCAAGTTCCAATGCTTTCTAACATTATACTTTTAGCCTTATAGAGACCTATGGGGGGTTCTTCGTAAGTAGTGCCTAATTAGATTTTCTTGATTGCTTCATGTAGACGGTCAAAATAGGGGTAAATATACGCTAACTTCCAAAATGTTATCATAGTCATAGGAAATTGGCATTATCTTATAATCGCGTAGGTACCAAACTACGAATCTCTTCTTATCCCATAAATCAATGTATTAGGCAGTGCCCAATATAAAACTTATAAGTTTATCGCTACGTCTTAATATCAATATGGCACATGTGAACGGCTTGAGCCCGGCTCAGGAATTAATTATGACGTCTTATTATCGCTTTGAGTAAGTAAAACTGTTGCCCTTTAAAACATATTTAAGGAGAGTACATTGTAGGGATATTATTTTACCGTTGGCCACATAGGCTGGTTCTTTATGTAAATAGTCTGAGCATGACTCAGGTAGTCTATAGCAAAATACTTCGGCATTGTTTCTGAAGACATAATCAACTTGAACGGATAGCTTGAATACTCGCCACCATTGACAAGTCCACCGTCTTAATCGGAATACTACCAATCATATCTCGAGTAACTCACTCTGTAAGTAATACTAGTGTTGTAGTATTGTAGTATTGTCGTATTACTCCCAATACCTCAATTTTCTTACTAGGTGCTACTAAGACTATTGAGATGGAGAATCGAAATTGATAATTATTGGAAATGGTCCAATCGTTATATTCTTTATATACGGGAATAGAGACCTCGATAACTTTGAATGTTCATTGTATTGAGAGTATCTGAGCACATATCCTATCGGAATCTCGCGTTCGAAGCTCGGTGCGTTTAAGGTACTTGTCGGCCTCTTGGTGGTGTGCGAAATGCACCTCCTGTACCTATCTTGACATATGCGGAATTGATGACAGGTTCGAGTCATGTAGTCTTTGTTAAACTTGGCTAACCGCGGAAGTGTTCCTGATGTGCGTGACCATTGACCAATCGTCGTGAATGTACTTTTTATCGTCCTTTGTTTCATTTCACCGGAAGGTTTCCGGTGAGCATTAATAATCGTTACTAGGCTCGCAATATAGGGCTTGTTTTTAAAACTTAACGTTCTGGAATCTGTAGAAATTCTATAAGGTCTTTGTTGAATCGGCCTAAAGATTATCACGATGATGTTATAGCGCCATTGTTAGAGTTCCTGAACTCGGGAGGTAAGTCTAGAGCTTCGTGGCCATGGGGTTGAATTCGGTTGACTTATGTTTATCATTACCCTCTTAATTTCAAATGTCCTCCTCGACTTAGGATAAACCTTTCAAGTTCAAAACACTTACACATGATCATGATCTTATTAGAGTTAAATATCATGGAAAGCAGAAGTCTACCTCCTATACGTGGGACGGGACTAGCCATATATATTGTAACAATTATAATGGCTCTAGTCTCGTCCATCGTTGTATTTTTTAGAGTATACATCCAATGGGCCGAAAGATCGTTCTGGTGGGATGATGGTTTGATGTTGGCCGCATTGGTCAGTATTCTTACATTATAGCAATCGAGCATCTTGATCTTATTAACGAGAAACTCATAGATAATATATATTGTTAACATTGGATTTGCTTGTAGAAGCGTACTATATAACGGTACCCCCAATGCGAATATTCCTATATCCATGCAGGTCGAAAGTAACAAATATCTGACCCTTTGGTCACTATTATACGCTTCATGCCTTTTAATCGTCAAGGCTTCTATCTGCTTGACTATGTTTCGGCTGAGAAAGCCCACGAAATATATCCGCTTCGCGATCTATACTCTTCTCCTGGCAAGCTTTGCATCGTTTCTCGTTGGCGTCATAGGTCTCTTAACTCAATGTGATTCCGTCGAAGCTATTTGGGACAAGAGACTCATGAGAGATGGCAAGATAGCATGCAAAGATAAAGATAACATGCTGGGCATCATATATGCTACTACGATTATAACGATCGCGACTGATGTGGCATGTACTGTTTTACCGGCAGTCATGATGTGGAATACTCAACTCAAGCTGAAAAAGCTACTAATTAGCTTGCTTTTGTTATTCGGGCTGTTCGCTTCTATTTGCACGGTAATCCGTATGTATGATATTCAACGGTTTACGGGAAAAGGTTTACATTGTGAGTTGCATTACCACTACCTGCTGTTTAATTGCTGTGCGGTTCTAATATGTCGCAACGTACAGTCTGGACCTTGAAAACTGTGCTGTGGTCGAACATCGAAACGGGCATTGGTATCATCTCAGGGTCGATGCCAGTGCTGCAGAAGATTATTTTGAGCCAGCCTAAGAAACGAGAGACGATCATATCATCTAAAGCTCCCAGTTCAGCCCTCCCTCATAGCGCACCCATCAAGTCTCAAAGTAACCGAGAAGACTTTGGTAATCCGTTTGACGCCGGCTGCAATATCACGACAGTATGCGCGAGTCGTCGTTCTCGTGATTGGGACCGTATGGAAGGGACGTTTAACTTTCCCTTTATTCGTGCCGAGTATACTTACGAAGTTACGCGATCAGATTTCTCTACCGAGATGGCAAAAATGGAAGTGTAAAACACTATAGTAAAAAGTCGGACAAGGTTGGGATAGCTACCTGTTTATATTTACAAGTAATTGATAAGTGTTTATACGAAGTTGCCTTTCCGGGTCATCTCAATAGAAGGGTCGCATATTAAGATCTAGTTCCAGAAGGGATGGAATTATGCCGAATTGACTGGTTCCATGGTTTGTCTGCGCTCTGAAGTTCAATTTATTACCTATATGATGTGATTAAATATAACCTAACGTTACCGATTTTATTTTCCATTATTTTACACTAACATCCACGTTTCCTATCTTATTGTAATTCGTATACGTCGATGTATCGCTGGGGTCGCCGAGCCATTCATATTCCACAATCTTCACGTCGTTATCGTTCTGGCCTTCTAGGCAATATATCCTCCGAGCGTGACTGGCAACAATTATCCCGCGGTCTTTGCAATCTGATAAATCGCTAACTTCTTGATCCGCCGCAGTCCAATTACCCCCTTTATAATATGTCAATTGGACTCCGTCATCGACAGTAGGGTCCATGGTTAAAACCTGGAAGCCCAGCGGTTCGGACCAGCCGGTGCTCGTCTCGTTGAAGCCCGTCGAGAAGGCAGCAATCGCGGTTTTAGGTCCTATATCCCGCCCAAGGTAATGCCCTACGTACCGACCATCGCCATTCACGATCTGAGATAGTGCGCTGGTAACAGAGCGGTAGAAAAGATTCATGCTCCTGTGGCCGTCTGTTGTCGCAGCGGCTGCGTGTGCCTGAACAAGAGACGCGTTCTCGGCGGGCGCCGATATGTCAACCTGAATGACATTCGTGTTACTATACCATCCGCTGGTGTCATTCTGGTAGCTAGCTTCTCTTATTCCAGCAGACGTCTGCCAGTAGAGGTATGTGTATTGGTTGCATAAGTCGCACTGCTTTCCGTACGAGGCGAGGGACGATCCGGCGGTAGAAATATAACTATCTCCGGCTTGCGAATCCACCCAATTTGCAGTTGGGATAGTCGACTGTGTCGAGATGCCCTTGTCATTATTGTAAGTTAGAGCTTTGATTGTAGCTAGACCGCCGCTGTCGGGAAGTTGCCAGTATACGTGTATATCGCGTCTCTAGAGCAAGTATTAGTATTTTGGTTCGTTCAATATTTCCGTCATGTTTAATTCCTCACCGTATCATCATACGCGAACACATCAAGTGACAACGCGGTTCCCTTCCTAACGCTGTCCAAACCTAGATTATTTGTCTTGCCATCAACTATCGGTGATACCACCCAGCTTTTATGCGACGAGTTCCATGCCGACAAGTATATGGCCTTGTTATTTAACTGGTAGGCTACTAGATAGTTCTCATATCCAAACTCGTCTGTGAAGTTGGCGGTCGCAAGATTAGTATTAGCGTATAGAGCGGTCTCGTCGTCCTGTGAAGCTGCTGGATCCTGACCACTGCTTGAGTCTGAACTAGAAATATTATCTCTTCTTGTTACAACACCGGCAACAACTCCTGCTACAATTGCTACAATAGCAATCACAGCTCCGATAACAACGGCCCAGAAAATCTTTCGCTTCATTCCACATATCCTAGGTTCTGGCGGTACTGGCGCGTCTAATGCTTTCTCCGTCTCCTGTATGAAAACCGGTTCCGGAAGGGTGCGGTCTATATCTCCTTTGGGGGGATCGCCAGCAACACCAACGACCTCGGGATAATTGAAATGTTCGGTCGCATTCTGATTGACCTCCGGAAACTGTGCGGCGTGGGTCGTCTCGGCATATTGATTTCGGGTATGCGCGTCGGTGTCCACCTCTAACGTGCTATATTCGTAGTTATCCCTCGGAGAACTCATGATTTTTTGGATAGACGGACAGATTGGTCTGTCGGTGCCGTACAAAATACATTGACCATGTGGCGTTGAATCGCGACTGATCAAAAGGAAGAGGGAGAAGAAGAGGTAGGATCCAGGATGAAACTAGTTAATATGTAGTATGTAGGTATAAGTAAGCTTCTCAGCCCTGTCGAGCACGGTCTAAACTTGACGGCCTCTTCCACGAATAGAAGGTCGGGGAGATTATGGTCTGACCCTGTTTATGTTCCAAATAAGGCAACAATCCTCGCGTGGATAGCAATTCCGCATTAGTGACATACGGTACCAGCTTTTGGGCGGTGCTGAGACTGACTGGGATGCTGGATACGCCAAGGATGATTCACTAGACCGTAGTTGAACTAGCCAAACATTCCAATAGGTCGGTACCAAGGGAAGGATTTTCAGGCCAGGAGCATTAATAATGCACGAAGCCCCCCAGAGCGCTTAGTAGAGATCGACAGTACCTACAATACCCTATCAACGACTGGGTTGTTGAAACCGTTTTGTGGCTGGAGTACTGCTATGGACACGATCTTAGTAGTAGATTAGAAGACACCGGGAACGTATAGAAAAGACTAAACTAATAAATACTCAACGTAATTTATTAAACATAGCTTAACTATAGGAGATAGTTACACAGCACTCAAGCTAGGCTGAATAAATACTTAAGCTTTCGCCTAGAGGCACCTGTGCGGCGGCACTGGTAACTGAGCCGCGAAGATACAACCAATTACGATTCAGTTGCATTCCTCATTGGGAAAGCTCAAGTAACCTTAATTAGTGGTTCGGGTCGATTTATATACATAAGAGTATACAAGAGGATATACAAGAGGTATGTTGTAGTTAGCGGAGACTATGAGAGACTGACATCACGAAACTTCCACCCTAACGTCAACACTACCGTTAGACTCGCTCACAACCGTGACTTTTATACCCCAACCCGGAACAGTATACGAACTTATTCCTCCCAGGGATAGTGGTGCATCATTCAACTTATCACCCGCGCAACCACTCGATCCAGGGGTTGTGTCCAACACCCGAATAGGGCCTTCTCCTGTCGCCGTCGTCGTTGAGACCGTGTAAAGTAGTACGCCAGTTGAACAAGATGCCGAGTCGAGGCCGCTAGCTGAGCGTAATTCTGCCACCAATACGTCTGTGCTGCTGTGCTTGATGACCACGGCCTTAGAGCCTCCTGGTTTCTCTAATGGAGTCAATGTGTGCGTCGTTGAGCCCGTTTCCGCGACGCAGCTTATTTGTTCATCAGATAACCATCCTAGCCGCCACTTATCCCAAGCAAAATAATCAGGACTTGGCCCGCTACGCAGGTTAAATCTTAGTTATAGGTGCTGCTTCCATGAGCTTTTCTTAGATTCGACTCTTACCTAATAAGTCCCATCAAATCCCATCCTCCTATGAACAAGCCAGTTGCGCTTCCGTTAAAGGGGTAGTAATCCGGCAAACACATTGTGTGGCCTGTCTCATGGTTCAAGACAAGATACTTCCAAGTTTCGTATGCGTCTAAGCCGAACGTCACCGACTTCTTGGCAACATATGTCCCGTCGCGTGTCTTAACGTCGCCCATGAAAGTAGGAGAGAAAGAGATAGCGGCGGCATTAGCGGTTGGGACGACATATAGTACATCAGTAGGTGGGATGGTCTTTCCATACGCATCTAACGCATCTTGTATATACTTTTGATGCATTTCATAACTGAGGCCGCGTTGCCATCCGTAAGAATCTGCCTTAGCAGGCATCCGATAGAAACGCGACGTATCAGCAGTGACATTTAGTGTAAGCGCTCCGTATGACGACGTGGCATACCATTCTGCTGCTGCTGGCAAAAAGAAATCATACAAGCTCTGAGGGGTTTCGATAGCGGCTTGATCAGCAAAATCGACGAAGATCATGAACGCGCTCAAGGTACCAGTGCTAGGAGCGCAGTTCAGCTCGTATCCGAATCCCGCACTAAGGTAAACATTGCTGTTAGCCGCCAACTTGCACGCCGATATATCTGCTCTAGGGCGAGGGCGAGTATCTTTTGCCGAAGCGAACGGTAAGATTAATGATATTATCGTATACCACGCTGCCATCCTTAGCGCAGTTTCGAGCAGCTGAATAGGATTGACCATTGTATCTTGGGTACGGTATTTTGGTATCCCGTTTATGAAATTTCAGAGCTGATTTGAATGAGCTGAGTGTTGTTTTATGTAAATCAATCCATTATCTAAAGTCGTTGATACGACTGTCACCTCCCCAGAATGGAATATGCGGGGGACGCTGGTTTAAGTATAGCTCTTTGATTTCATGCCTGCAGGTCTTATCTAAAGACATAGCCATATTCCCTAAGCGTGAAAATACCTTACGAGAGCGGTTGATAGCTCCCCTGTTCCCTCGGTCGACATTTAGCCGAGTCGTATATCCATATAAACCCAGTTTACTAAGAGTAAGAATGAGTAATTGATAAATATCTTAGATAGGGGTTCACCAAAGAGTTGGCCCATCATATACATATAGGTATTTGAGCACTCTTCTAGTTCCATGAAGTGTGTTGGGTTGGTAATTAATAACTAGATTTGATTTGTTACAAATTCATACATACTTGTTACTTAGGTACCTACCTATTATCGTTATGTTTTCGTGTGCTGGTTACAAAGTCAAAAAGGTGATTAGAGGCTCTCCTTGTGACTGGGTGCTTTCTCTATAACTCCTCTGCTGAGGACCTATTCAAACTTTACCAAGATATATCACTAATATCTGTTCTGTCCTGTACCAACTATCCTAGGGTGGCTCTGGCGTATATACTGGGCCTCAACGACCAGATTTGATAATATCCGCAGCCATTTCCGCAACTCCATACACTGCCGCCTGCGTACCCGCGTGAGGAACTATAGGGATAACGCTAGCGTCACAGACGCGCAGGTTCGAGCAGCCGTAAACACGTAACTCGGGACTAACAACACCGCCCATATCCCGCGGCATCATTGAACAAGTACCAGTGAAGTGGATGGCTCCTACAGCGGTGTCGCGCGCGTAGTTGCGCGCATTATCCAAATTTTCAAGCGAGAAGGCCGGGTTGCGTTTGCCATCTGACTTGATGTGGCTCGCTAGTGGCTCTGTAGAAATCAGTGATTCTATGAACCGTAGATGGTGTGCTAGAACCTCCACATCGAGAGGGTGTGTAAGGTATTTAGGGTCGACGATGGGAGACGCCGAACTGGATGCAGATTCGATATGTACTGAACCCCGCGAGAGTGGATGATCAAGGAGCAGAGCGACTGTGAAATACCTTTCTCCGTCCTGAGATTGTGGCATAGATGTCCTTGACCCATCAGGATTGTTTCTACCAAAGCCAGGTATCGAGAGGTAAGTGCAAGAAGCCTCTGTTTGCGAAAGAAGCACAGAGCGCACGAATGATTCGTGCTTCTTCGTAAACGCTGCTGGCACCTTGTCTGTGTGGGTCTCAGAGCCTATTATCTCTAGGATTTTCGAGACAGTTTGTGCTCCGCTTTCAGTTTTGATGCCAGGGAACGGAAGGTATGCGGCATGATTAGCACCACTTCTAGACAAAGGACCGGTGTGGTTGGAATAGGCTTCGATAGCAGCCGCAAGGGCATCTGGGTCACCCTGTGCAAGTTTGTCTACTGTCTCGAAGCCCTCTTCATCTAGAACCTGAAAGTTAATATAGCATATAGGATGATTTTGTAGGTTTTCGCCAACGCATGGGTTGTCGATAACGACATCGATGCCAAGTGACTCCAGCAAGGCTTTATCGCCTATGCCCGAAAGCTCAAGCAGTTTGGGCGAATTAATGGCCCCGGCCGTAATTAGTATTTCCTTTTGGGCGTTCACGGTCTGTGATTCTCCTCCTTTAGTATACCGAATTCCAGTTGCGGTTACTTTGTCGCCTTTCTCAAAAATAATCTTTTCTACCAAGGTGCAGGACCACAGAGTTAGGTTCGGCCGATTCACTGCTGGCTCGAAGTGTGCATTTCCGGAAAAGCTCCTTTCCTTCGTAGGATTGCGTATGGAATCAGGAATTGTAACACTGCCGTATACCTGGTCGGAAAAGGGGTCGTTGGCCGTCGGGAATCCAAGTGCACTTAGCGTGTCTCTCCAAACTTGTGGCCATCCGTTATCTTCGTCGGGAAATGCCAATTGAAGCGGACCGTCCCCCTTTATCTCCTTAGATGGAAGAACCGCACTATATGCTCTCTTGAGAGCTTTGGAGAAATTCGATGATTCCCATCCTGGGTTCCCTAAGTCCGCCCATGCACCAATATCTGCTTTGGATGTCTCGAAGAACATAAGACCATTTACGGCACTCGATCCGCCAACAAGACGCCCTTGAGGAAAGTTGATTTCGCGACCGCCAAGTCCCTCCTTATTCGAAAGGTGAGTTGGTATACTAAAAGATGTATGAGGCCAGCTACGTACCTGAGGGGCAGTCTTAAAATTCCACGATGCTCCTGAGCCAAGAAGTTGCGGCCACATAGAAGGATTCTTTACCATGGCGTCATCCCTCATATCTTCCCCGGCTTCAATCACAAGAACGCTGGTATTAGGATCTTCGGAAAGTCGTGCAGCAAGGACAAGGCCCGCTAGGCCGCCTCCAACAATAATATAGTCGTAGCTGTCGGAAGCCATTGGATATATTATACTAGTGCGACTGTGCTTTTCTTTACGAGGGTGTAAGGTAGCGTTGAGGGTGAAACCGTTGAAAGGTAGTCATGTGGTAGTTGAAATGACAACGGCTGGATAGGAATTGAGGAGTGTAATGCTGGATCGGAGGTTCCGGAGCCAAAGTAGAAGAACCTCGGGTATGTAGTAGAAGTCGTGTAGCCAACCACTATTGCAGAAGATGATTACTTTATCACGAAGTGGAGCAAAAAGTGTAGAGAGAAGTTCGTTGCTTTACATATAACTCTAACCTCAACTATAGAAGCTTGAGTTATGTAACAAGGTCCTTAGTGATCTCTCTTCTTAATCTAAGGAGATCACAACCTATTTATAGATGATCTAAAGTACGTATCTTCATACTTAGCCACCCCCTCAGTTATATATTGGTTATCTTAAATTCTACTTGCATCATGTTGTGATACATCTCATCCGATAATTTGGGAAATAGTTATCTTAACCGCCAAACTAGATCTTGTCTGTTTACTCGTTACTAGGATTTTAACTTGAGTCGACTATGACTTATAGAATGTAACAAGGTCTGTATAAGGGCTTGGAACGTATTCAGATTACTAATAATTTTCTAAGGTCTCAAGGTCCTTGATGATCTCTCTATCTCAGTCTGAGGAGATCAGGACCCTATTTGTAGACAATTCTAGGAAATGTATCTCCGTAGCTAACCGCACCCTCAATTGTGTGTTGGCTATCTTGCATTCTACCTGCATCTCATCCAATGATTCTGAAAATAATAGTTATCCTAACCGCCCTACTGGCCCTTGGCTGCATTCGTATTCAATAAGTCTCAGCCATGTTGTCCGTGTGACACGGGACGTCTTCTGTAGGCTTCGTTTCTGGCTGCTTTAAGGAAAGCCAATCCATAAAAATGGGCCCGATGATGGACAGAGAGCTAACGGCAACAGCAACGTAAAATGTTTGCGTGAGGGCATTGTTGTACGCTTCGAGGACAGCAGGCAACAGCTCGGGCGAGACAGTATCCCTCAACGCGGTGGCACCACCCCTGATAACAGAAGCGGAATCGACTTCGGGGGCTTGGACGATAATATTCTTAATCAGCTGGTTTTGGAAGACGTTCTGGGCCACGGCGAGGAAGATCGAAGAAGACAGCGACTGCGTGAAGGTTAAAATAGAGATAGCCATAGGCATATCAGCCATAGGGACAGTAACTTGGGCGACGAGCATGACGTTCTGAGCACCTAGACCAGCACCAAGCGAAAGTATTACTTGGTACCCAAACCAATATCCGATGGTAGAATCAACCTTAAGAGTACTGAGAAGGCCAGATCCAACCGCAGTGATCGTCGAAGAAGCAATGAGCAGCGGCGTATACATGCCCAACACGGTGGCAAGACCTCCACCAATGATGGAAAAGACAACGAGACCAAGGATACTGGGTAAGTTATCAATGCCAGATTGAGTAGCCGAAACTCCCTTCACTGCCTGGAACCAAATCGGGAGGTAGTAGGAAAAGATGAAGAGAGCGGCGCCCATGCACACACCGTACCATACAGCGCCAATGATATTCTTGTTCTTTAGGACTCGCAACGGAACGGTGGCTCGGTCCTTCTGCCAGAGTTCGACGATCCAGAAGATAATAGCAAGGACGCCAAATACAACAAATAACGCGATAATTCGGCCGTCGCTCCAGGGATATACAGCACCACCCCATTGTAAGGCGAGGAGAAGGCAGATGACAGAAGGGATCAGGAAGAAACTGCCGGGAAGATCAAACTGCTTAACCTGTTCCTTGAAGGGCAAACCGGGCTGCGCCGGTGGCTTGTCCGGCAAAAAGAGAATGAGGAACAGAATGGTAATACCGCCAAGAGGAAGGTTAATGTAGAAACACCACCGCCAAGTTACGTGGTCGGTAAAGACACCTCCCAAACTACCGCCAATGTTAGAACGCGTGAACAAAAGTTTAGCAAAAGGATGAAGTTGTTTACAGAGGACCAGCTACACTGGCGATACCGTGCATGCTCGACAAGAGACCAGTGTAAATGGGTCGTAGTCTCAGGGGTACATTAGTTGCCAAAATAATGATGGCCCCTGCGAAGATACCGGCGGCGCCTAAACCAGAGACAGTCCGCCCGACGATCAGAACGGCTGAAGACGGAGAAACGGCGGCGATGAGGGAACCAATCTCGAAAACGAAGACGCCCACCAAAAATACCCATTTCACGGAGTACATGACGTAGAATTTGCCGAACATCAACTGCAGTGCGCAAACAGCGAAGAGGTACGAACTTCCGTACCAAGCAACATCATCTAAGGAGTTGAACTCGTTGGTGATTCGGGGGATGGCGGTGGCGAGAATAGTACCGTCCTAAGGAGGGGGTTAGGAGACTCCGACGTAAACACATACGTCTTCCAACAATAGCGACTTACCAGGGACACAACGAGCATGGCCATACAAAGGGCGATCAACAGGAGGACCAATTTCCAGAAGGCAGGATACTCCTGGTCGGCGTCAGCAGCAGCAGCATCGACGGTGGGTTCGCTATTTTCCACTTCTTGCTTTTCAACATCCTGCACTTCTTGAGGGCGCGATTGCACGGGGGCTTCTTGGCTGTTCATTTTCTCTAGAATTGCAGAATCGTTGGCGGTGGAGTGTACCGACACCGCGGTAGCGGCAGAAGAAGCGGGCATATCATCTGGAGGTCGCATCGCGGGCAGTGATGTTAGTAAAGCAAGAGAGTGTAGGTAGTCGAATTTCTACATGTCAACTTGGTATGATAGATTCAAAAACAACAAACATTCAGAATCATGACTTTGAGCCGCTTCGACTTTTAAGAATGTCTCTCATACGGGGATCCATTACGGCACCCCTTACGGCACTCCCCCTACATAGGTACGGCATCACTTACGGCGTGGTGAGTCACGCCGAGATTTAAGAAGATCATTTAAACACGGGGCTGTGTATGTTCTCTCGTAGCTATTCTCTCGTTGGAGGTCGATACGGCATAAAATGAAAAGATTTTGGAATTCTGATGGCACGTCCTTGTCGCGAAAATCCGATTGGCCAATAGAAAGTCTTCCCTACTAAATTTACCCAAACTTACCCTAAAAGGGTTGCGGCCCGTGCCGCTAACCTGCAGCTAATACTATCCTAATTTAAGCATATTTGGGATGTTTCTAGGTACCCAAGTACCTAATTAAGGACCCTACTTGCCCACCAAGACTTGCGGCATATGCATACACGATACCGCATTCTCTAAGAAACAATTGATTCTAGGGCACGGACCATGGAGATCAACTATACGATATTTGGAAATGATTTGAGCACATCTTGCTGTGGGGTGCTTTAGCGAAAGCCGGATGTGGTCTAAGTCATTGCAAATATAGTGTAGTCGACGCCCGTGGTCCGTGCCCTAGAATCAATTGTTTCTTAGTAGATGCGGTATACTCCATTGACAAAATTATTTGAGATTATCGCATTGCATAATTCGTACATATTGGTTCTATTGCTTAATTTCAGCCGTTCTTAGCCATCACCAGTGCGTAGTATAGCTAGGCGGTCCCGGAGGCCGAGGCTACTGGTAGACGGCTTTTGCGTTGTAGTAAGGTAACATAATAAAACACTCCAAACGTGTTAGAAATAAAAGTAGTCGGACCACACTTATTTGTCGTAAAAGGGTAATGTATCAACCTGGTTAAAGGCCCTAATAACTAAATGTATTATAGGCTACAGTAAATGGGAAAATAGGAATTATGTGGAATCATTTTTTGCGCTGCGGAAAAAGGGGCTAGAATAATGATTTTGATGACATTGATAGTTAACGAACCTAGGTTGAAGAGTATAGCCTTACCAACGCAACACTACATTTACAACCAATGATATAAAGAATACGATATTAGGAGCTTTAAACCCCGAGCACCCGATAATTGGGAGAGGGGATTGCCACGAAATATTCATCCAGTCGTGAACTTGATACTAAGCAATGGCGAACAAACTTGGACTATCAGTATCTCAAGATGACTATTAACCAATCTTTAAACTCTATAATCCCAGTTATTGATATTTCTGGTTATCTGGCTGGCGATTCGCTTCGAACGGCCGAAATTGCAAGCGAATTGAACGCCGCGTGTTGCGCCCCTGGATTTTTCCAGATCGTTGGCCACGATATCCCTGCCGAGTTGCGAACTCGTCTCTTCGACAAGGTTACCCAATTTTACGATCTTCCCGTAGCCAAAAAGTCGGCATTGAGTCGCAGTCTTTCGGCCAATGGCGCACGGGGTTACGAGGCCGTCGGGGCTCTGACATTCGAGGGTGACTTCGTAGATCAGAAAGAGGGATTCATGATAGGTCCCGAAAAGCCGCCTGGGAGGCTCCTCCAGGGCCCGAATTTATGGCCAGAAGAAAGGGATTGTCCAGGATTTCGCTCCACGATGGAGGAGTATTTCGCCTCTGTGCGAAGTCTCAGCGTAAAGATGTTTCGACTACTGGCATTAAGCCTTCATCTCGACGAATATTACTTTGATGCTTTTGTGAATAGTCAAGACTGTTAGAAATGAACTCGGCACATTCGTTATCTGGCAAGTGCTAACCCCTTAACCATACATATCAGCGATCGCGATGTGCCGCGCACACAGATATCCTCGAAGTACTATTGAATCAGCAAAACACTTTCGAGGAACCGGTGCCCATACGGACTTCGGTGCTATGACATTGCTGCTGCAGGACGATGGTAAGTGCTTTATTCTGCATTTATGTTTTAGCTGCTAACGGTTTAGTCGGTGGCTTGGAAGTCTTCCACCGGCCCAGCAGCACATGGCATCCCGTACCGTACGTTCAAGACGCGTATATTGTCAACATCGGTGATATAATGGAACGGTGGACGAATGGCCGATACATGTCTACTATGCACCGCGTGATTACACCGATATCGAACAAGGATAGATACAGCGTAGTGTTATTCAACGAAGGCTCGTTGGATCAAGTAATCGAATGCATTCCAACATGTATCGAACCTGGCGAGACTCCTCTATATGGCCCTACAACGGTAGAAGCACATTTAAAAAAACGATACGAGGATACTTATGGGGAAGCCGAAAATGAAGAAGGAAAGTAGCAACAGGTATTTCAAATGACTGGGATGACGACGATAGCTCAATAGACCTTCCATATTTAATCCACATTGATCCGTTATAGTCCTTTAAAATAATAAGTTTTGGTTTACAGATTTGCAAGTTGAGCCTTTGAGATTCCTTTTGAGACAGATTTTTGGTGTATTTGGCGTTAGTACTGCACCTGGGGGGTTATGCTTCAAGCAACTAGTTTTCGCTAGGCGCACAAAGCGGTCCTGTAGACCTAAATCCAGAGATTAGGTTTTATATTAATGGTCTGCTCTGGTAAAAATATTATTTAATTGGCAATTCTGGACTTTGGACTTAGAGAAAAAGCTAGTTGCTGACCTCGCTTAGAATAGTCTCTCATTCTTGTCAAAATACGTATAATCAAGCCCCCTCCGGCCAGAAGAAGTAGTTATAAGCCGACATCAGGATTATCGAGTAGCTCCGCATGCAAAACTCTCGGGAGCTCTAATAGATGCGGTTCTTATCATCATATGGCATCAGAGTATAGAAGCACGCAATCGCACTATTATTTCAGGGATAGGTATGGACCGGAGAGCTGTATTTGATGTGACGGCGGGGGAAGACTACCTAATAACCGCTACTAACCCCTATCTCGCGGAGCGTGCCCCACTTCCACCGGGGGGAGAGGGAGGGGGAAGGGGGGAGAATTCAATATCACCACTTAATATCATACTCGTTTTATTTTCATGATCTCTATTGATCGTTCTGGCTCCAAGCTTACAAGGCGCAGCTGATTCATCATGGAAGAACAGCAAACCAACATTGAAAGCACATCGCCAGCTACCGATGGGCAGTCCCAGTCTCCACAAAGAGTAGACTCGAGTGCTCCTGAACGTTCTCTCATTGTTCATTCTCAAACACACAACTCGGGATTCTTTTCTAAATTTCGATATCATTTATTTGCAGCTGGATTTGCATTTCTGTTAAGTCCCCTAGCATTTATATGGCCAGGTCAATCCTCTATTGATCCGACAAACTACGTGGAGCGGACGAGGAGAGTTTTGAAGACGACACCGTAGGTTCTGACCAACACCCAATTTGGAACTATTGTTAATTTAATCCTTTATAACTATAGCTTAATTGATGGGCATAATGATTTACCCTGGCAATTGCGCATAGAGTTGCATAATCGCATATATGATGGCCGGGTTGACTTAAATAAAAGACTCCTGGGTCATACAGACCTTCAGAGGATGCGAACGGGAATGGTGGGGGGTCAGTTTTGGAGTGTGTATGTGCATTGTGATGTTCATCAGCAACAGTTTGAAGATCCATCTGTAAGTTACATTGAAAATAATTGCAATTTGACACTTAGCGACTAGATACTGAGACAGACAAACAGTGGATAGTAAGGGATACTTTAGAGCAAATTGATGTCACTAGAAGATTCATCGACGAGCACCCTAAGGATCTCCAGTACTGTGATACGACGGCCTGCGCCCGTAAAGCTTTCAAGTCAGGCCGCATCTCTAGTATGATCGGCATTGAAGGCGGCCATCAGGTTGGGGGCAGTATTGCTAGCATACGGCAGATGTACAATCTTGGAGCACGCTATATTACCCTCACTCATAACTGCGACAATTCATTCGCGACTTCGGCTTCTACTGTGGCGGCTGGAGGACCCGACGATGGGCTCTCTAAATTAGGGTATGATGCTATCAAGGAGATGAATCGGTTAGGAATGATAGTAGACCTATCGCATGTGTCGCATCAGACGATGAGAGATGTGCTGAGTGTAGCACAAGCACCGGTCATCTTTTCGCATTCAGGGGCTTACAGTGTAACTCCACACCTTCGGAACGTACCCGACGACGTTCTCCGAACGGTAAAGCGCAACGGAGGCATCGTCATGGCCGTATTCGTGAATCGGTTCCTCAAGATGAAAGACCCAGACCAGGCGACTATTCACGATGTTGTAGATCACATATTTCACATTGCGGAGGTATGCGGCTGGGATTGCGTCGGTGTGGGCAGCGATTTTTCAGGAACCCCCTATGTACCCATCGGCCTAGAAGATGTCTCAAAGTTCCCCGATCTCGTTCAACTTCTGATGGAACGTGGCGCGACCGATGAGCAGATCCGCCTATTTGCAGGAGAAAACATCCTCCGCGTTTGGTCAAGGATCGAGCAACGAGCGCGTGAGATACAAGCTACAGGGGAGAAGCCTGTAGAAGAAGAATATGAAGGAAGGGAATGGCATAAGGGACTAAAGGACTCGCCTTGGATGTTGAGAGGGAGTAGACAAAAGGCTATCGAGGCTGGCGCTGCGGATAAGCCGTACATGTTTAACGTAGATGGAGAGGGGAAGCATAACCCAGCAGTCAAAGGTGTATAAACCACCCAAAGTAAATAGATCAGGGGTAACATTGAAAAAACATTAGAAGGTAATATTGACCTACCTGTCGATATGAGTATCGTTAATTAATAATTGTAAATATTTTCTGAGACGGCACATCTGTAGAACTTAGTAAACGCAGGTGCGAACTACGATATCACCCTACGTCTACATGCAGCGCACCTCAAATTTAGGTAAACAATGTCTCCCACGTGGTATACGCATCGCTTAATTTTTTCATCTACCGGTCGAATCCTTACAGTCGGGTTCGGAATCCTTGGAATCGCCATCGTTCTCCACAATGGCGTTTTCAGCTAGCTGGGGATAGACTATCGAAGCTCTGGAGGACAACAAGCGCGGCATACTAGACCCGTCTGCCTGGATACCCCATTTCTTGCCGATGTTGGTTTCTGCTCGGCAGGGGCGAGCCGAAGATGGTACTATCATTCGTATGCACATGCTCCGAGGTTATGTCCGTCGTGAACTTGAGGAGCTAGCCGACTGAAGGAGATGCGAGATATAGGCTTTCGCCTAATTTTAACGCGACTATATCGGAGGAATAATGGCATGACAAGAAGAAATCAAGGATGTCGTGATTGTGGAGTTGTACTGCGTAAGTCCTGCTTTAAGATAGACAGAAAAATGATAGCCTACCTAAGCAGCATGTCTAACTCCTATGATCTTGACGAGATACTACCCTTTAGGAGGGGTACATCTGCAAGCTATCATGTCAACCTTATTCACCTCGTCGGCCTGGGTTAGATGTAATAGTATTCTATCAACTTTACTCACGGGGCCAATTTGACTACCCCATTGGCTTTATCTCGTTCCAAGATGTCACTCATAGAAACATCACCTCTCTATATTTTCAAATTTCTCAAATATATTATCTCCGTACCAATCCTAGGACTCGTTATTTACCTCATCCAAAATGAAATCGCCCGATATCGTAGTAGGATAAAGAATCTTCCAGGGCCTCGCGGGTGGCCCATAGTTGGGAATCTCTTCCAAGTACATGAAACACTTTATCCCCTTGTAACTCATACCTATACTAACAACATCGCAGCATCCTGATGTGATACCTGCGGAAACATATCGGCGATGGTCCTTCAAGTACGGCCCGGTGTTCCAAATCCAACTCGGCAATACGACCGCAGTTGTTATCAACTCCACGCGGGCAGCTAAGCAATTGTTCCTTGGGCAGAGTCACGCGATGAACTCGCGGCCGACGTTTTATGTATTCCACAAAAAAGTTAGCAAGGCCGTGACGAGCATTGGAACCAGCCCTTGGGACGAGAGTTGTAAGCGGAGGAGAAAGCTGGCCGCGGGCGCATTGAACAGGACCCGCGTGGATACATACGGGCCGCTCCTGAATCTGGAGGCGCGCGAGTTCCTCAAGGACCTATACTCGGCGTGTCGGGATGGTACTGTTGAGATCGACTTCCGGCCCGCAGTGAAGCGTTTCTCGTTGAATTTAAGCCTAACATTGAACTATGGGACGCGTGTGTCGAGCGTCAAATCTCTCACCGATGATCCGCTCTTGTCTGAGATCATCTACGTCGAAGGAGAAATCTCCAAGTTTCGCGACACCGGCAAGAACTACGCCAATTATGTCCCTTTACTGCGGTATTGGGAGCCCATAGCGCAGTTCCTAGGAATTGACGCACAGCCAAAGAATCACGCAGCGGATATCGGACGTCGCCGATTAGAGTATAATGATATTCTTTTGGAGAAGCTGAAGGATGAAGTGCAGAGGGGTGAAGACAAGCCGTGTATTCAGGGGGCCGTGCTCAGAGATCCGGAATCTGCGACACTCACGAGAGAAGAGCTGATCAGTGTTAGCTTAAGTATGATGGCGGTATGTCCTCTATCGTTTCGCATATAACCATCCCAAGCGATAGCGTACATGCTGATCCTAAATAGGGCGCGGACTCGAACCAACCTACCCTTTCATGGGCCTGTCTGCTTCTCGCCCATCGACCAGACATACAAGAAAAGGCTTACTCCGCAATCAGAGATGCAGGGGTCCTCAGCTTACCGTCAAACGCATATGCTTCGACGAAAGTCGAGTACATCGACGCCTTAACGAAGGAAATCTCACGATACTTCGTGGTATTAAAGCTAGCCCTCCCAAAGGCCACTTACACCGATGTGACTTGGAAGCGTGCCACGATCCCGGCGAACACGATGGTATTCCTAAACTCCTGGGCTTGCAATCGAGGTATGTCCTAAATCTTCCCTCACGACATAAACTTGGCCGTCTGTTTGAAACTAAGTTCCTCCACTCCAGATCCGGAACTCTTCACTGAGCCAGACACGTTTATCCCCGAGCGCTGGCTACAAAATTCTTCTAATATACACGCACACCAATTCGCATTTGGAATCGGCGGGCGGATGTGTGTCGCATCGCATCTGGCTCATAATGCTTTATATACGGTGTTCTTGCATCTGATTGCGCATTTCCGTATCCTGCCCGCGGAAGGAGAGACAATAGAGGCGATTGATCCGATTAAGGGGTTGAAGGGTATGGCTTTTGTCGGCACCCCACGCGGGTGGCGCGCCAGATTTATCCCGAGAGGAGGAGAAAAGCTTGCAGCTTGGCTAGAAAGCCCTGATGGTTCATGATGGAAATGGGGAGCAGCGGCTGTAAGGTTGGGAGTCAATTGGACAGTTTCACTTCATTAGAAAATTTAGGAACGTCAATGAAGACTCAGATATCATACCAAATTTAATGTGCTCAGATCTTCATATTGCAAGTGATCTAGCAGATGCCCCTTTTCAGGCTATAGTAATTGCCATATCCCCATGTCATTCTAAACCATTTCAATACGCAGAAGGTACAACGCCCAATCGTCCTCCATCCGTCACCAGTACATTCCCATTGACGTAGGCGCCAGCTTTACTTACAAGAAAAAGGATCGCGCCGGCAATATCTTCCTGGTCGCCAATTCTCTGTTCTGGAACAACGCTCTTGGGCCACTCCTCAGTTTGCCGGTTTTTGAGCAGAGGCTCGGTCATTTCGCTAGGGTAGACTATCGTATAACTTCAGTTAGTAACCCAAGAAGAAATTGGCTACGAAAGAGCTAACTTACATCCCGGGGCGATGACATTGGATCGAATGCTATACGGCACAAGAGCGGTTGCCAACTGCTTCATCATGTGGATCACTCCGGCCTTGGAGCTTCCGTACGCATATCCAGCAGCAGGGATTCTGTTGTATGCTCCAATGCTGGACGTGGCGATGACCTGACTCTTCTGCTTCAGATTTCCACGCTTGTTACCTTCGTCAAGAAGCTCTAAGAATGCAGCGACGGTGAAAAACACGCCTGTAGAGTTTACAGCATACGTGTTATTGAATTCGGCCGTATCCCAGCCGAAGACGACGTTGCGGAAGTCCGAGAGACTGGGGTTTTGAGACAGTGCGCCCATAGTAGGGCCAGCTACACCAGAATTGGCGACTACAACATTGACATATCCTACTGCTGACTTGATCTCAGCGACGGCCCGCTCAAGGTCGGCCTTGTTACAAACATCGCCTTGGATTATGCGAATATTTCCATGCTTCTATATCGACGCGAATAATGGGCAGGAAAGTTAATAATGCATCTGGGAGATGTAGTGAAGATGTAGTGATTGACGAGGCAACGTACAGCAGTAGCAGCAGCTTTCTCTAGGGTCTCCTTGCGACGACCGATAATATAGACAATCGCACCGTTGCTCTCTAGGGCGTTTACCATCATGAGACCAATGCCTATATTTTATGTTCAGTCATTCACTCATAGATGAACCGGCATGAGACAACCTACCACTTCCCCCGCCCGTTACAACAACGACTAATCCTTTGACTCCGAAAAGGTCATTGGGTTCTACTGAGGTTGAGGCCATTGTTAGATAATATGACTAATTCCCGGGTTTGAAAGGGGTAGTATTAATTATGAAGTAGCTCTTGTAATTCTGTTGAACGTGGGATGTTTGTAGGTCCCTTGGTAGGTTAGGTGGTAGATAATGGACGGAGGAAGAGCTGAAAGGATGAGGACATTACTACCTCATGTATGTAGGTTACCTAAGGTAGGGGGTACTTAACCTAGAACCTAGTAGCGTCCGGCTTGCAGGTGCTTACCTACACGTACATGCTTGCGTGATGAGACTGCTCTTACCTTACATGTGTGTACATTGTCTTATCTACTATCTACATGTATTTTGTTGCTGCTTAGAAAAGAAAAAGTCTGTCAGATATGACTATCTGTCCGATATAGATATAAAGCATAATAGAATAAAATCTATTACCAAATAACCTTTTAGTGGTATAGCGGTTTGTTTAAAAAAGTCCAATCATCTCTGCCTTCCATTAATCCTTATATTACATGCATAGGTACCTACCTACCTAGGATGTAGGTCCAGTAGCACCAGATTGAAATCGGGATCTTGGATGTAATAACTTTAACATGTTCCGCTGCGATTTGTGCAATTATTCTTCATTTATACCCCGCAGCATCGTGTCGATTACCAGAGATCCGTTCCGGTCAGAATGCAACGCCAGATCAGGATGAGAGCCCGGCCTGCGATACGACCTAATGTCAATAGCCACGACTGCAATGGACTACCCAAGACCCATTCAAGATGGCACATCGCAAAAGATCCGGCTATTTATGCTCATAGAACCCTTTTCACGAACCCCGAGCTGAGCTGCGATGAATCATTCACTGATGCATCATGTTTCGCTTTAGTAGTGAACTTTTCATCGTTGGCCTCGCTTGCCTCTTCTGCCGTGTCGTATGTCAAAGCGACGATCTAGGCCTTAAGAATGGTTATATCACCATTAAAACTGCCAATTTCAACGCTAAGATTGTTCGCGATGCGCAAGTGCTCGCGTCGCTAAGTCCGGCAGGGGACTCGTTCGATTTTCTACCCTTTGATTTGATATCCGCTCGAGCTGGAAATGGTCAGTATCATTGGGGTGATATTACGTACCGTTATCGCGAAGATAATTATGGTCCGTGGATCGACGGCGACTCCGCAGCTTCCCGGAAGGCCGTCACCACCCGCAAGGTCGGAACAGGAGTCCTAGCTTCTTCAGGTTTGGCACCAACACTTCCTGATGGGGGACCTTTAAATGTGACTCGCGAATGGCTCGATGTCTCCGGTGACCTAGGTCTACGTTTCACAATCGAGAACTCGGGAGCGTCTCCCGTTGAGATAGGCGGTTTGGGGTTTCCGGCCGAGTTCAACAGCATTTTTACAAATCGTGCTGCAGAAGATACGCAGCGTCTGTGTTCACTATCCGATCCATATGTCGGCATGCACGCGGGTTACATCCGCGTCAGCCCAGTTCGCGGAACCGGCGCCGCGCTTGTCGTGACACCACTTGGGGATACTCCGTTGGAAGCATACCGTAATCTAGCCGAGCCTTCTTACGAAGCTACAGCTTACGGTAGCCAGACCTTCGAGGGCTTCTATGAGTGGCAGGTCCTCAGCCGTGCATGGGCTGAGAAAGAATGGGCAAATGTGCAACCATGGAATGCGCCTTCATCAAAAACCCTCCAACCTGGCCAAACACTACAATTTGGTGTACGCTTTTCCGTGGCTAAAGGTGGTGTCCGCGACATTGATGAGACTGTGCGAAAAACCGGCACCCCCGTAGCTTATGGTGTTCCCGGGTACATAATCCCAAGAGGATCAACGTCGCAACTTTTCCTAAACGCCCAGTCGAACCCGATATCTTTTTCCAGTGAGCCCGTAGAGTCCTTAGCCTTCAGCCAGCTCTCATCGGGCTCATATGGCATAACTCCGTCTCCAACCTTCTGGGGCCGCTCAAGGCTCACTATCGACTACGAGGACGGAAAGACCCAAACGATTCATTACTACGTTACTAAGTCTGGTACGGAGGCTATCGGAGATCTAGGACGGTTCCTCACAACGAAGCAGTGGTTCAATGACACATCGGACCCTTTCGGTCGTGCTCCCTCAGTTATGAGTTATGACTACGAGGCCAACTCTATCGTGGCGCAAGACTCGCGAGTATGGATTGCCGGACTTAGTGACGAAGGAGGTGTGGGTGCATACCTCGCTGCAACGGTGAAGCAGGTTATACAGCCGGACCCCGAGGAAGTATCAAAGCTCGAGATGTTCATTGATAAGGTTCTCTGGGGCACTATCCAGACGAAAGATTTTGGCGTTCGTAAGAGTATCTTCTACTATGAACCCTCAGTAGTCCCAAAATACACCTACAATTCCGCTTTCGATTGGTCTAGCTGGACATCATGGAACAAGGACGCGGCCTACGCAATCGATCGGGCCTACGACTACGTTCATGTTGCAGCAGCCTATTGGTCGTTATACCGTGTGGCACGGGCCTACCCTGAGCTAGTAAAAAGCCATGATTGGAAATGGTACATCAACCAGGCTTATAGCACCGTCATACGCGGAATGCAGTCCGATGTTGGATATAATCGGCTCGGTTTAATGGGAGAAACCGTGTTTGGGGAAATTCTTACCGATCTCACCCGAGAAGGTCTAACTACACAGGTTGATACGCTCACTAAAGCTATGAGATCAAGGGCTGCACAATGGGATTCAGAAGAAGTTCCATACGGAAGTGAGATGGCTTGGGACTCCACCGGCCAAGAGGGGGTTTACTACTGGGCGAAGTAAGCTCTTTCTTTCTCTTAACCTAAGATCGCCACTAATGGCAGTTACTAGATATTTCGGCTTCTCAAGCACAGCAACAAAGACAGTAAATAGTGTTCTAGGTTATATGCCCACGGTTCCCCACTGGGGATGGAATGGGAACGCTCGTAGGTACTGGGATAATATCTACGGCGGCAAACTCGAACGCATCGAGCGCCAAATCCATCATTACGGGTCAGGCCTCAATTCTCTAGTTCTCCTCTCAGCCTTTCGCAGCAACCCTTCCGACACGTATCTCTTACAAGTCGGCTATGGCGGCTCCAGTGGACCTTTATCCAACATCAACCAAGCTGGATTCGCGTCTGCATCTTTCCACTCCTGGCCCGACACCCTGAAATGGGACGGCTATAGCGGGGACTACGGCCCCGGGTTTCTCGGGCTAGTCCTTGGATCTGGCACCTACGTCGCGGAGCACGCCAGCTTCGGACTCCTCGCCTACGGTGGTGTGCTTTCCAACACCGAAAACGATGGCGAGGTTAGCGTGCAGATTAACGGCCCTGTGACGCGACGTATCTTCATTGGGCCACTTGGTGTGACAATTAATACGGACGCTGGCAGAATAAGCAGTTTCAGCTATACAAGCTCCTCGGGAGCCATTTCCGTCGTACTAACGCAGCTTTCCGGTGCACCAAAGGCGGCCGCCGCGGTTCTGTGGGTCGACAAGAGTGGGGACTCGGCCTCCTACAGCGTATCGAGTCCCGAGGCGACTTGTGAGCGATCGGGGTGGCGGATCCCGTTGACGGCTAGTGGTGATGTGGTTGTTGAGTTGACGAGCAGCTAAGTGAGTACTTACCTAGGTAGTATACTATGTAGTATACTATGTATTTGATGTAGCTACCTACTCAGTACACATACATTGGCCTCTCTAATTTGACCGTTGAACAAAAATTTTATCTGATTTCTAAGACCCCGTTAAAGAGTTAGTAACGCTGTTTGGATATAATGAAGTTACCTACCTGCCTTAATTACGTTACTATGAAGATATGATTTCAGCTGTATAATGAAATAGATAGGAGGTAAGCATTTTTCAACGGCTTGGTGATTTTCGGGCTTCCTATTCCATATACTACGATTATCACTGATGCGATCAAGACACGGTCTCGGTACGATCATGTGTACTCTGTTCGATACACGGATCGACTCGTCCACTTCTATTAACAACGCCTTTTTGCGTCTAACGTACAGTGGTATCAGTAAAGCCGTGCTCGCCCATTTTGTTCACTCATTTATTCCTCTGCACCCTCCGGCCCTGGACCTTGTCGGCCCATCTGGCGTGCCTTGAGCATTTCGTCGCAAAGTAAGAGATTGGATGCGATACTTGATGAAGAGGCCACGCAGTTCCTTAGTACTCTGAATGAGTCGTAGACACCCTCCAAAGTAGGGTCCATGGGTTGGCCAAGCACCAAATCCAATCCGACAACGTTGCCATCTGCGTGCTCGTCTTGGAGTGAAGCAACTATAATAGCGTTAGTATAGGTAAGCTTAGTTAATTATGAAGGGTAAGTGTAATACATACGTGCGTCTTGAATATCATGGCCCGCATTTGCAGCGAGCGTCTTGGGGATGATTAGGAGCGCATCTGCGAATGCGTCAACACCCCACTTGGCCTTGCCCTTAACCGTCTTCTTGAAGGCGTCGCTCTTCAGGTGAGCGGCACAAGCGACCTGGTAAGCACCGCCACCGGGGACGACGCTCTTGTCCACGATCATATTGTAAACGCTTCGCAAGCCATCCCGAACCGCGTCCGTAATCTGTGTGATGGTGTGGGCGTTCGGGCCCTTGATCATTAGCGTTACGGATTTAGGATCCTTCACCTCCTCAATGAAGGTGTATTTCTCCTCGCCCAATTGCTGTTCATATACCAAGCCAGCCCAGCCGAGCACGTCAGGAGACAAATCTTCGACACTGTTCTGCGCGACACCGCCGCAGATAAGCTGTAATCTCTCCATGTTCCTCCTCTTGGCTCTTCGCAGAGCAAAAATGCCGTTCTTGGCGAGTACATCTAAGGAAAGCGGGTCGATACCCTTCTGGTTCACGATGACGAAGCTCTTCTTGGGGTCATTTCCGCAAACCTCCTTCTTTAAGTCCACAATCTTCTTGAGCTTGGCATCCACGAATCGACGCTCGCTCTCGACTAGTTTGTCGCGCTGTTCCGCGCTAGAATAGAAGAAGCTCGAGTTGATTTCCGACTTCTCGTACTCCAAGCTAACATTCATAGTCAGGATGAACGCATTTTCCAGTCTCTTGGGCATATCAGGATGTCTGGCACCGTGATCTAGGACCAAGCCGCGGATGAGTTGAGTATCTGAAGCGGTGCGGTGCTGCATCTTCATGATTTCCACCATATGTAGATCCGGCTTCGCAGGCGCTTGATAAATAGCGAGGACGGCGTCGACGATATCGGGGGTCAGCTTCTTAGCAAGGTTCGCATTGAGTTTGGTAGATAGAGACGTCCGAGCGACGGAGAGGAGGAGTTCTCTGTCAACCTCTTTCGGGAGCTTAAAGGAGTCCAAAAACTATGACAATAATTAAGTATACGGATTATGCAAAATGGACATAGCAGCATACCTTCAAGGCCTCGTTTTTCGCAATCTCGAAACCCTCTGTTATGATTCGGGGATGTAATCCTTCGGCGATGTATCTGTCTGCTTGCTTTAGAAGCTCTCCCACCAACAAAACTACCGATGTTGTTCCATCTCCGCAGATATCGTCTTGCGCTGTCGCGGCTCGGGCGATCATAACTGCGGTCGGGTTCTGTATTTGCATTTCTCTCAATAGGACGTTTCCATCCTTTGTTAGTTTGATCTATTCGGTAAAGGTCAGCTTGGTGTCGTATAGTTTTATATGGCGTCAAGACAGCTCAGCTCGTACCTGTCCAGAACCATCCACAAGCCTATCATAAAACATTAGCAGCTACTTTTAAAATTAAATAAGAGCTGTACATACATCTTAATAGTTCCCAGAGGACCCAGGTTGGACTTGAGGACATCTTGTAAACCTTCACCCGCGCTGATGTTGACTCGAAGAGCTTCACCCCGCCGCTTGCCTAGAAGTCAATATCATTGCTTCATATGTAAGAAAGTTGGTTAATAAAACATACCCGAGATTCGGCCTTGGGATTAAGGAGCTGAGCAGCAGACATTATGACCCGACGGAATAAAAGTTGCTGTATGAAAGTGTCGGGTTCAGGTAGAAATTTGTGATTATCGTCGTCGAGGGGCACTCAGCGTTATTGGGGAGATGGGAGCTTGAAGCGGGTCAAGAAAGCACCGACAACTTTTTTTTCTTGTACGGAATAGCCTTATTTCATTAGGTAGTACAAGGTACATTCGCACGCCTAATATGAAATAATCCGTTTCATGGCAGCCTTGCCCCACGTAGGTAGTACACAGATACATCTATGAGGTAGGTAGTACCCACATATGCACCGACCAGAAGAAATAGGTGGGGTAAGATGCCAGCCGTTGTATCTGAGACCCCACCTATCACGACCTCCTTTCTAAATACATATCATTATAATCCGTATATAATATCGGTCTATCCGGTTCATCTTCAATGCTCTTCCAAAGGGACTGTTTAATATAAAATATAAAATTCATCATTTGACTAGGTACCTGATTTAACGCAACGCATTGTGAAGAAATGGTTTTTACCTATCATCGCAAGTCGTCATGTTAAGCATTAACTCTCCGAGAAAACCACCACATCTCGAATCTCGAATCTAAGGCCCCGGTTGTCACGAGGTGGAACCAAACAGCATGGAAAAGACTTCGTTGTTCCGCGAGGAACTCTAACCTATCTGGCGAGCCCATGGCTCGTATATACATGCATGTTCTTTGTCCTAGATGTCTCATCTAGAATCCTGACGCCGGTCGACAGTATTTATTCGGCTTCGGCCCAACTCCCTCAACCCCTTAACAGTCCCGTATACGTAGAAGTTGGCGTCACTTAGCTTCGGTGCCAAGTAGGTAATCTTAGCTATACTGAGACCTACGGCCTTCATATAAATCGTATGCCAGAACCATACCTCGACGATTAGAAACGACCTCCAATCCATCACGACCGTCCCTATTACTCCACCGACGCGGCCCAGTTGTGTCATCTGGAACCGGTGTAGGAGTTCTGTCGAAAACAATAACCGGTCTGATCTCGGGCATCTCAGCGATTAGTCTGCGTATGACATGGTGCTCTCGGTTCAATGCTCGCCGCCTGCCCTTATAGCCGAATGTGACGCCGGTAAATAGCTGCCCAAAATATTTTGCGTCAGGTGCTCTTAACTGTGAGATGAGCCACTGTTCCTCGAATAAGAACTTCAAGTCACCATCCCATTGGTCATGGAGTTGTTTTAGCAAACACGAGGGGCGTCTATGAGCCATGTTTCGTAGTAAATCCATCCTATCTTTGTAACTGCCGCGGATGTCATTGAAAATAGGACGTAGCATCGTAGGGAGCCTTTTATCATCTAGTCCCACGACGCCAACACGGCCTTCCTCTCCGTAGGCATCATGCTCTTCATCCCAGTGGACAGCTTCACACTTGATAGTTAACATCGCGAGGTCGATGGCACGGACATCTTTGAAGTATCCTGACTGTATGGACCGCGTAAAGGTTTTACTTGGCCCGTGGCCGCAATACTGGTCTTCAACCGTTTCAAGAACGTTGAGGATCACGGTAGCGCCACCCATACACCTTTTCCACCCATGCCATAGTTTGAAGACATGAATACTCGGGATGTAAATTGAATCTCGCCTGGGGTCAAACCATTCACAGTGGAGTGGCTGGTCATAAGCATAGAAGAGCAAACCCATGCCCCATTTCGAGACAATTCTCTTAGATTCGGAACAAACTAAAGATAGCTCCGGAATACCGATCGAAGGATAATGAAAGAGATAATCTTTCAAATAATCACTCTGTGAATGAAGATAGATAACTTTGCCTTGCGGCACTGTCATAATAGAGGTTAGCAATCATTTCTTTCAATAGGTAATAATTTAAGAGATCTTATGCATGGTTTCGGCGGGATATCTCCACGAAAATTGAAGATTAAGGAGAAAACAACGGTAAAAACAAGCGGTAGAAGGGAAGTTAAACAGTCAATGCTAGGTACGTACTAGCCATTTCCCAAATTTTTGCCCGGATTTCATAGGGGAGAAAAGGGAAGAGATGGAAGGATTGGTGTGTTTTTCGTCCCTCTGCCTCTACGCGTCTCTTTTCTATAACCCATTGGGGAGCTATCACAGGCATGGCATATGCTAGTTCCTCCTGTTGGTGAAGTGGATTGTGAATATGAGTAAAAAAAGGTGAAATGTCGTGTTTGCTGGAATGCGTTCCATCAGCATTCTTTGGGAGCTTTTGGTTAATGATTACGACCGTTGGCCTTTCATTTAGACGCATCTTATGCGGAGGACCCATCCTATATGGTAGAAACAGTATTGGTTAGTCCCTGGTCTTTTATGAAAAGCTACTTCAAGCGAAAGAACGTATCATTGACAAGACTTACTTGTCAAAGCCAGGAGGAATAGAAAAAATATTGATAGTGATGGAAAGTGCTGCCCAGATCCGACGCGTGCGAAAATTAATTAAGCCAAACCCGGTAACAGAAACTGCTGCATGGGTTTCAGAAAGGCCTCAATGACAACTGTTTAAGGTAAATAAACGGCTGACAAAGAGTTGATACCGGCTGAAGAAACGTTAGAGCCGTTAGGAGTGTTTGAGTTGCTGATATAGTGACAACTAAAACAGTAAATCGCAAAGACGGGAAGGTGAAGCTGGGCGGTTGGTCAGCTTTGCTCTCGACCAAGATATTTATGGAAAGAGAAAGTTGTGTGTCAGACGGAAGAGTTCGTGATAGTAGTGGATAGCATGACTTAGATAGGTAGGTAGGTACCTTACAATCGAAACCAGTCAAGTGCAGGTGGAGACGCGCCTACCTGATATTTTCTGATAATGAGCAGGACGGGCCGTCAACAATACATATGTACCTATGATTGACTATCTGATGCGGCCAGGTGGTGATATGTTTCCCCCACCAATTTCAATTTTTACCTGCCCCTTTTTCATAATGACGGAAGTGACGACCTGCTCATTCTGCTATATACCTACCTACCTAGGTACTCCCCAAGGAAAGATTAATGCAAGTGCTTGATATAGTTACCTCTTAATCTTGTAACTTTTCTTATATATAAATAAATATGTACCTTAGGTACTTATAGTTACTGAAAAAGGAACATTTAAAGTATTTGTGTGGAACTGGTCTTGTATTATAGGTGCGTTGTTGAATCTAAAAGAACTATGTACGGGACCTTGTCTATTTATATACCCAGCCCTGGGGCCTCGTTCCTTCCCTTGATGCTGTAACCGTGACTCACGATCGTGACGTGGACCACCTGCCAACAATTTGTATGAAAATAGCAAACTAAGAATAGCTACCTACCTATATTATGATAATCCAAAATCCCCCAATATACTTCTGTCGTTAACAACTCAGAATAAAAGGAAATAGGTGTGGTATAGTTTTATCAATCACTTATATACCTAGATACCTAGATGTAGTCCATGACTCCTCCATACATAATTAATGTAGTGACTGTAGCGCTTGTCTACGATTAAACGAGTCTGTTTGGAAGTATGAATCCATTAAAGCAATCTATCTGTCTCAAAACTAAAATCGAAAATTTACCATATTAATCTTTTGTAAGGTCAAGTCCAAAATATTGCAGTGTTGTTGCCTATCCATCAAATGGAAGTCGTACTAAATTCGGTCTTATAAAAGGCCAATAATTTAGAAAAGGGGGAATTAGCTCGTATATTGCAATATCCGGATAAGGGGACTTTCTCCAGCCACAATGATGACAATGTGGCTCGTGCATTCGACATTATGGATGGTGGATGCCTGCGCGTTCACGTTCACCGTCTCAATTTGTTGATCCATCAGCTGATGTTTCTATCACCATAAAAATGTCAAATACATAAGAAGTTAACAATGCATTTCCTATTCGCACGTTCATCTTTTTTGGCGTGTTTACTATCACCATTTGCGGTTGCTGCTGGCGCCGGTAATGTTGACTATCAACATGTGAAGCAAGTTGCGATCATAGGTAAGTTGGAATTAGATCACCTTTATCTCACAGCCCAGCATATGATAATCCCAACATTGAAGCTATCGAATTTAGCATTTATTCATGAAATGACATTATTAAACTTAAAATAGACCATCAATATTATCCCCAGGGAAACTGTTTTACGAGACGATTAATTTCATATTGCTTCCCTGTTACTAACACATTCGCTAGGTGCTGGCGCTGCCGGCTCGTCCGCGGCTTACCACTTGCATAAATATGCCCAGCAGGAAGGCATCGATGTCAATATCACCATCTTTGAGAAAACTAACCACATCGGTGGCCGTACTCTCACAGTAAATGTCTACGATGACCCTCTCAGTCCAGTTGAACTGGGAGCCTCTATATTTGTCGAGGTGAACCACATTCTCTATAACGCTACCAGGGACTTCAACCTACTCGTTACTGAGCCGGGAACGGATGAGAAGGGACTGCTTGGTATCTGGGATGGCAAGCGCTTCGTTTACACGCAAGACTCGGAGTCCTGGGGCTGGTGGAACCTTGCTAAGCTCTTCTGGAAGTACGGGACCGCTCCGTATTACACTCATCGGCTGGTGCAAGAAACCGTAGGATCCTTCTTGAAGCTTTACCAATCGCCTTACTTCCCCTTCAGATCTCTCTCAACCAGGGCGTATGAACTTGGCCTTGTACAGATAACGGGCTTGACTGGAAAACAGTTTCTAGCGGAAAACAAGCTTGATGGGCCGTTTGCTCATGATATCGTGCAAGCAAGTACCCGTGTGAACTATGCCTCAAACCTACAGTATATACACGGCCTAGGCACTATGGTAGGTTCTCATAACAACTCTAAGTGGACTAGATGAGACTAATTTTCGATTTTAGGTTGCCATGGCCCCTGAAGGGGCAGTGGCTGTTGCCGGCGGCAATTGGCAGATATTCTCTAATATGGTGGCGGACTCTAAAGCTCATCTCTCCCTGAATTCAACTGTGACTGCGATCACCAAGGAAAAGAGCAGTGCTTCTGGCTCAGCGTCGCCGAAATACAGAATACGGACTTCAACTACCGGTGCTACTAACGATGAGGCAGAAACATACCCAGCTGCCTTCGATGATGTTGTCATCGCAACCCCGTACCAATTCAGCGGGATTAGCCACGATGATAATGTGATGCCTCACCCTGTGGACTCTATCCCATATGTCGAGCTGCATGTGACGCTCTTCGCATCTCCCTACAAGTTCAGCGCAGAGTTCTTCAACCTCGAGCCTGCTTCCACAGTGCCTATTTCCGTGCTCACGACGTTAGGCGAAGATGATGAAGCCAAGCCCGGACCGGAGGGGGCTGGCAGCGCCGGTTTCTTCTCCGCGACTTTAGTAAAGGTGGTTACCAACCCGAAGACACATAATGCCGAGTATGTGTATAAGATCTTCTCGCCTCATAAAGTGACACCTGAATTCTTGTCCCGATTGCTAGGCGTCCAGGTACCGGATACGTTCACTCGACCTATTGACGACGAAGAAAAGGACACCAGGGAGGGCGCAACGACCGTTCTCGACCCCATCTCGTGGTACTATCCCACTATCTTCCACCCTTATCCTCAGAAGTACCCCCGCGTCACGTTCCAGGACCCCATCCTAGGGGACGGGCTGTACTACACGTCGGGTATCGAGAGCTTTATCTCTACCATGGAGACGAGCGCGCTCATGGGCATGAACGTCGCGCGACTTATTGCTGACGACTACCTAAGTAAACTACGCGTTATTAATGATGAGGGAGAACGTTCCCAGAAAGTCTTATCTGAGTGGCAGAATGAGACTGCGGCAGGACACAATCTGCCCGTCGAGGATACGGAGGAACTTTAGGGAATGTATCTTTCGAGTATCATACTATAGCAAATTGACTAATGACACTACTGTTCTAACTTGCCCATCCGTTTACACAGTCGAGCGTTCGATATCTTCTTCCCTGTCACCCCTCCCGCGAAGTCTATTCCAAATCCACCGGGAGGAGAATTGCTCGGTCGACTTATTTGGTTGCTGGGAAGAACCTCCATGAGAATGGCCGTTTGTATGACCGTTAGAATAGCCATTTTCTTGTCCGTGCTCAGGTAATGAACCATTCCCAGCACCCCCTTGCTCGGTTGTAGCACAATTCTCTTCTTCCCGCCGCTTCTTTTCGAATCTTTTTGCTAGATGAACTTCCCTAGCCTTGCTTTTGACGCGATTAGCGAATATATTCGCTTCTTCGTGGAACTTTTTGCTGGGCCAGCTGGCATCGCGCCAGAGGTTATATATGCCAGCTTTCACTACAAATGCAATAATCAACCTCTTCCAGAGGTAGAATAAGCCAGCACGAATCCAGCTACCGAAGGCGAGGAGCAAACTGAAGACAATCACTGCGGCGGAAATAGTGACTGAAGGTTCCAAGATTATGTCAGTTTGAGTACCTGTAGTAGGAATGATGCCTTACACATATACAAGAATTCCCTATGTATAGACCAAGTCTCATTGCTAATCTCCATGTTATTCATCCCGAAAACGCTGGACATGAACGATAAGGGGAGCTAGATATCGTTAGCGAGTATTAACTAGGCAAAATCGTGCTTGAACTTACGAAAATGATCGTCACAAGCGTAAACATCATGATCGACCTTCCCTGCTTGATGGTCTCGTCTGACTGCTTCATGCCCTGCCACGCCTGGACAACACTGGCCTGTTGCTGCTTCAGCTCCAGTAGGTCCTTGACCTAAATCCAATGTTAGCTAATCCACCTTGTCGAAATTCCAATTGAAAGGAGTTTTTTTTCTTACGCTTTCAGCGGTACGGTCAGCAGTACTGCGCAACTCTTCAAGTTCATCGATCCTCCCGATGATAGTCTCTAAGAGCTCATCGGCATTGAGTTTAAACCAATCGTAGTCGTCGTGTCTTTTCTCAAACTTCTTGCGCAGTGCTTCGTCAACCTCCCCGTTATACTCTTTTGGATCTCTGTACTCTTCAAGATCATTTTGCACGTCTCCAGACTTTTTCCGGAGATAGCGACCTATCATTTTTCGTTTCTCGCTTCCGCCGAAATTACCAAGGGGGTCCAATAAGCACTCCGCATTAGCAATAAATCCCAAGAGCATTTTTTTGTGAACCTTGGTGATGTGTATCATAATATCCAACTCTTCGACTATGTCCTTGATCTCCCGCTCAAGCCGACCTTCAGGACAGATATCAAGAAGTGCCACATGAAGTCCAAACGCATCCCCATGCCCATCAGACTTGTAAATTTCACTGGCATCCTCAGTCCAACGCCATAACCTTTCAAATGCCACTGTTTGCTTGTGCATCTACCAGTGTAATTAGAATCCGCATAGATCAACGTAAGGCTACAATACTCACAATGTTTCCAATTGACTTAGAGAACGCATCAATCACCCGTGGTTGTCGACCGGCCGTCTTGTTTTGATTAAACAAGGTATTGATGCATTCATCAATGATAATTAAGCCCAAGTCAAAGGCAGTTCGGATCTGGTCAGGGTCAGTATCCTGAATACGAACCCTGATAGATTTGTGGACGGCCGAGCTGTCTTGTTTATTCGAGCCATATCGTTTCGGAAAGCAGGTAATAATGGTGTTGGCGTCTAGAATCCACATCCACAATTGATCCACCATGACAACGCGAGATAACTTCTGGATATTTCTTTTGCATTCTCTGCAGTCTTTCTCGATTTTGAAATCGACATGCTCCTTCCATTGCTTGGTTTCCGGATCATATTTATGAAAGCAATCTGGTTTTGCAGTGGTGTGCCTGTATACAACTTGATCCTGGTCTCGCTCCCATGTTGTGTTAAGTGTCCAATGGTAAGCTTGGTCAAGAGTACGGCGAGGATGAAGAGGAGGATCGGCGGTGATATATCGGCGGAGTAGCATCTTATCTCGGTAGTTTGAAATTCCTTCGTATAGTCTCGCGGCGTCAAGTAGAAATTGACCTAAGGGATTGTTGACTTTGATCCGACCATTACCGTCTACCTCGAGACTACTCTTAATTAACCCCCTTTCCCTCATAACCCTTAAAAGTTTTCTCATAGTCATGACTTTCGTCTTAAAATTCCACTGTTTGGTAGGCGGTGAAATGTCACCTGGAATTGTTAGCCGTTCGTTTAAATCCTCGATTTCCTCTTGTGCCTTACATTTCTGCCCAGTTTCTTGAGCGGCTGCCATGATCCCGTCAATCTCCATCGTGAACTGCTCGTTTTTCCTCGAAGTATCCCAGTGAAGATATGGCATCTAAATTAATTCGTTAGCTTGCCGGGATCCTTCATGATTCCAAAAGATTCTTACAAAGAGGACCATATTCTTGTGAAGGCGCTTGGTATTTTCTGGATCTGTAATAATGTTACTTCAAATCCAGTGTAGAAAGGATTACATTATTTGCTTACCAGATGATACTGTTGCGCACAGCGGCTTCATATGCCTTGCATGTGCTGGGCTGTGAGGTTGGCCGCCATGTAGCTGGCCCCGCCAATACTCGTCACGAAGGATCATGTAAGCTTCCGTCTTCTTTTTTCTCTTTAGCTCACGACGCGTTTCATGATAGTCCGGTCTTTCAACGTCGAAGTATCTCCCAATGGCTCGCTAGAGGCTGTTAGTTGGTGTAAAACTTAGGGGTATATGTATATCAACGAAAGAAACCCTTACTTCGATCCACTATATGACAATTAGCAAAGAGCTTGATTTATAATGTCGTGCAGTCTATAACTTACATCCATATTATTAGACGGGATGTGGAAATATCTGATGAGCTGATGAGATGAGGGGGGTCTACGATGCAGTAGATTGTCTTTGTTGTTCAACAAGTAATCAAGGGTCGTCTTCTGATTTGGGAACTTGTTCCACACCCCACGACTCTCCATTTGATCAGGTCGGCCGTCATTAAATTGAATTATCGGCACAGTAACATCCCTTTCTGGATTATAATCCTCATTGCTTTCCTCATTTGACGATGATGAACCATCTGATGACGATGAGCCATCTGGTAACGATGAACCGCCTCTGTCATCGTCTTGTTGATTTGATGCGCGTTCGATATTGAGATGGGACTCATTCCAGGCGTCGTGACTTTCTACAACCTTCTCTACCAAGTGATTATCCTTCTCGTCTTCAGACAGTTTCCGGCGGAGAAATTCAATGCGTTTTAATTCGCGTATGCAGTCGTTTCTCCAAGATGTCCTCTTTTGATTGATAATCTCAGCTGCCTCATTGCTCGTCTTTCCAAGAACTTCTTTTTGATGTTGAAATTCATGTTTCCAGATACTGCAATCGCTCTCGAAGAATTCTTTTCGTTCAGAAAATTTAAGACATCCTAAATAATGAAGTAAGTGATCCTTAATGTCGCAACCATGCTCCCGAGAACTGAGGCAGGTAAACTTGGAAACAGCATTATTGCTCATATTGGATTCAGATACGGGCCCCAGGTAAATAAGCGTAAATAATTCTTCTTAGATACATAGAAAATAAGGAACTATAACTACCTAAGACAGAGAAAGAATCTCTTATAGAGAAATGAGCCGTTGGGGGCCAAAGTCACGGTCTAGAGGCAACTCCATTACAAGTTTCTATAGGTACATTGGGGGTAAACCTCTAATACATAAGTGTAGCAAGTACTCCGTGCCTAGGTACCTAACCTATATGTCATCAATTGCTTCGGTGACGTGCATGGTAACCCCGACCCTATAGCAGCGGAAGAGGATATGCATCGATGAACAGTACCTAACACTAATCAAGAAGCGGTGTTTTCGAGATACCTTAAGAATTTACGGGCAGCTACGTGAACGAAGACTTCATTTTTGCATTTTGCGCTGACACGCATCGGAGTTGCCTGGAGGACCTGAACGATTAGCCAATGATATGTTAGTTACCTACCTACCTATAGATACACCGAACGAAGTCAGAGTAACGAGGAACGGGCATATGCCGGGAACTGTTCCCCAATATTGGGCGGTGGGCTATGCTAATCGATGCGGCTGAAGGTGGTCATGGAAGTTGGAGGCTCTATCGGGATATGAATCGGCGAATGGGCTTGCATAAGATATACATATACATACCTATGCAGGTAAGTGCTTAGCTGGATCCCCCCTGTCCGAGGAACACCTCCCAGTGGGCATATAGCCGGCTGGGCCCCCCAGCCTGCCTTAGGGTGGAGGACATATTTAGCAATAGTGTGCTGCGTGATCCTCAGCTGAAATCCCTTTTTGACCCCTGAAATGACTATGCCTATTCGATAGCCCTCCTATTGTTGGTGTCTTTACTTGGCTTGGGGGTGAAGTTCCTAGAAACTGTTAACGACGAGAACCTGTGTTTCATCGAGATTCGTTTATATCCCTACCTAAGGTATACAGTATTCATTACGTGACACCCGTTGACGAAAGTCGGTATTTTAACTTTTACTATTTTCGTCTTGGCTTTGATGCCATTTACATATCACGTATTATGTACCTCAGCTTGTTAAGAGTATCTTGTAGCCTCATTATTAAATCCCTAAGTCAAATCGATCGCATCAATATCCATAGATAGTTAGGAAGGGGGGTTAGGGAGACAACTACCCCTTGCTACCCCTATCCCTTATCTTCTCTTTACTGAATAATCGTCAGCTCTGGTGATAAAGACCCTTATGCGCAATGCATATCATCTAGCCGATACTCGGTTCCTATCGCAGCCCGCGTCATATTTGGTCCCGATATATAATCCGTATGATGCATTTCATTGGCAGCATTCCATGGGCTCCCGGGCGATGGTAGGGGCTTTAGCTGTTTTGTTCTCCATCTCCTGGGAACGAACTTCTCGTACATAATCTCCCGGAATGTTCGAGTAAGGCCAAATACTATCCATATTGCCAATCCGGGTGTCACTCCATATACGTATCCGATAATGTTCGATCTAGCGCGTCCTGCACTTAGGTCGGGCTGATCTGCTTGAGCGTCCCTGGCTACATCGTCGCGCTGGGGTAGGTGAGTGACTATGCTCGCTACTATGAATGCGCTTGGCACAATTGTAAGTAAGCAAAGCTTCTTGGCTGGCAAATCGTCTGACATCAAGAAACTTACGATATGAGAATGATGGCAGTGAAGAGTCGGAACACCAACCAGTTGCTATCAAATACCGATGGCAAGGTCCTAGTTACTTGGCCCTGACGTGGTTCAGAATTGCTCTCTGAGCTCGCAGAGTTCCTGAAGGGAAGACTCCATCGTCTGGAATGTCGCGAGAGTGGTAAATACTTCCAGGAGAGCTTTGTGTTAACGTATTTCCAAACGATGATGGATATGGCTATAATTCCAACTACACAACTCCCGACGGCTATACAGAATCAGTCTATGTTCAATCAATGAGTAGTCGAGGGAAGCCTTTCTTTACATAAAAAAAAAAAAAAAAAAAGCACATACCTTGTACATTAGCTACGACCATGTATACGAGGAAGCTGCTTTGAACTGCCGGTGTTTGAAGTAGCCCGATGGTGATGATGTCTAGCACAAAAGGCACAATCCTACTGGCCACAATGTAGACTCTCTCGGCAGATCGTCGTGTTCCCCAGTAACCGTAAATAGTCAAAACCATGTGGATTGAACTAGTCACAGCATTAGTATCGTCGGCATATTGAACGGAGAATGTTTCATACTATGTCATCAGGTAAGACGACTCTATGATGTAGCAGAACAGCCCTATGTGGCTTCAGTATATGGATTTGAAAGAAAAGCGTTAGATGTTATTGCGTACGGATGACTGCCAGGGCTCGCATGAACCCAAAGTTGCCATTGTTGAAGATAACATCGGCATTCTCATAGTTCGCTTTGATATAGTAAAGCTGAGCCCACATGAGATCATCCCATAAACTAGTGAGATGAGTTGTTATAATTACCTAACATGACAATTATCACCTTCATAAGAAAACTTACGCGTAATTATATATCTGCTGCACGATGCTACTCATGGTGCATAGTAGGCCAAAGTACGCGATCAAGGCCACATCTACATGGGGGTTGGTTAGAATGCATCTGGATTTCAGAGCGTTGGTGGGATCATTAGGGCTCACAGCTTAGCCTCTCATGACTGATCCAGTAAAGCCATATGAGGAGAATATTGGTAAATAAGCAAACAAACGTGAACAATAGCACGCCTACGGCATCACCAACAGTTCCTGCTGGCAGTTGAGGCATCTTAAATCGTCTCTTAACCTGCTGCGCTCGACAGTCGACTAGGGTTAACTGAGGTAAGATAAAAGAATCAGCATCTAATCCTGTGTTCTGCCGGAGCCTTACGGATCGGTTGCGCGATGATTGCGGGAGGGGTTTTTCTTGGCGATTCCAATATGCGCCGTAATCACCATAGCAAACGCCTATGGCTGTTTGATAGGAGGTAGGGTTGTAATTAAACAGCTAACAGGCATTTTGCTTGCAGCTGAAAAGCACACAGACGAAAGAGGATAATATTCCGATAATGAATCCAGTTCCTTGGCTGTTTTGAAGATAATTTTATATGCGACTTCTTATTTGTACCTCTTCCTAATAATATAATATTGCTCGCGGCAAAGACCTCATGTTCAGTTTTTGGCCGCACTCACTTATGAATGCAGATACAGAACACCGGGTTCTAGTTCAAATGCACTCTATAAAATTGACTTAATTTTCAATTAACTAGAATCATGGGATTCAGACATGTTATTTCTTAGATACCAGGCAGGTACCTATGTTTTGCACTTTACTATCCCCGTGATGAAGCGGCATGGGGAATGAAACAAAACGCCATCCGCGGGCGCCGAGCGGTGTCCGTCGGAGAGACGCGTTGAAATGAGTCGCTAAAGGGGCACATTATCACAAACCAATTGCTCCCATTTAGAGCAAATAAAATGGCGACGAAGAATGTGTTACTCGATACTATCTTGACGTGTTATTACATCTTTGAATTCACGGTCATTATTAGGGTCGATTGACTTAACCGACACGATCATGGATAGCCATCTTAGTCCAGCGCAAAATAATACTTCGCGCCAACGTAGGAAGGGCGACACTTGCATCGGAAATGGGACACCGAAACTTTCCCTAGGAACTCGGAATGGACATGCGAGCTGGCCGACAGAGAAGCATTATCATAAACGCAGAAAGTCTCGATCTCTCCTGCGTCGGTCGTGGACTTTACCGCTGGTGCTCACGTTAGCGACCCTCCTTCTCTACGCTCCCAATCCGACAAACTCTAACGTTATTCATCACTTTCTCTTTCTATCTTACGAGGTAGATGATGTTGACGGCTCTCCACAGTACGGTAAAGGGCCGTGGGACCTCGCTTTCGTGGGTTTCTACACCATACTCCTGTCCTTCACCCGCGAGTTCGTCATGTACGAGGTACTACGCCCGCTGGCTCGAATTTTCGGTATTAAATCGCGAGGCAAGCAATTAAGGTTCATGGAACAGATGTATATAGTCTTCTATATCGCGTTCATGGGGCCATTCGGCATGTACTGCATGAAGCAGACTCCGGTGTGGTATTTCAATACGAGAGGCATGTACGAAGGCTTCCCGCATAAAACTCATAACGCGAATATTAAGTTTTATTACTTATTTCAAGCCGCGTTTTGGGTACAACAGTCTCTAGTCATGCTACTAGGCTTCGAACAGAGACGTAAGGACTTTCAGGAACTCGTCGGTCACCATATTGTAACCATAGCCCTTATTGGTCTAAGCTACAGGTTTCACTTCACGTATATGGGCATTGCAGTCTATACCACACACGATATTAGCGACTTTTTCCTAGCTGTGAGTTGATCAAGCCGCGTGCCCTTCTTTCGCATTCTCTACAAGGTTGTTGAGAAGATTTTTAGCTAACTTATTTATTACCCTATAGTTATCTAAGTCGTTGAACTATATCAATAGCCCATATCAAGGACACTCGTTCGGGTTATGTATAATTATATGGACTTATTTACGGCATTACATCAACCTCCGCATCATATACTCCCTATTTAACGAATACGGCACAATCGGACCTTACGAACTAGACTGGGAAACCGAGCAATACAAATCTCCACTGTCAAATATCGTCACGTTTGTTCTACTAGCATCACTTCAGGCCTTGAACCTATTCTGGCTATACTGCCTTCTACGTAACGCCTACAGGTTTGTCTTCTTGGGAATCGCGAAGGATGATCGGTCAGAAGATGAAGCGCCGGAAACTGACAACGAGGCACGCGGGAAGGCCCCTTCACTGGATGGAAATTTGATAAAAGGCACTTCTTACTAGACTTACATTCTCCTGGCCAATTAAACGAGTAGTTAGAGGTTCCGAAATATAAATATTCTTAATAAAGGCGAAAGGCGGGTCATATCATACACAGCCTCCACGTGTCTCGATGCTTGAAGTCTGCCCACGCTGAAGCATACCTAGGTACCTAGGCATGCCGATATACTATGACCATAGTATGCCAATCAAATATTAGCTACGAAGCTAACTACCTAAATGTCCTAGCTAAATACCAATGCCATAGAAGTAGTATTATAATGCCAAGATGTTTCTGGGTCCATATGTAAGTTAAGGTGTCGTTTCCATAAGGATCAACATTAACTTCACGTCTTCGCTGATACTTGAATATGCCATCGATCCCGGCTAGAGACTGTGATAGTCATACAACTACTGGTCCCTCGGCTTAAACAAGGTAGCCAGGTGCACGTCTTCCGAAAAAGTCGGTCGGAATTAGAACATGCGGGGGTTATCCCCGGAAGGATTGTGTGGCGCACGGAGGTTGTCCACTATGGACTTCGGCCGGGACGGACGGGTTGGAGGCATCCAGCTACGTAATTACTTTGATATAAGTAGCTATCCAACATAGTATCAATCATGTGTTCATCAACATATCCATCACACATTCCATTACAATAACATCCAAGGGTAATACAACATGAAGCCATCTGCAGTGTTACTGTCCCTCCCTTGGGCCATATCGGTTGAAGCATCCTCTATCGGTCAACCGCAACCACCTAAGTTTCAATGGACAGATCTTCCGGCTGTTGGTAATGGCGCCGCCATTCAGGAACACGGCACTACAGCGACCAATACTCATATCTACCTTCTGGGCGGCATTTCACCTAACGCTAACGCCAGCATACCAGCGATCCAGTCGAGAGACACATTCGAGGCTTACTCGCTTGAAGAAGGCACATGGGAAAGTCTCACTCCAATCCCGGAGGCTTTTACCCATATTAACGCCGCTGCTGTTAACGATAAAATCTACTTGCTCGGAGGTCTCACGGGAAATGGATCGGATATGGTGTGGCGGTCTTCACGCGACTGTTTTGTCTACGACATCGCTGAACGCACATGGACGGCCCTACCCCCTATGCCGGAGGGACAAGGCCGTGGTGCTTCAGCTGTAGGAATATCGGGAAATATCGTGTACTTGGCTGGAGGGTTAGATCGGCTCGAAATTGGTGGCGATCAACTCACTCTTGATATAGTTACCGCATACGATACCGAAACGGGAACATGGACAACGTTACCAAGCATTCCTGCACCGAGAGATCACGTCGGAGGAGCAGTCATAGACCAGAAGTTCTACGTTGTTGGCGGTCGCGATCACGGGCAAGTGAACGTGCGTAACACGACATGGTCTCTCGATCTCAACCCGCCATCGAAAGGATGGGTAGCTCATGCCGAAATGCCTACTGCCCGCGGTGGACTTGCGGTTGGCGTCATCGGTGATTGCATTGCAACTTTCGGAGGCGAAGGCAATCCAGCACCCGAGTCCAACGGTGTATACAACGAAACGGAAGTTTATAGTGTGAAGGACGATGTATGGTTCAAGCTACCGGCGATGCAACACCCCAGGCATGGTACGGCAGCAGCCTCAGTCAACGGTCGCATCTATATCCCGGGTGGTGGTACTGCCATGGGATCGGCACCAGTAGATACGTTTGATTCATTCGAACTGAGTCATTGATATCCTATCAAGGCTATGGGAAGAATCGGGCGGACTTCTAAGGTGTGAAATAGATTTATATGTCAGTATGCTTTTATAAAATCAAAGTTATTACTTAGATCTTGTCCGATCCTAGTGATATTGTTAGTCGTAACTATGATTTAAGAAACGTTATGTACCTACCTAGGTATTTATATAGATACTATGTATAATTCCGAGCTACCTTGAGTAGAAAGGCTCTATAAGTAAACCGTAAATATTGTCTAGTTAACTTAGGTAGTGAGAACTAAGAGAAGTTGTTAGTTTTAGAGAGGCGAGATGTTAATCAGTTATGCTTTAGACTGAATTATACTAAATAAAGTATTGGAGCTTTTGCGATATGAAAATATGACTTGGGGGTTAAAATATCTTTAATTAAAAATGGCTATTCTGATTCATTCTTAATTATGAAATATATCTTTAAAAATGGCTATTCTGATTCATTCTTAATTATGAAATCAGTAGGTAGGTACTTAACGATCCTAGACTTAATATTCCAATTCTTCTGGTCTTACTTCTCGACTACATAGTACCTCATTACCGAATCTTACATACACGACCGGACTTTCAATAATAGAAATTTACTTCTCAATCCATTAATCGTAGGTTCTAATAAGAGCCTATGTAATAAAAACATGCCTTGTTTTCCTAGTGGGCTAAGCAGGGCCTAGAACAGCCCTGCCAGCAATGAGGCAATTGTCGACGTGGGGGGGACCAGCACCCTCAACTAAAGCGACCTGGGAGTAACTACATACATACTAACCTAGCCAGCTTGGCATCCTCGCTATCCGCACTAGTCTAAGCGAGAGTGACTTTCGCGATCGAACGGAGACGAGAGAGGTTTAGCAAATTTTATCGTCTCTCGCCATGTTCCTTTCGCTGCGTTGAAAAATTAAACCCTCGGCTGATCATACGGCGGTACGATGGAGAAGGGAGCCGAACAACGAGATGCGCCCGCCGCTGCATTGCGGCCGGTCGACACGGAGTCAGTCGGCGACAAGGATGTCGCTATCGCGATGGTCGGAGAGGAAGAACATACGGTTGATCCCGTCGTCGTCCGGCGTGCCGTTCGCAAGATCGATTGGTTTTTTATTCCAGCTATGACTGTTGGTTGTAAGTCTTGATCGTTTTATGTTTTATTCATTTCTCGACAACATACGGCTAACTTTTATATTAAGATGGGCTCGTATACTACGACAAGGTAGCACCAAGCGTCTTCTATTCCAGTAACCCCAGTACTTACACAATCTTAGGCTATTCTGGGATCTGCAGCCCTATTCGGCATGACGGCAGACTTGAAGCTCAGCGTCCCGGATCCGCGGCACCCACCCGCGGTTGACACGTCGCGGCTCAGCTGGGCAACGTCCATCTTCTATTTCGGTATGCTGGGAGGGCTTTACCCCATGTCATATGCTCTACAGCGCTTTGAGACGGGACGTGTTCTCGGAGGCGTTGTTGTGCTCTGGTCTTTGATCTGCATGCTTACTGCTGCGGTGACCTCCCATCAGGGGTTATATGCACAACGCTTCTTCCTGGGCTTCATTGAGAGTATCATTCCGACGGGGTTTATGTGCATCGTCAGTGGGTATTATACGCAGCAAGAACAATCTCTGCGACAGAGCTGGTGGTTTTCCTCGACCGGACTCTGGACGATTATTGGTGGTGCTCTTAACTATGGGTTTGCCCAGATAACAGGAGGCGGTCTACGTCGTTGGCAATACATCTATCTCCTAGCTGGATGTCTTACATTTATTTTCGGTCTATTCTGCTTTGCCGTCCCGAGCTCTCCCGTGTCGGCATGGTTCTTGACTAAAGACGAGAGGTTCGCCGCAGTGGAGAGACTGCGATACGGTCAAACCGGCGTTCGCTGTACCAAGTTCAAATTGTCGCAACTGAAGGAGGCTGTGCTTGACGTCAAGATATGGCTGATAGCTATCATGATGGCCTCAGCTTATACCGTGAATGGTGCTGTCTCCGGCTTTGGTCCTCTAATTGTGTCAACATTCGGTTGGAGTACTTTAGAGTCTATCGTCTTCCAATTTCCACTAGGAGGTCTATGCTTGATCGCAATTCTACTCACAGGCTGGCTTGGGTCGCGTTACCCAAATATTCGCATATTCATGTTGATTATCTGTTGTCTTCCAGTCATAGCAGGTTGCGCCATCATCTGGAAGAGCCAGTGGACATATCATGCCGCAGCGCCCGTAGTGGGTTATACGATTACGGGTACCTTTGGCGCCGTGGTAAGCTTGATTATCACGATTGGAATGTCCAACGTCGCCGGGCACACTAAAAAGAGCTTTACTTCAGCAACTATCTTCGTCGCATATTGTGTTGGTATGAATCCCCAACTAATTATTTATTGACCCCATGTATTCACCCGTATCTCAATAGGAAACATCATCGGACCACAGTTGATCAAGAGTCAGACTAAAGCATCTCATTACCCCGAGCTATGGCTTGGGCTCATCATATGGTTCGTGTGCAATTTCTCGTCATCTCCTACCATCCCCTTAGTCGCCTTCTAATTTTTCTGTCACAGCTATTGCATAACCATCTTAGCTTCAATAGCCCTCTTCATAGTGCTCAAGCGTGAGAACCGAAAGAAAGAATCCGCAATGGTAGAAGACGAAGCCGAGAGATCCAAACTCGCGTTTCAAGATCTCACGGATAAGGAGAACCCGTATTTCAGATACGTCATGTAAGGTTGAATGAAGACAGTTAATGGCAACTATTACTCTGTTGTGTAGTTGACAGTTCTGCCATTACTTCGTCATCCCTGATGACTTTGTGTGTGAGCCAAATATGTTTTTGAAGCGCGTGGAAAACTTGGATGACTTCACTTCCCCGCCCTCCTCAGAAATAGAGCCCAGGCTCATAAGGCTACTTCTACGGCGTTTCACGGCATCGCTGATGGAACTCATGTCGCGTACAATCGCTTCCTCCCGTGTTCCTAAGTATTATAGCGCCGTTAGTGAGTCTGGACCATCCGTAAATAATCGAAGAAGGAAATGGCGCATACGGATATTACCTGCACCTCCTATTCCAAACGATCTCCGACGTTCATCTCCGGCCATGGCTAGTATACTTCAGCTCAGAGTGCACTTCGCTAAGATAAACTGAGATAATATACATATAGGCGTTCGATGTAGAGTTGAAGAGCAACATGCGAATATTTGAGTAGAGACTAGGCTTTGTGTCTCCTTTGTTGTTGGTGACGGGTCAACGGCCGCTATGGATATCAAGATGATGGCGTGTATTCATATTCTCCGTGGTATGATTCCCCCTCGTCTCACTGGCGACTCATTTCTCCTATTGAAGATAACCCAGCCGTCTCTAATTGGCTCCCCACGGTTGACTCTAGGTTCGTATATCTAGAACAGGCATTTCATCTGAATCAATGCCGTCATATTCCATAAAGCTTAGATGATTCGTGTGGGTAATCGATCGCCGTTGGAGATAGGGGCGCGGGGCATCACTGGTCTGCTGGTTTTACGACAACCAAGGGACGCTGAATAATGAGATCACCTAACGGCTTTTAGTTAGTTTCTGCTGAGTTCCTTAAGGGATCCCCGATCCCCGCAGCTTCAAGTCAATTGCAAAATCTTGATGCCGTAATATCACAGCCGGCGAAGTTATATTAAGTCGTGAGGGTAAAATAAGGGGGAATAGGGGTTTTGCAAATCTGCCGACTCCAACAGAATAGCGATGAACAATATAAAAACATTCGCTCTTAAATAACTTTCTATGAGTCCCTAATATACTTCTTTACTAATATAGCATTTAATACACATTCGTACATGTATCATCTCAATGTTTGCAATGCATACCTACCTGGTACTTGGGTACTCTAACCTAGGTGGTTAACTGCATTAGGTATTATTAAGTGGATACACTCGGATAGGTACCTAGATACACGGATATTCGAATATCTTCTGATTGTAATACATGCTATTAAATGCATACGACACTAACATGTTGACAGCTTTGGGCTTTTGCGACTTGGTCAACACTAAATGTTAAGTCCTACATATTGGAACAATAACCATGGCTATAAATGCGCCGACGCCTTCTTATTCCCAAATACCTGATATTAGATTGGAGGACTACCTTGACGACAAGCTCCAGTCCAGTACCGACTTTGAAAACCTCGATAGTCTAATAGCAAATGTAGAAGTTCAACGTAGCCAACTCCAGACCCAACTCGACGATGCCACTAGGGAGCTTGAAGATGCTCGTCGCGCAGCCCAGGACCACCAAGGGGGGATCGCCAGATCAATAAATGAGTTCAACGCTCTCCAGGAGAGCATCGATGCGCGCTTAAAGATAGTTGCCGAGTCCAGCGCACCCGATGAAGCCATCCGACGCCTCGAGCAACCCATGAAGCAGCTGCGCAAGGTCGAGCTCGCCCACCAATACGTTTCGTTACTACACGATGTTGAGAACCTAAGAGTTGAGGCACGGTCTCATCTTCCCCAGAGTCCTAAAGCCGCATTACAATCATACTCGAGACTCAAGAAGCTAAGCATGCGGTTGAGGGAGCTACAGGGAGCAGCAGATCAAGCCGCCACACATCTCGTGAGCCACGTCGAGGGAACTACGGAGCATCTATGGGACGAGATGAAGAATATTATGTCTAAGGAGCTAGAAAATGTTCTGAAGGAGCGCAATTGGCCCCAAGGAATTGATACCGGTGCCGAGATGGACACCGAATGGCTACAATGCTTCGAGAAGCTCATCGACTTACAGGCGCCTGAGGTCATCTACTCGAAAAAAGTAGTTCCGCTACTACCCTTCGAAGTTATGGCAAAACCTTTCATCCTGTGGTTCCAATTCCAGTTCATGGGTAACAACGCAACAAGCGGCCCCCAGTCATTCGGAACTTTCTGCGTGCCTCAGTTCCTAGCGCTAATCGATAAATGGGAGGGTTTCTTCCGAGACAACGTGGGCTACGTTCTGGCGTCCCGATTTCAAGATACGAAAGTGCATGGCTTATCAGTCTACATGGACCCCGCCTGCGCTCTCATCACGGTGCTGCTACCTGTGATGAGAGAGAAGATAGATACTCTGGTCCAACACGGTCTCAAGAATCCACAATTTTTAAGTAGTCTCATGGTACAGCTGATGGATCTTGACGATGAGATACGATCAAGATTCAACTACGACGGCGGTGATCCAGATCAAGGCTGGGCCGGTTTGACGTCGGAAGTCCTCGAAAAACACTTTGATAATTGGTTCAAAGCAGAGAAAGATTTTGCTCTAGAGCGTTACCACGTAATTATGAACTCTCCGGATGCTCGGAATATTGATTATGATTATAGCGGTGTTGGTAAGATGAAGCCAACCTTTGGTGCAGTGAGAGTGACGGACTTGTTAAAGTCTGTCACGTCTCAATATGAGCGAGTCCGCAGGTTCTCCCATAAACTCCGGTTCCTCATCGATATTCAGCTTGAAATTCTAGATGATTACCATGACCGCCTCAAGGATTCATTAGACGCATACTATACAATTACCTCTACTCTGGGTCGTACCCTACATGGCGTAACTAGGGAACAAGCCGCCGCTTTGGAAGGGACAGGGGCATTTGAGACTCTCTGCAAGGTCTTGGGCAGTTCTGACCATATAATTGCTACTTTGAAGGATTGGAGTAACGAGGAGGTAAGTTTTTATTTCCCAGGCGCATATATAGTAAATCCCTTGCTGATTTGGTTAGTTCTTCGTATCCTTGTGGGAGCAGCTCCAAACGAGGGCTAGACAGACCAATGGCGATGGTAATATTGCCACCGGAATGAGTTATGAAAATGTGAAAGATAAGACCTCAGCAGATATTGGCTCCGACGGTGACAGTGGAATCTTATTCGATGAAACTATCGCGGCATACGCTCGCCGCCGAAAGACCGCCGAGGAATACCTAGTCGCAGCGTTGATTGACTCTCACCAGAAAGCATTTCGCCCGTACTTCGCCAAGGCTCATTGGACTACAATTAGTGATGATGCCCACTGTAAGCTCTATTATTCAAAATTTACCGCCACTCAACATGCTAAATATTTTCAGTAGACACTTCCCAGCTTTCTGTAACTCCAGAGTTAGATGAGCCTTTAAAGGTAGAACTCTACTTATGAACCATGAGTACACAAAATTGTGACTGACATTTCTCTAGATACTCAAACGAAATCTTACCTTCCTTACTTCTGCATTGAGTGCCGCTGTTTATCGCAGGGTATGGCGGGAGGCGCTAGAGAAACTACAGGATACAATATGGACGACAGTGCTTATAGCGCAAAGTTTCACAGCCGTCGGTGCTGCCCAGTTCGCGAAGGATCTGGAGGCTATCGCTTCTCTGATAGACCGTCACATCCCGGATGGTTCGCTCGCGCTTGGTACACTACGAGACGGTGCAAGGCTATTAAACCTGCCTCTAGAAGCCACTGACGGGGCCATATCTCTCCAACAAGCGAGCGATCGCGCATTCACAGATAATGCCGAGGCCAAGAAACTTTTGGCTGAACTAGATATAGAATCCCTCACTCCGGCAAACGCTAGGAAGATTCTACAGAGGCGTGTCGAGACTAGCGAATAGAGAAATTTTCGTCTGCCTTCTATAGGTCTCTAAATCTAGTTTAGTTTACGCTCTAATACCGGTCCAAGTGCGAAGTGTTGAATTGCTCCCAAATGAGATCTATCGTGATAAACCCCCTATCTCACGCATCTTTGGTTGAAGCCCAACGCCTTATCATATGACCTAAGCCCAGATTTTTCTCAACCTCCTTACCCTTAATTAGTTACCTGCCTCCCTACCAGGTAGGTAGGTACTTAAGTTTGCGTTTTAACTGATAGCACGCATTGTCGCCTCCACCACGGCGAACGTACCCGCGCTGACTGGCATGGCCCTCAGTAGCGTGGGACCGATACCCTTCCAAAAGCCCCGTGCGCCCTCAGCCTTCCAGGTCTGCGCAAAGCAGTCCCGCATCGTCTTATACTTCATCTCGCTGCCAAAACCATCGGTCTGCATCTTGCTCTTGACGACATCAAAAGGGTAACTAGCAAGCCAGAGGGCTTCACCAGCCAGGCCACCGTACAGCGCAACCTTGTAACTCGGGATTTCGGCTCGGTCAACGCGGTTCCGTGCCGCATCGGCCATCATCAAGTACTCGAAAGTCAGAAACCACGTGCCATAAGCGGCGGCCTCACGCAAAATCGTCACCGCCTCGCCGCGGTACAAGCCACGCAACCCGCCGCCGCGCGAATACAGCTGGCGCACGCAATCGAGAGGTCCAGAGTACAAGCGCGCTTCGCCGTGGGGTTGCGTCTGCAGCCGGATACGCACGTGCTCGATGGGCCCCGAGATCACGGAGTTGGCGACGCCGGCGAAGGCACCGGCTGCGAAGTACTGCCCGAAGGACAGGTCCTTGGAAGAAGATGATGAGGAGGAGGCAGCATTCCGGGCCTCAAAGTAGCGCCGCGCGTACCCGAAAGCACCGAATTGGATTGATACGCAGGCTCCAATACCGAGGAGAGGGGTTAGTGTGCCCTTGTAGAATGCGAGGGGGCCCTCTTTGACGTAGATAGAGGTCGCGGCATCGAGGGCGGATTTGTATGCTGTGCTTGTTTGGAGTCGAACTTTGACTATGTCGAAGGGTTGGCCTGTGGAGGGTTAGCGATGAGGACGGATGTTTAAGCTAACCTTGATGTGGATGAATTTGGGACATTGTCTCTCTCTTTCGTGGCTATGACCGTTTGGTTTGTCAAAGCTTGACCTTTTTTTCCATGATAGCTGACATCCCAACCATTTATTTTCATCAATCATTATAACAGATAGCCCTATAATGAGATAAAGCTGAAAACAATGACCTACCTATAAGAACCTGGGCAACTCCTCCGGCGGCTCCTGCAAATAAGTCCTTTGCCGTGTCAAGAGCACCGCCTTTGGCGTCGAGGTCCTGAGCTGCGTCTCCCATCCCGGCCCCGCGCACAATATAATCGACCCCGAGGAATAAAATACCTCCTATGAAGTTCTCGTATATCGCTTAGAACAAGCCACGTCTCGCGTATAGAAAGCCAATTAGACTTTGAGTTTTAATTGGTTTGCGATTGACGATTTACTACGAGACGGGATGTAATGAACTTGGCCGATATAGGAGATGAGATTAGATGAGATGAGGTAAACAATAAACGGCAAAGATTCAGGTGAGAGATATCGGATTCACCTTATCAGAGCATCGTTTTGGTGGGGCTCCAAGAATTGGTATTGTATTGTACCTATTCCGTATGGAGGTTACCTATCGATAGCGGAGGGGTCCAAGTCCAAATACGCTCAGGCTCGTGCTACTATTCGAATGTGACGCGATTCGTGTACTTTATAGTACCTTTAGTAGGCGCTAGGTAAGCACGCAGGCACTTAGTCGTATCCCCTTGACTGGCATAAAACAGCAAAAACCTTATTCGGTAAAGTACGTAAAGTCCAACGCAACCAGTCTATACTTCCTTTAGCCAATCTTGATGTATCGATAATGAAAATAGTGGGTTTGCTGTTTTATACCAGTCAAGGGGATATAAGTCCAATACATAAATAGGTAGGTACCAGGTATATTATCCAAGGTACGATTTTATATCAAGATAACAGAACTTCACATCGAGTAAACTGATGAACCAAAATTGATATCTTATTGAGGTGTTCTCAAAGTGTATTCATAAATAGGTAGGCAGTTAATAATATAACTAAGTCATACATTAACTTATACATGTAGCAATGTGTTAAACTCATTTTCCGGTGTAAACTTATCATAAATCGGCGCATTACCTTACTAGAGCCAAGTCTAGGAAAAAGAGAAGACTTTTATTACGAGAGATCATACTTCGAGTTTCTATAATGTGCTATGGTCCTAGACGAGACATCTAAGCAAAGGACGTTGTTAGTGCGTATAGCCATAGTTTCCCGTAGCTAGCTTGGAGTTTCTCGGGAAACGACGAACTTGTTCCCATGCTTATTAGTCCACCTCAAGGCAACTGCATATTGAACAATATCAAATCTTATAGCTACTCGGCGCCTTCCAGGATGTAAACTATTTTTTAACTTACTCTTTTATATTTAAACAAGCAAGCCCCCCCAATACCGAGCCAAAGTATCCTCTTGAAAATTATCTTCATACTTCCCACCAGCTACTATGTATCCTTTCCATAATCTCGCCAACATCAAGCTATCACCTGGCTCTGTCGTTCACTTGACTCTATCATTCACAATACTTTGGCATTCCTAAAATCAGGGTATTTAGCTGCTGCTCTACCGTTGACATATTGAGATTATCAGGCTAACGGTTAGGCAAGGACCATTTACATCATCGTATAAATACAGCATTTGCTACTCAGCGCCACCACGATGGTTTACACTATGGAATTTCATACCAGCAGTCTCCACAGAATGCATCCTCGATTTGGTAGTATTGGAACCACTGTCGCCTGTGTAGTAACCCAGGACGGACACACCGAGACTTATCAACAGAAAATAAGAAACGGGTCATTAACTAGTCAGAGAATCGAAATATATTCCATTATACTGGCGCTCCAGAAAGCCCTAGTATTACACAAACAGTTGCGTCCAAGTCGTTCAATATCTATATCGATTCATTCGGACTCTAGATACGTCGTCGAATGCATGACAAACTTGCTTTTCAGATGGAAATCAAACGGGTAGAAAAACCAATATGGGGAGGACATCTGGCATTTGGACCTGTTTAGGGATGTTTACCGCCTATTACTACGCGTCAGAAAGCTTGGGAGTGTCGACTTTGATTATATCCCAAGTCAGCATAATACGCAGGCCCACCAAGCCTGCAGCGACGCTCTGGATCAATTTGAGCGAAATATTACAGGACGCAACACTACCTAGAGGAGACACGATCGAGACGATTCCCGGTACCCGGGATGGGACCATATACACCGTCTAACGATACTGTTGGAGTATAACCGCCAATGGATGGATATCTAGTTCTATAGCGAAAAGTGTTGAAGTGAGTGGTCAAGGGACTACTTTCAGGTACAGTACATGGTATCTTGGCATGGAATGTATATATAAGAAGGACCTCCCTCCTCACTCATACAGTTGGTAGATCAAGTCAATATACAACTACAGCTCATATACCGTATCTTTCAGCAAAAAGGAGTAATTGATTTCATAACCAGTATATCGAGACCAGATGATGCAAAATCCCTTACTATGCTATGATTACTGACCGTATCGCATAGCTTTGTTTGCCCAACATCAAATTTTATTCGCAGGTTAGACGACTAAGCTATTGCAAAAAGAAAAGAGTACAATATGGATAAGGCAATAAGATATCCTTTGAAGCACCGAAAGCCTTGAACTCTTCCTTCCTGAGTTGTAGATGACGCTGTTGGTGTAGCAGCAGTGCCTGAATCCGTCCCTTCCGGAAGGGGCGTCGAAGTTCTAGTCGAAGATGGAGGACTTGAACCCATAGATCCTGATGTGATAGACGCGCTCTGTGTTGATGATGCCGTAGTTTCTGTGGCTGTCATGCCTGAACTTGTCTTCCCAACAGTTGTAGACCCGGATGTCGGCGTGGTAGCCTGGCCGACCATTGACTTAACCCATACCGCCGCTGCGCCAGAGTAGACGTCAAAGTAATTCAAGTGATGTTGGACGTTATATACTCGTTTACCATCACCCTCTGCGCAAATTGGATCATCCCCCTGACACCAGTCTCGGAGCACACCTACAAAGTTGTAGATATCCCCAAGTTGCTGGCCGCTTCGAGGAAATAAGCCATTGATAAGCGCACCTCCTAGTGTATTATACGGCTGATTGGCGGTATGGCGGGTATCACCAAAAAGGAGGGCAGCCGAAACCGTGCGCCAGATTATCTAGTTAGAAAGTTTTTCAACGCTGTGACGTATACTAGATAGTACAGGCACCGGATCCAACTTACTCGTATTACCAGGGGCTGAGTTTGGATCTAAGCCTGAAACCTTAGGCGTCATGCAGCCTTGGAAGAAAACACCGGCGCCACCACCGAGTATATCTCCTAAGACATGCGCGCCCTAAGAGTAGCCGCTGACGACGAGTTTCGTATTCGGACATCGCTTGTTATAGGCGGTTATCTGTGCAATGCCAGCTTGACGCCCTGCCTCCACGGCACCGCAGTACTCAACTGCCAGGGCATTGTTAAACGTAATGTCCTCGTAGTCGCAGCTCTCGAGCCCCGAGCATATAGCCCGCACGAGCTTTCCTTAGCGGCCGAGATATGACTCATTGTTCCCTCGAGACAGAAAGATGTGGACATTAGTGCACGTGTCTAAGCCCGTTTTTTGTGCGGCTACGACAGCTGAGAAGATGGAGGCTAACAGCAAAGCCAAATATCTAAGATCCGACATGATCAACAGCAGTGGAGGAGACCATCACCAAAAACATTGCCGCGAACCTGGAAAAAAATATTTATGATCAACTAGACTGGAAATCATCACCTTTTCAAGCAGTTTACGCATAAATCTCCGAGCCAGGTTAAAGGCAACGACCAATAGCATATCCTCTTCGGGCATATCCATATAACCATGCTCAGTATTACCAGTGAATTCACGTAATCCAGCATACTCCCGAACCAGGGCCAGTTTGGCATTGTATCCGTCCACCATTACAACCATAGCACCCATTCTTACCCAAGCATTGGCACTGTCCGGGTGTGCAATTGGCATGCTGCGTTAAGTATCCGCTGCAGCGTTTATCAAACTCAGACTATATAAATACTTATTTGTTTACATTGTAGCGATAATGGTGATGTGCTTATGCGTTACTAATTTATAACGGCCGATAGTCTTAGATGCGAAAGAGTTAAGGAAATGTACTCACATTTTCGCTCACTCCGAGATAAGTGTATTCGCCACTTATGAATGTACTAAGTTCGACCTCTGGTATAGCCCCTGCAGGATGAGCGATGGCGTTACCAGCGACGATGGAGAGAAGAATAGCGATAGGTTGAAAGAGCTTCATATTTATAGCTAATTTGGCTATTATAGGGGCTGGAATAATGGAAAGGTGAAGTTGTATGTATCAGAATAGAGTCGGTATCCGTTATTATGATCTGAAGTAATAGTGATTACTTCAACTTATATACCCTCTCGTTGCGCAGTACGAGAAGCCAATTACTGAGGCTTCTTGGTGCCGCAAAGGCCTAGATCTTCAGTTGGAATTGTTGACGGAGTACAATGATATTATATGCATGAAGATTCGAAAGAAATAACTCATTCTAGGACTATTGCTGACATGTCTTAGGTTCTCGTCTCGTACAGCAGTTATATTAACTCTCGAAACCATACAAGGAGCTTCTGGTATTTACCTCGTCTTAATCAGCTATATAGTATAGATATGTAGGTCTCATCCTTGTACTCACCGAGAAAGGTCGAGTAACACTACGGCCTGTTACATCTCTAGTAATATTTTAAGTACCTAACCTATAGAACCATGAAATAGGGGCTGTTATGGATTAGCTACACAAGCCTCTGTCGAAAAAAGCATCTCCCAAGGCCAGTCTTTAAGGGGCCTGTTCAGCTTGCGCTTGGAGATTATTAGCTGTTTTAAACGCAGCTATGTAAGGACTATTAAAAGTCGATGTATTCCACGATGCCCTGGCCTATGTAGCTATCTGTTGACTTGCCATACATCTGACAGGGTTGATCGGAAAGGCTAGTGCTCAAAGTGAAATGCATACGTCTATTTAATCGGACGTGCCGTTACGTATCCATATCCCCAATACCAACTATCAATTCACCTAATTGCCAAAACAGCACTACTCATATGACAGGTAGTTTAGCGAGGCTTATTTTTGCCACTCTTTCATTCAAGTCTCTAGTCTAATTATATGCAAGTGACTTACCCTGGTATTAGGTATTATGATTAGAACTCAAACGAGGCTGAGTTGGTGCGGGCGTGCGGCGCCATTAACATTATTGCTTTCTATGTCTGTAGTCTATATCTCTATCCCTCAAAAGTCCGTTTTTTCAGTCTATATCCGGTTCCGTTTCCTGTTCCCGTGCCGTGAAATCAAAGCTTGAAATCAAAACCGTGTGCGGTACTGTTTCCCGTAAACCTGATAATCGCCAAACCCAAGGTATCAACTATAGCTCCTCAACATCGTCAAACCAGACATGACCAAGGGCTTCCCGCGCCGTGATTCTCCTCCTGGGATCAAAGTTGGTCATCTTCTTAATCAAATCCTTGAAGTCTGGATCAAGTGAATCGCTTTTCCAGAGCGAAAATGGTCTTCGAGGATTCTTAGAACCGAAAGAGTCTTGCAAGCGAGAGAGCTCGCCGACCCAAGGATGTCTTCGACCAAGGTAGTTGATAAAAGACTCGTAATCGTTCCACTCGGCAAAAGTGGAGATTTGCCGCTCGAGAATGGCGTTGGTAAGATCGACATTTGGCGCGCTGTCGATCCGGAAGATGACCATTTTGAGACGCATGAATATGAACTATGCCCGCATTAGTAGCCGTGACACATAAGCAAAGGCGGTCAAACTCACCACTAGCGCCAAGGAGAAGATGTCCGAAGGCTTTCCGACCGCGCCCTGTACGTGCGCCTCCGGGCTGCGCCAAAACTGATTGCCAACTTTGAGCCCACGCAGAGCCTGTCCAGGTGGGATGTGAGTTGAATCTTCTAGGTCGGATAACTGCACGCGATCTACAATGATTCCTTCACTGGTATCGCGGTAGTCGACCATGATGTTATTCGCTTTGATGTCTAAGAGGCCACGTTAGATTGAAATCCGAAGCTTAAGCCTAGCGGGCATACATACCTAGATGCGCGATGTTCTGGTCGTGCAAGGTAGCAAGGCCTCGCAGACTATCTCGAAGGACGCGCTTTTGCGCAGCCAGGGAGAGATCTTTAAAGGCGAAGTTGAGGAGATGGTCTGTCATGTATTCGTTGACAAACATCTTCTGCTCGGGGACGGTGTCCCGCAGCGCCCGCAAGTAAGGCGAGTGATTAAACCTCAACTGCAAAGGAAGCGCATAATTGTATTCCTTCTCAAAAAGACTTTTCAGAACGAACTTCTTCTCATTTGCCCTAAAGACGTGTTAGTTGGTTTAAATCCGCCCCACACACGCAAGCGACGAATGGGGCAAAAGATAAAGAGGATAAAGAGGATATGAATTTTCTGCTGAGGTAGATCCTGAAGTAGAGCTTAGCTTACCTGGCGAGATAGACCAGGCGGTCTTGTCTGTCCTGCAGAACATTTTCAATGGTATACTCGCGACCGGAGTATCCCTTCAGAATGACGCCGGGCTCAAATTGCTGAGAGCCGAAAGAGCTGACGCTGTGCGGAACGGTGCTAGCTTTGCGAATGCTACCGCCGAAGCGAGCTCCGGCGCTATAGTGGGAGGATGCAGTGGATAAATGAGCACGGCCAAATCTAGATAGGGGTTGTTTGAACGCGGTCAAAGCTGCCGAGGTGACGGCGCTGCCGCGCATCGTATCTCAATAAGAGGTAGAAGAAGGAAAACCCGAAAAAAAAAAAACTTGAATAAATCTAATCGCAAAGAAAAATGAAGGAAAAATGAACGGCGAGTTGACAAAACGGATTGCGAGAGTTTCGTAGGCTTATGTTGATGAAAAGGTCAAAAAAACGCAAAGGGAAAATGTCGCAGGGCTCCTTCTGTTAGAAAGGAACTAACAAAGTTTGTTGAAACGCCGCAAATCAAAGAACCGGGCGGTATCCACTTTGGTACCTTCACGTGGCGAAATTACAAACGGTGAAGGGTACCGGGTACCTAGCGTCGTTGACCGTTGACTGTTGACTGTTAATGGTACCGTATCTGTACTGTGTGATCAGTTGATGCTTACTGTATATTGTGCACAGTCCAATATTGTAGGGGCTCTTTGGGTCGTACAATTGAAATTTACTGGGTTTAGGCCGGGATCGCACTCGTTTGTACCTAATGTAGTCGTCGCTGATTTGTTATGCGATTTGTTGTGCTGATTGTAGTACAAGATGAGAGAAACCTGGGGGGAGAATCGATGACGAGGGATGAGAAGGACGTATTATTATATATTATAATCAATTTGGGTTTGAGTAAGGTACGAATCCCGATATTACTAAGTCGAATTGATTGGAATGCACATATTACACACTCAACTCTTGGCCCTTGACCGAGAACTATCGTGGCGCTTCCGTCGAGCACCAAAACTGTATTTCTAAATTCTAAATATTAGGCAAGGGTCTTTAATCCCTAAATCACTAAAACTAAACCAAGCTATAGTTATTAAATTATTAAACTGTTAGATCTATGTTCGTTAGTAAAGAATAACAAATATTTTGAATTCAATTCAATCGAACAGTTACTTTTTTTTAATGTACACTCTCCTTATGAAGCATGACTCAAATGAGGTATTTGTCTTACTTCTTAGTTGTTGACATTCGTGCGGCGTGGGGGACACCAGGTGACCAGATGACCTACCGAGCTATCCGCTTTGACGTTCGAATGGAATTAATAAAATTGTGTCGAATGGTTTACTACCACGTCCGTTCGGAAATGAAATGAAAACTTCAATCAAAGGTTGCCTTCTTTGTTTGGTTGGTAGGTGTATATTTATAGTTACCTAGTCGCAGAAAGAAGCTTTGGGGTAAAGCTTTGTTAAAGCCCAAAGAGATAATTTGAACCAATATAAAACGTTAACTTTACTAAGTCCTCTTTGTATTTTACGCGGCTATCGTGCTATGACAGTCATACCTTAGCGTTAGCTTTATGAGAATATGCAATTATATGATATGGCAGCTCAACGGAACGGACATTGAAGTATAGTTTGCAATAGCTCGATATAGTCTCATTCAAGCTTATACCTGGTCTATAGTTACACCGATGGCTCGTTCCATAACTGTCTGTGGCTTAATTGTATTGACATTCTAGATTACTTGCTTTCATCCAAAGCATGGGTAAATTTAGGGCTAAAAGTTAGAACTCATAAACCGCTCTTCTTGGATAAGTGCAGACGGAACTTGAGTCATTATAAATTAACTTTTTATTAAAGTTCATATTTAAGAGTCATTTGATATTACATTTAGCAATAGTAGATAGCATAAATTGTGTCATGAAACATGCTCTTCTGGCAATGACCTCCTAAGTGATGATCTACCCGGGCTAGAGTTAGAATACATCCATGGCCTTAACTCTACAATAGATATGTGTATTTCATAGTCTTTCCTAAGATGATGATATCCACTGCCACTCTTATAAAGTTAACAACATGCTCAAGCAACCTGGTCGCGAGGTATGAAGTGAATTGTAGAATACGGGATATGGTTCCCTACTTCAAAGTTAAAGTAGCTTGGAGACTTCGTGTATAGGTATGGATATGAAAATTTTCATTGTCAAGTATCACCTTTATCTAGTAAGGTGACATCTTACCCCTACGTGATCCATTCGTAGGTAGGTACCCAGTCCCCAGAATCCAGCTAGTCTATCCAGCCAGTCTATCTCACCAAACAGTCTATAAAGATCTAAGTGTTCCAAGTCCTTCCATTACCTCATCTAATCATTATCGTACCAGTCTTACAGTATCGTACAGTCGGTCGGATTCATTATGCTGTAATAACTAGATAGCTTCATCCGTCATGCCTCTTAGTTGGCATCCTGGACCACGCGCGGAATCTCTTGTAGTATCTCGCGCTCGCGCTTCGGTTCCCCTTCGGGTTGCTGCACGTGGTGCCCGGGTTGGGCGCCGGTAGTAGGGTGGGGGTGGAGATGGCTGGTAATACCGCTAGGCCAGGAGATGCTAGCGGGTCTGTGGAACCCCTCGTCTCGCTTCTCATGGTTGCCCTGCCAGTTTCCGTCACCGTGGTCCTGTTTATCACCTGGGGGATGGTGGTGATGGTTGGGTCCACCAGTAGGTTGTGGGAACCCGCCAGTTGGGTGAGGGTGGCGACCGCTGGGATGGGCAAAACCATCCGGGGGAGGGTGTACGTGGTCCGCATCCCGCCTTAGAAAAATATTGCTGGTTTCAGGACGTCCGGTTGGGTGAGGAAAGCCGCCACTCGGGTGGTGATGATAGTGGCCAGTTGGGTGAGGAAAACCCCATGGCTCTTTATGGTCGCTTTCTTGACCTTCATTCTGTCTCTTTACGCGAGGGGTGGGATGCGGTGAGCCAAACTGCCAAGGGAATTTGCCAGTGGGGCTAGCATAACCATCATGGTGATGCCAATCGCCGGAGGGATGCAAGAAACCGGGTGGACGGGGGAAATCGCCCGTCGGATGCGGAAATCCGCCGTGGGATATGGTAGTAGGAGGTTGTTGCTGGTTGCCAAACGGAGCCGCTGAGCCGCCCTGCAACGAGGCTGCTGCTGCTAAGAGAGTAACGAATGACCGCATAGTTGATGAGTTGATGTCCAACTTGTCTTCTAATATGGGTGAATAATAGGTATGCCGGTTCCCGAATATGGCTTCTTTAACAAACGAATGAGAGCAGCAGCAGGTTTTGATAGTAGTAGTTGTTGGGTCTGAATCAGTACGGATGGAAATAATTCTGGACTGAAATCGAGGTCGAGCCAACTCCCTTATATGCTCATTGATTCCTAAGAGCCCCTGTGCGCAGCAGATAACTGCCACAATACCATTACTTCTTTCTTAACCTTGCATCGACGATCATAGCTTTCCATGCTGACTTCATGGTTAGTGTATGTTGATCACTTCGAACATGAACACGCCGGACTGTTATACGTAGTTAGTATCGTGGGTCAAGGTACAACGGGCACGCGGGATTTGGCCACCCCAGCCACAATAATTGACGTTAGTACCCATCATAATCCGGTTTTAATCGCAGTTGACGACGACTTAGGTTACTCTAACTACCTAGCCAAGTCGGAACGAATAAATTTTTTGGGTTGTTTGGTTATGACTTCTAAGTTGTCGAGATAGACATCCCGAAATGTTTCAACAGGTGGGAATCACCAAAGATCCGATATTTGCACTTCACCTTGCACCAATACGATATAAGCCTTTAGCGTAGAAGTAACACTTTTTCGAGGGTTGGCTCAGTCCTATAACTTGCCATATTGGAAGGTTAGGTCATTTCAGGCGAATATTTTGATAGATATGCCCACCTATGGTGTGTGGAAGATTCTGCAGAGCTCCTTGATATTCTGATATTGTAGTAGTTTGGGTTTGTAGTTTGGTTCACTAGGATTAGGCGACCCAGATCCAACGCTGTCCCAGCCACATATAAATGGGGGCGGCTACGTAGTGTATGCAGACTGGAGTCGTGGGAGAAAACAAGAAAATATTGTACGCAATATCTCGACAATTTGGCGTCACTTTTTCTTTGATACACATACTAATCAACTAATGAATACCTTACGTACATAGTGTATAACTACAGATTCGGATGAAGCAGGTTTTGGTACCCCTGGATTAGTTTTGGTGCTAACGGCACATCTAACAGTTTTAATGTCCAATAGGCTGTAGATATTAGGGGCGTGTCTAGACCGTTGCCTCGACATGGAAATGTATTTCATATATACACTGTGTACATGACTTTACATGACGACGTGGTATGTGGGCTTCTATTTAAAGCCTTTCGGATAACTATCTGCCGATCTTGGGATCACTTCAATGGGCCGATGCCGCCACCAAAGCAGTAAATATGTAATAAGAAGTAAGAAAATAGTTTGCATGTGTGCACATAGGTAGTAGTTGATACCCAAATCCTGAAAGGACTTGAATGTATCACGCTTCTAGAACGCTCGGAAAAGTTTGGAGGTTGGGGTTCGGGGTACGACCTGGTAATAAGATGGGGGTGGTGTACATTACACTACCTACCTAATGTATGTATGTATTGTACATGTATGTAACTATGCGGGCAGTTAAAAAAGAATTAAGCTTTTCGGTACCTGTGTTAAATGCTTGGCATATGCTCTAATATAGAGGGAATATTAATAATTGCGGTATTACTTAAAACGTGGTCTACGCTAGATTTGGAAATTCGTCGCGAAACATTCACAAGCTTACCTCCTTATGTACTTATACTAGAACACTGCATAGACGATAAAATCCTAAAATGGGAGAAGCTGTAGGTATACCAACATACGCAACAACATCTGCACTTGTGCGCGAGATCTACATACAGCTGAGGTTACGCCGCGGCCTTGACGTCGTACAGCTGTAAGAATGGTCACGTCAGCCGCTTACGACAATCGCAATCCTCGAAGACTCGGTCAACGAGTTGTTCCTCAAAAGTGCAATGCTATTGCGTTCGCATATTCCATTTTTGGCCAGGTCCTAATCAAGACTTAGAAATGATCGCGAGAATCAACTACGAATAGAGTTAGTTAAGTTCACTCGTGTCCTAGTTAGCATCGTCCACGATTCCTCTATCTGTTACCGCGACTGTAAGTGCGAGGTAAGATGGGCCAAAGAAAAATCCAGGAGGATGCCGCACGGCATGGAATCTAATGCCGGCTCGAATCTCTAGCAGATCAACATATCCTACACACTACACCCAGAACAAACATTAAGATTTATTATCAATTACAACTTTAGTGGCCTGGGGTTAAACTAAATCAGCATGATAAAACATGTCGATCCTGCAATTCTTCAAGCCCCGATAAGGATCCGATATCTAGGACGACGTGGGGTCCAAAGGACGGATCACCAAGAGGTAAGATTGAGCTTCCCCATGTCCACTCCTAGATATCCTCTATTGCGTGATTTACTTCTTTACTGATGACGCCACAGGTATAATCTAATTCTATTTCATGCCAACGATCATCTATATTTGCTTTTGCTGGCTGTACCTGTTAGGGAACTCTAGTTGCATAATGTAGCGATGAGAACATACACTAAAGCTTCTTCTTAGCTCGAAACGAGAATGAGACCATTTATAGTGTTACCTAGTTCAAAAATGAGCTTTCAATACATGCTCGGAATAAGCCACAAGTAGCCTCAACAGAGATCATGGATTTTAAAGAATATTCTAATCTAGATGTAATAGGTACAAGTGAATTTAAGTACGCTAATAATAGCAATCAGATCCTCAAATCTGGAAACTGATCGTCATATTTATACATCACGAATAAGATAGTCCATCACTCTCAGACGGATAGCTTATGATTTCGTAGCCTCACATGTACTGGCATACCATCCTTCGGGTGGACCGGTCCACCTCCAACACCATAGAGACGTTTGCCGTTTACAATGTGAGTGGGCGTAGCATTGGGACCTCTGTTAGGAGTAGTCGGGTTAGTATCCGTATACACAACTGTTTCCAAGGAGATATAGTAGGGATGGGTGGGTGATTATTTGGACTGGAGTACTCACTGCTTCTTGTCCCATTCTTCCCATGCCTCCTCAATGTCAAACGTGCGAGCTATCAATATGGCGACTAATCTTAACTCGACCATCGACAACTCCATTCCAACGCAATTCCTTGGTCCTAGGGAAAACGGCACCCATGCTTCTTTAGTAGCCACATACAGCGGATCGCCCTCGGCAGCCATCCAACGTTCAGGAAGACAATCATTTGGTCGTGGCCAATAATAAGGATTGCGATGTACTCCCGATACCCCCACCCAAGGTCCGAACCCCTCCATAGGATACCTGGTAGGCGAGCCTGGCGCGCTGACTGAGAACCCTGGGATACTGTCGCTAGTACGAACCGTCGCAGCGAGCGGGTGCAGCCTTAGAGTCTCCTTAATGACGCCTAAGGTGTACGGGAGCGAGTACAAGAGGTGGGGCGATGCGATCAAAACATCCATAGCCTTCTCTGGGTCAGGTCCTAAGACGGAATCATGCTCGGCTCGGAGCTTCGCTAAGCAGTCCGGATTATCCTGCAGTATCTTTACCATAAAACAGATCGTCGATGAGGTCGTATCGTGGCCAGCAAACATAAACGCTTTCAAATTCGCTATGAGTCTATCGACAAACTCGGCGTCGAGCTTTCCCCTGAAAGTACCTGAATTTTCCTTTTCGATAGACTGCATAGCAAGATCGACAATTGTTTTCTTTTGGCTGGCGTTGACGTCTGACTGTAGCCTTTTTTCTATTTGCGGAAGCAGAAACTCGCGCATAGTGCGGTTGTTTCTTTCAACAGATCTCCGATGCCAGAGACGCTGGCTGAAATGGAATGCTCTTGGGGTTTTTGATAGTTTCCCCATGAACCGAAGTTGGTCTACCAGGGCGGTCTTGAAGGGGCTATCTGATGGGTTTGACTGTTCATGTAACCGAAAACCTCTATCTCGTGTCAGTGTACCAAAGTATATAATCGGAATTGTGATAGTTATTCGGGTATACTAACACAGATGCCCTCACAATAATGTCGAAAGTCAGGTTGATCGTCTTTTTCTCGAGTTGGAATACCGATCCCCACTCCCCTCCTTGACCAGCTTGATCCTTGAGCCCATTTGCGAATATCTGGGCCTCTTCGATGAGTTCTGGAAGCAGAGCTGTTAGATTCCGTTGGCTAAAGCCGGGATTGAATATGGACCGCCATTTCTTCCATAGTTCCCCTTCCGCCGAAACGATATCCATGCTTCCCGTCAGCGGCTGCATATATTCAGAGAGAACCTGGTCCTTAGGGAGACTCTTGACCTGCGTGCACTGAGCCGCAGCCATGGCGTCATATATAAGTACGAGAGACCTTGACACAGGCCACAGGTCCAAATAAACCACCGGCGGCAAATACTCATGACCAGGGAAGTATTTGCTGACATTTTCAATGAGCCAATGATGGAATTCATATATATTAACATCTGGAGGACGAGACGCTCGAAAGGCTGCGAAGACGGGAAGGTGTCCGAATAGTAGCGAGTGTGGTAATACGGGCTTAAATGAATCAGTTCGATATTCTGCTATTTTCTTCTGGTAGTTAATCAAACTCACGATTCCTTGGGCTTTTAAACTTCTTACTCGCTTCCGTTCGATGTATGCCCTATACAAGAAGCGCAGCACGATAACGGCGAATAGGGCGGAAAAGCCCCGCACAAGTGGTAACACAACATCAGCCATCATGATGCTGTCTCAAGCGATCTTAAAGAGGCTTGAAAATGTAGGTGTATCTCGAGTTAAAATGTAGCCATGGGCATATTATGTAGATTAGGTACCTAAGCATTCACCACGTTATTCAATGTTCCAGAGTGAAATTAGTTGCAGAAGTTGATAGTTACCTAATAATAGATAACTAGATTAGGTAGGTATGTAAAAGTGCCCGAGTAAAGATCTTCGGATCTCTCGGTTTAACATATATTTTTGCTGTGCCTTATGTGCACGGATTCCTCGTTATATTAATAAAGACTCCCTTAATTCATTCACTCGCCTACCATAGTAAAGAATGGACCTATATGATGTTGGAAGGGAAAATGTAAGATTATATGGAAATTTCAGGGGTAGCGCGTCTCTATACGAATACGTACGGCGTACGCGATAGTGCATTGCCAGGGGTCTTTCTTTATTGATTACTGATAGCTGAACTTACCCCGCGGGATTGGCTGTATATAAATAGTATCGCCTTATGCATCTAGGGTAGGTAGGAAAATAATCGGTCTATTATTTCTAGCGAGTTAAAGACTCTAGATTATAAATGCCTTTATCGCCCGGGATCAATTGCTCATTATAATTTATTACCTAGGCGCGAATATGACATAGCATACGGTGCGCGAGGAAATGAAAACAGCCAAACAGTGAAAACGCACACAGCATAACATACAACATCTACCTAGATTAGTTATCACTTCTATCTCTATAAGTTCTAGATTCAGCCAGACATACATCAAGATAATCTATATCAACAGCGAAATATGTTAAAATAGGATACTGTCATTTTTGCGTACAAAATTTTGACTATCAATGTGTGTACTTTTTAAAAACATCCGCTAGAGTCCGCCAGCTACAATCGATCATAACGTGACAACGCTATCAAGACATTCAAACTAGGCTAGCAACTCGTAAATAGCAGCATTGGATATTCCTCGCCGATCACAAGAATCCCGAAAGACTTTTCTAACAGGACGTTTGTCCGTTGCTTGGGAATGTTCCCTCCTTATAAGCACCGTTGGCGTCGTCGAGACATTCAGCTGCAATGATATTAGTTATATACCATCCATGAATCAAACGAACAATACATACCAACTGTAACGATCTTCAGGTTGTTGGTTTTGGCCCAGTCAATCAGCCAGTTTGTTAGAGTCGTGACTGTGCCTTGGTACGTCTCGTGCATGAGCGGGATGTGTCCGTTACCGCCAGCACCGGCTTGTTGGAACTTTTGCTGGCTCTGCTGCGGAGATTGGTTATTCCAGTCACCAGCGTCTACATCATCAGTAACGACAGTGTAATTCATCTCCTTCATAACGCTCAGAAATTGGCCTCCGGTCTCGAGATATGGAGGACGCATATACTGCGGCTTCCTACCGAAGATGTTGACAAATGCTTGCTCGACCTTTTCCATCTCGCTCTTTATTTGAGCGGCACCCATGCTTCCCATATGGGGATGAGTCCTTTATGAAGTCTTAGCAGATGTTCCGGATATTCCATAGCCGAAAAATCAAATAGTAACAGGTAGTCATACCACGTGTGAGATGCAACTTGGTGGCCAGAGTCATAGGCCTTCTTAACAGCGGCCTTCTGGTTGTAGATGCAACCTAGTTCGGTCAGTTTACGCACGTATACGTAATAGTGTATGATTCGCATACCATATAGAGTGCCCGTGTAGAAAAAGGTTCCTTTAACGCCGGCCTTGTCCAGAGTATCTACTAGCGACGAGGTGTACTGATACGGACCATCGTCGTAGGCTAATGCAAGGACACCAGGCTTGGAGCACTTGTTAATGACGACACCAGGCGTATGCGCACGTTTGAAAACCTCGACGGGGTTCGGGACAGCTCTAGCAGAAGCGCAGAGAGCGAACGCGAACGCCGTGATCATAGACTCGAACAGCATTTTGGATGGGCGGTAATGGGTAACTGTTCAGTACGAAAGACGAGATAAATAGAGTTTATAGTTTCAAATTGCTAGAAATCATATCAATATATATATTTCTAGTTCAGGCGGCGACGGCTAGATCGTCCGGAACCTGGTAATATCGTACGTTGTAGCGCATATAGTAGTACGACGATTCCGCCTCAATATTCACTTCCAGACCTTATTGTGGAGTATCCGCCACAATGTTCCAGGAATCACCATTTAGCAGAACATGGACATATCTGCAGGTATTATAGATCAAGCTTCCAATACCCCGGCTCGGCGTTGAGGGGTTAAATTGTCTTTGTGGGGATAGGGGTTTTATGTTGCACCGAACATCACGAAGGTCTTTAGCCGCGAGACCATATCCTTGACCAGTTCAGGAACGAGAAGCGGACTTCGGTTTTGCCGGATTAGGAACGGATAAATAGATAGGTTACGACTGAGTTAGATACTAGATTTCTTCTAATATTTTAATATTTACGTTATGAGCAATGGTTTGAGAGGGAACTTCCTTATAACCCAGCACTTAGGATCGTCGAAGGGGGAAAAAATCTATACTTAGCTTCGAATACACGGTCTTCCTAAATTTCGACATAAAGGGACCTGTCGCCTGCATTTACCCCTTGCCGGAATAAATACATAGCAACCCAAAGCTGTGATTCGATGAGATCTAACTTGGCCCACGCATCGACGTTGCACTACATCTGCATGCGTGGCTTGCGACACCGAGAGGCTCTAAGGCTGTATAACCTAAGATGTAGCTTAAGGTTGCGTGAGGAAACATGAACTACTTTCTGTTTAATTTATAGACCACTTGATAGCTATGACTTACGGAACATTTGTAATTCTCATTCGATCATCTCCAAGATTGATTGGGTTGGCGTAATCCTTGCGAGCACGGGTCTAGCAACATTATCATATGCTTTCGCGTAAGAGTTCCTCACGTTTAAATGATGTCTCTATGTAATAATTTACCACTCTCAAAATGTTGTCAGCCGATATCAACAACATCCGCCAGGCCTCTGATATCGCTCTTCTAGTTATCAGTGCCGCTTCAATTCCTGCGTTTATCGGATGGATGCACTATCAAGTTAAGCATAACCGCACAGCACTTATTCCCAACTCTCTATGGCGTAGCTACGTCTTTACTAGTAGTTGTGTCGTGGTACTTTTCAGTACTTCCGTCACCAACTGCATGGAGCTGTTATATAGTTTATTGTAAGTCGTTAATAAATCCCACCCTGTAGGGCAGAACTAGTCACTGACTTGTCTTAGTTTTCAAGAAGTCTAGGGTAGCTCAGCACTTGGAGCGTCGCTACGGATTCTTCTCTCCCTCGTCGCTAGCGCCTTGACAAACCTTTCAACCAGCGTCTTCGTGAATCGCGTGCTGGTCATGTGGGCAGTATTTATCTCCTCAAGACTAAGCACCATCGCACCACTTCTAATGGAACTCGTTCGACCCGACTGGCCGTATTGGTATGACGCGTTCTTCGCACAGGTAGGAACCTTCACTATCTCTAATATAATTTTCTCCATATGTAACTTTTTATTTGCAACTCGAGCATCTCACTAATTACATCCACGTAGGTTCTTGCTCCTCTGAGCTGCGATATTCTCTTCACCGTCGGCCTACTCGTAGTCTCCGATGTTTTCTTAAAACGCATGCAAGCTCTAAGTGGTGCCGTGTTCAATACCTGCGCACAGCTCGGCACCGCTATTGGACTGACTGTGATCTCCGTAATTAGCGCTTCCGTGACCAATAGTTCGCAATATGCAGACAAGCCTTCCCCTGGTGCTCTTATAGTTGGGTATCGCGCCATTTTCTGGACCATGTTTTCTTTTCTTTTTTTTTCTTTTTTCTTTATATGTTACTTTTGTGTGTATTCGGGCTGCGCCGGATAGGGGTAATTGGCGTGAAGCGGGATCAATCTACGTACTTCTTTAGATTATTTAGCCCTTTATTATATACCCCGGCGTAGTCAGAGGCAAAAAGGGGTACTTTACAAGACATACTTACAGAGATAATGTAGCGTTAAGTAATCTCTAGTATATATATACACTTACAAATACGCTGTAGGGGGCGTAAAATTCTAGTTATCGTAACTTACTATTCCCAAGCTAAAGCCTGGCTGAATATTCTTCTACGGGAAGGAAAGTCTTGCGAATCTATAAACATATATCCGTAAATATTTAACGGAAATGTTCACGGTGATGGTTGAAATTCGCCGTATGTCTTATGAGTATAAAAGCTAAGTTTAGGAAAGGTATCACCTGTGGGGAGGTGGAGTGTTGAAAAGAATACCATAAAGGGGTGATGAGGAAGAAGATATCCTAAGGGTAATTCCCGAGTGTTTAGAACCGGCTGGTTTTCCCGGGAGCCATAGCCGTACGAATCTAAAAGAAAGTCATATGTTAATAGAAAATTGTTATATAAGAAAGCTACACTCGATAATACATGCTTAGAGCCTCAAAGCTCATGTAGTTTAGGTATGGTCGGGGTTATATGGCGAAGTGAAGGTGGGCTACTGGGTTTGCCAGCTGGTGCCTACACACGGCTGCCACTTGTAGTATCCTAGCAATGACTCTACTGTAAATACAGGTGGTTACCACGGTTTCCCAGTACACCCGCGACAGGAAGGTTATAAGACATAATTGCAAAGCATCTTTCAGCCGACCCCGCAAAAAGGAAGTAACCCTGGGTGACTGGAGGCTAGAGAAAACTGCACCGTAGTGTCATATGCTGGACCGGTATGCCCGTGACTTGACAGTACGACATTTACAAAGTAGTTTTTCGTAGGTTCTGCGTTCAACACCCAGACCGAGCTTTTTTTGCAATTCTTTTTTTAACATCCCCAACCCCTTTTGTATCCCTTTTATTTACCACCCCTTATTTTTTTTCATTACCATAAGCCCACACTTTACGATGTTATGTTCGAAATAAGTGTACTACGTCCTACAGACCTGTATTACAAACATATATAGGTACTCACTCGTATGACTGACTATAACGCGATCGAATTGTCTGTTTGTCTATGAGAAAGTTTTAATTTAAATTGCACTGCTTTGCGGTCTTCCTCTAAGGTCTGGCTTGATATGTGCCCCTATTGTCATAGTTGCATAACACGGATATTTACAAACTTTTCTATCTACATATTAGTTCTTTTAGTGACTAATTTGGTGGTGTTTTTCTGGCTCTTTTTTACCTTGCTCCTTACTGGAAGATATTACAAGTATATATCAGTTGTCACATATCGGGATTTTTATGAGTGAGTGCATTTAATAATGCTGCTTTTTAATAAACGCTGGAAATTTTAACCAAATGTCTCCAGGGACATGGCAGGTTTCCCAGGCGGAGTTTTGATCGACACCTCGGTCATTAACTGCCGAAACTCCTCAAGTTGGAGATAGCTAGGTAGACTATACCTATTCCACAACAGCCTCCTTTAGTATATATACATCATTCGGGTTCTCGTTATTCAAGACCGAAGTCTTGACCAATACTACATACTTACTTACTTAATAGAAAGGAGCCCGTGATGGCCTCATCAGACGCCAAGCCGCTCACAGCACAGTGCCAATGCGGTTACGTGTCGTTCCCAACGCCAACAACGAAGCCGATCACTATGTTCCACTGCCACTGCACAGAATGCCAAAGACAGAGCGGATCAGCCTTCGGCACATCCGCCATCTTCCCAGCCGAGGGACTATTCCCTCTCGCGCCCGAGCTAGAGTCTCGTCTAAAAGTCTTCAGGCGGCCTACCAATAATGGGCGCTCCTCAGATTGCTATTTCTGTTCCGAGTGCGGCTCGCGCATGATTCATCGCATCATAAGCGCGGACGGGACGCCTCGCTCGTCTGTTAGTATTAAGGGTGGCTGCATAGAAGGCTTGGATTGGGACGGGAAGATGCATATCTTCACGCGTTCGGCTGTTATGAAAATTCCTATCGAATGGGAGCAGTACGAAACTCTACCTCGGTGGATGAAGATGGATTAAGTGATTGGACGTGTTGGGAAGGGGAGTTAGATGGGTTGTATAAGACGGGCACCTATAAGTTAGGTACTTTCTTATAAGTGATAGATAAGAGATAAGGGGAAAGAAGATGTACTGTAGTAGAATGACTCGGTTATACAATTATGGTATATGCACGAAGGTCCGGAATACCTAGGTACCTAGGGTATTTTAATTTTAGATGCAAATTGTGACGCCCTTCTGATGCAAAGCGAGATAATTATGGCTGTCGAGTCAGCGAGTTCTCGTGGTATGAGGTCATCGATGATCGACCTGCAGGAACACAACGCCTCCTACAAGATGTTATCCAATAAGCAAGCTTCGATATTCGCTCCGTAACTACACCTCATAAACCACCGTATCAAGCAAGCTTTACTAACTATAACACATACACTTACACTTACACATACACATTCACAAACACAAGCACAAACACAAACACATCCAAGATGACGTCTGCGCCTTGGCTTCTTCATTGGCGTTCTAACACGGTATTCATCATTGCGACTGTTGCGATTGGGCTTTTCACCGATTTATTCTTATACGGATTAGTTGTTCCCGTTCTACCCTTTATGTTGCGCAATAGGTTATCCATACCTGAACATGAGATACAGTCTCACGTCTCTAATCTTCTGGCCGCCTACGCAGGCGCTTCGGTCGTCTCCTCCGTTCCGGCTGGGTGGATCGCGGATCGGACGAGTTCGCGCCAGGCCCCGTTTCTATGTGGCCTCACCGCTTTGCTAGCAGCTACTATTATGCTAGCTCTGGGACAGAGCCTACTCGTGCTCTTCGTTGCTAGGGTTCTGCAAGGAATCAGCGCGGGAGTCGTTTGGACCATCGGCTTTGCCATGGTCTTGGACACCGTCGGCTCGGAGAATTTAGGGAAGGTCATCGGTTCCATGTTCTCCCTCATCTCCGTAGGTGGACTAATGGCGCCGGTCATCGGGGGCGTGCTTTACGAGAAGACCGGATATGCAGGTGTCTTCGGAGTAGCAGCGGGTGTCTTGGGACTTGATTTTCTTATGCGACTCTTGGTAGTAGAGAAGAAGACAGCTGCCAAGTACAATGTCGACCAAGTGCCACATTCTCAGGATGGGGAACAAGATTCGCATAGAGATCATGAAGCGACCCAAAGTGACAGCGTTGAAGACGCTACCGAGCACGATGCCTTATTGCACAATAAGAAGCTCAAAGACGGCGATATCGAGTCATACAAGATTCGGCACGAACCTAACCGGATCGTCCGAGCATTGCCAATACTGGTTTGCTTCCGAAGCCCTAGACTCTGTGTAGGGATGTTCCTATCATTCGTCCAAGCTTCTCTCCTAGGTCTCTTTGATGCCACGATCCCGACGCAAGCGCAGAGCCTTTTCGGCTTCACCGCTCTACATGCAGGACTTCTGTTTGTTGCTCTATATGTTCCTTATCTCATATCAGGACCCCTAGCTGGGTGGGCAGTAGACCGATATGGCACCAAGTTAGCCGCCATCGTTGGATTCGGATCTTTAGTTCCATCCCTGATTTTGCTTCGGCTTCCATCGGAAGACCTATTATCTGGAACAAGTAATGTTATCGTATATTGCGCGATGCTAGCTCTGAATGGCGTGGGCTTAGGCATCATAGGTTCGCCTGGTGTGGTTGAGGCCAGTGATGTTGTTGAGAAATTCGACAAGGCCAACCCGGGATTCTTCGGCGATAACGGCCCATATGCTCAACTGTATGGCTTCAATTCACTATTCTTCTGTACGGGTCTTACTGTCGGTCCTGTTGCAGCAGGAGCTCTTCGTGACGGGATCGGATATGGCAATATGACTCTTGTATTTGGTCTTATATCAGCTTTTACCGCTGTTCTATCATTCTTCATTATTGGCGGGGGGCCTCGCTGGAATCTTGTTCGTCAACGATAAGACGATAAAATGTTCATGTTATGACTATCCTAAAAATCAAAACTGCTTTAACTAGTTTCAAATAAAAGTCTTCTCAGTAGTGCTCATTTCTACCACACTAAGATCATACGAGGAGCGAAACAAACAAGATGCTTTAATATTGATAATATCTTCACGGCAGACATAGAGTCATAGGCAAACCAAATATCGAACGAGAGCTGTGATTATCTATCTGAGCTACCAGTCCTGAACTTTAAGTGGTTGTCTTCAGAAGTATATTTAAAACCATATACTAGAATAATAACGAAGGAGATGATAAATCCGACAGGATCCAGCAGAAATTTGGGGTATCAATCCATCAGGACGCAAGTATCCGGACTGCCCCGGCCCTTTCAAGTAAAAAAAAAAGTCTCTGCTCTTGTCTATTCAGCGAAGCGGCAGGCCAATAAAGCTCCAAAGAAACTTTATACTTGCAACCACGCAAAAGAGGATATGCGAAAGACTATTATTAATTCCCCCGTCTTGCGATTCCCCTCATCTTGAAATGAATGGGTATCAGGTTCGTGTCATCAATCATCAGCTAGAAAATCATCGTTGGAGCCCCTATCTTGTGTAAGTCCATGGCGGCCGACCTATCCAAGGCAAAAGGAAAACGAAAGGATCCTCGTAAAACAATGCACGATCATGATACGGGGGAGATGAGGTGGCTTGTTGCCATGCAACGAATGAACATAGCCGGCCCTCGCTGTCTCTCCATCGCAAACAAGTTCCTCCACCCGCAACGCCAGTCCGTACCGCTATAATATAACCCAGTCCAATGGCAAATGCAACCTCAAACCGTGCAGGAAGGTATATTCGTAAGTCAAGTAGCGATCGTATATCATGCAAATGCTTGATTCTAAGAAAACAGAATACCAAAGGGAAATCATGAGTCTCGTTAACCTGCCGCGCTCCGTAGGCGAAAGGTTCGATATGTGTGTAATATATGTGGTGGTGGAGGGGCGTAGTTTATCTGGTACGGCTATGGCCTCAAGTTTAAAGGCATAGACAGTACGTTGTCTAATATGCGGTCGTCGCATTTCCTTCGCTTGTCGCAACCGCTACTAGGGCCTGCAGCCGAAGCATGTTATCCCGTTCGCCAGCATTTTCTTGCCTAGGTTGGGAGTTCGTAGTATTTTCTCTCGCTGGAAAGCCCGCGAATTCGGTTATGTTTGGATGAACCATCCGTTCTACCCGCGCTATCTTCTCCGGAGGAGCATCGGCATGAACTGTTACGGGTCCGTTATACCAACCACGCCGTTTGGTCTCTCTCGAAGTAGCGATTGAAGGTGCCGACATAGTGTGTTGATGATAGGCCCTAGACAGGTTCGCAGCACCTGGGGTTCTGCTTTCAATCACTACGGGTTCGTTAAACCGCACCGTCGGGGGATTCACTCTCATTCGGTCCACTTCAGCCTCAACAGCCTGGTTTGCTTCACGAGCCCAAGTACCGGCTGTATCCGAGGATGGTGGATTGGACGTGATATCCAAGCGAGTTAGGCCCCGATGTAGGCCCATATCCCAGTGGACCGTACTGCGCCTTTCTTCAGGATCTCCGGAGTGGGCTAGGGGAAGCATAGCTGGTGGATGAGCCACTTCGGAGTCAACAACCATAGGAGACGGGTTCCGCCTAATAGGAGATACTGGGCGATGAGGGAGGGGACCGAACGACTCGATCCCGGGTAACCGAAGTGTCGTGTTCTGCTGTGGCGCGACAGGTACGGGCGCGGGGTTATGGAATTGTGATGGAGTTACGACGTTGCTTAAACGGCTGCTGCTGTTGACGGTGCTGAAATTAGTTGAATCGGGATGCCATGTGCGGCGACGCCAATCCTCCGTCTGCGATGTAGATTCACGCCTCGAGGAAAATATGGAGGATGTGGGAGATCCTAGGAAGCTCCCAGTTGGGGAGAAAGCGCCGGGATTTGAAGTGTTCATGGCGCCCGGGCCGAAAAGAGGACGACCCAAGGGAGCTCCATGGGGAGATTGAAAGGGTATGCCGCCGGAGGGCACACTTAGGCGACGGCCTGGTGTTCTATGGCCGGCGTACATGCTTTGGGGTCGGGGATGGGATGAATTTGGTGATGCGATGGCGGATCCCCATCGGGGACTATTCTGGCCGGTTGAAAAGGTTGCTGAGGTTGGTGTACTGAAGTCGCTCGGAGATGGTGGTCGGTAGGAATATGCGCTCTCGGTATTATGGTAAGTCTCGATGGAAAGCCGAGACCGCGGATCCGCCATCACCAAAGGAGGTGGCCGTCGACGTACATCATCTCGTCCGCTGAAATTTGAACCAACAGAACTAATGCTCGACGTAGAAAGGGATTTGGCATGGCCTCGAGGCGGGGAACCCATGCTCCCTGCTGTCGAAGCCCGGGCTCTGCCAGGTTGTCGCACTCGATCGGTTCGAATTTGTCTTTGAAATCTTGTACCCGTGGCGGCAAGAGAATCTATCGGTATATCTTCGTTGACGTGTACGGTCTGTGCATGCTGCCGCAGGTTATCTAACCGCGAAAACCGTCTCGAACAATGACACTGAAATGGACGTTCTCCAGTGTGTTTCCTAAAATCGTTAGCCAAGGTCGATATTAAAGAAAGAAAGAAAGTCGTAGTATCGTACCGAATATGTCTAGCCAAGTGCTCGCTTCTCGTAAAGCTCAGACTACAAGGTGGATATTCTGTGCAGTAAAATCGTTGCGATTTCTTCTTCTTATTTGACTTGGTTCCATCCGCATTCACGCTTTCATCATCCGATCCGGCGCCGTCGTCCCCGTGGTTTTCTCCATCTATTTCATCCATATCGACATCCTCGGAGCCTCCTCGCGACTTTCTCGAATGTTGAGAGTTCTCTCGCTTGGGTGTTTGTTTCGGAGTCTGCCTTTCATCGATACTCTCTGGAATCTGGATTGCTTGCGGAAACGGCGACGTGGGTAATGGTCGCTGGCCGAAGCTAGCTTTCGTCGGGGTCGGGGTCGTGGGCGACCGTGCCGCCCCGTCATCTTTCTTCACTTCTATCGCCATGGGTGTATTGACAGGCCGGAAAGTAGCCGCCATAGCACCGCTTCCCAGTTATCCGGTAGAGGTAAAGTAGCTGTCGACCCTAGTAGGCAAGCCGGTAGTTCGGTAGTTCGGTAGTTGTATATTGCTTCTAGAACCCCAACTCCTCCGAGTCTAGATATCCAAGGTATCCAAGGCGAGCCTTTCAAGACAAGTAGTAGAAACGACGAGGACGAATAGCGGTAGATCAAAATGACAGGGGAGTGATGCGTCGGCTAAGGTAGTAGAAGAAAGAGGAAAGGAAAAGGGAGCTAATGATGAAAGTTTGATATAATTCATTCGCAATTTTTGTTCCTTGTGGACCAACAGGTATTGATATTCTGAAAATGGCTTGTGTTCCCAGTGTGTTCCCAGTGATGTGTGCTAAGATGCCGGGAATTCTCGGTGGGGAGGGAGTTCGAGTCAGGTCGAGCGGGCAACGGCTGAAACTGAGACAGGTGGGCTTAGAGCGGAACAAGCTCAAGAATGACGAATGTTTGTCCTTGGAATGTTGCGACCACGGGTAAGGGGTGGAGTTTGAAAACTATCCTTACGTTGGATGCAATTAGAATAGCATCAATAAAGAAGGTATTGTTTTCGAGTGGGTTATTATTTTTTTTTTCTAACCAGTTACCGGTGCTTCTATCGAGCGCGCATTCATCCCGAACGGCGAGTTAGAACAAAGAGCCAGGGAGAGCCTAGGCCAGGGACTAGCCAACCACCGAGGAGGCTGGGTCCAGAAGTAAGAGTTGGGGTCGATCAAGCTGAATATGGACGAAAGCCGAATAAATTCGTGCGGGTCTCCGATTTGAGAACTAACCGAAGAACTTGTTCCAATAATTTTTGGGATTAAAGACCACCGAGACCTTGACTTGTTAGATGATATCGATAAATAGATATTGATATTGCGCAAGGGAAGGGAAGAAAAATAGGGTTGGCAAGTGGCAAGGGATGAGGCGAAGAGAGAGGGGATCCGAAGCGGAAAAAAAAATATGTTGGAGGGGTGATGAAGCAAGATGATGAGATAGGTAGGTAGACAAGAGGAGACAAGAGGAGTAGGGTTGGGATGGTCGGCTTGTCAGTGATTTACTTGTGATGGGTTGTGGCCCAGATGGATGGGGATCCCTAGTCAAAGTCGGGAAAGACACATGTATGTGTATATGTTTACTTAATTTTTTTTCTCTTCTTTTTAGTATGTATTAAGATGTAGTTAATGTAATGTATGGATGTATGGATGTATGGATATGTAAGTATGGATATGTAAGTATGGATAGGTGGATGGATGGATGGATGGACATATGTGTACCCAAGTATGTAGCCATGTTGCCATGTTATAATACGGGGAACGCTATGTGTACACTAGGATATTGCTGTAAAAGACCGCCTAAGGCCTTGCTCATTTTTGACAGGGACAAGTTGACACTTGAGGAGGCTTGGCAGTATGAAAATATGCACGAATGAAGAGCTATACGAAGCGTATGCGTGTGTGTGTGCCTGATAAAGTGGATTAGAGAGGGACGAACATACAGTAGAGTGGATATCTGATGTGGTTATTATCGCTATTATCGCAACACTTTATTCGTTAGAAGCGTGGGAATGGCCATCGGGTCGACAGCAACGATACGCTAGTGAGGTCATCGAACGACAGAAGCCCTTCACCTAGCTAGGTTGTATAGCGGAATCGGTCTCGCGGTCATACATTTCTCTCGCAATAACACGCGAGAGACGGAAGACGGAGGAGCGATATTTATCGATAATCAAGTATACGTGAGGAATAGAAGATGAAGATAAGAATGAAAGCGAAGAGGAAACTCTACAAAACAGTTACGACAATTAGATTTGTCTTATCGGAGAGTTGCGGACTCGGTTGTGGAGGATTCCAGCCGCATAGATATCATATCACATCACATAAAAAAAAGACGGTTTTCCTTTTTGCTCTCTCCGGAGTGGGTTTTTGTTTCTGGTGGGATGGATCTATTAAGCAAAAAGAGCTTTGGAGAGGGCAAAAGGAGGGGCAAGCAGAAGGAGGAAGGAGGGGTTTTACCTTGTGAGCCTATCCCGTTTTTATTTATTACATATTCCACTGTTGGCG